AAGACTCTCCTGAGTCTTTCCCCAGACAACCCAGACTCCATCTTTTCCTGGGGGGTTCTCATCAAGGACCCTGCACCCCTCCATGGTCCTGCTGTGACCCTGCTTGCACCCGCTCACGAGACCCCAGTCATGGTGGTGATGGCTTCCTCCCCAGGCCACTTGTCTTCATGCCAGCAGATGCCAATAATCCTTTGAGGGAGGAAAAAGAGGACAGTGACTCCAGCCCTGGTTCAGCCAGGACACTTGGTTATATAAAATACCTAAACTTGGGCCTCCCCTGGTGGCGCAGCGGTTTAGTGCTGGGCTGCGAAGCTGCCCGCAGCCTCTGCAGCGCCAGTTCGATCCCCGGCCACCAGTGAGAGTCCCACATGGCGCGCAGACCTCTCCTGGCGCCGGCTGCTCCCCTCAGCAGTGTACTTCATCATTCTGCCTGCTCTGCTCCCCGCTCTGGCTCTGGTGAATTCGCTCACCCTCTCACGCTTCTGACTGTACCCAGTGCTTGTATAAATAAATAAATAAATAAATAAATCTTTAGGAAAAAAAAATACGTAAACTTCTATGGCCACTATAAGAAAATAAAATGATAACAATGCTTTGGAATAAGAATCCAAGAAAACAGAACACCCAGATGGAGCCTGGTACCTTTTTTTTTTTGTAAAGATTTATTTATTTATGCATACAAGAGTTGGGGTACAGGCCAGAGATGCGGGGGGGGGGGGTGAGAGAATTCACCAGAGACAGAATGGGGAACAGAACAGGTGGATCTACTGAAATACACTGCTGAGGGGAGCAGTGGGTGAGACAGGAGAGGTCTGCTGTGCCTTGGCCGGAGATAGAACTCATGCTGCAGTGGCTGGTGATAGCTTGGTAGTGCTGAGACTTAACCCCTGCACCACCAGGGAGGCCCAAACCCGGTACTTTTGTGACAACACTGGATTTCCTTTATCACTTAAAGAAAACCACTCTATTTCTATCACTATGAACAAAGTATAAATGCTTTACTTTGGCATTTTCGTGACCTCTAGGCAAAGCCTGGAGAGGACTGGCAGTTATTAGTGGTGGTAAAACACTGTGTGAAATCAGCTTCAACTAACAGTGGAGGTGGAGGGAGCATGGCAGAGGAAGGAAAGAGAAACCTGGGCAGAAAATGCTGAAAGAGGAAGAACAATCAAAGAGGAAAATATAGCAAACCTCACCCCTACTCCTTCTTCCACATATTCCCTTAATCCTCACAGTAATTTTATATGGGGTCATTTGTGTTGGCCCTGCTTTGCAGATGAGAAAACCGCAGGCACAGTGCTTAAGTCCTTGTCCAAGCGGCTGCGGAGGCATTGACCTGGGCAGGCCAGGGGGCTGAGCATGATGTGGGGAGTGCGGAGGGAGGGTGGGGGTGACAGGCAAGTCTGGACTGGGCAGGGTGGTAGCTGTGGGTGGCGAACAGAGGCTTCTGAGATGCTGCCATCCTCTCCCCCTAGCTGAGCAGCTCACCGTGGTGGGGAAGATTTCCTTCAACCCCAAGGATGTGCTGGGCCGAGGGGCAGGCGGGACTTTTGTCTTCCGGTGAGTGGCAGCCTGGAGCCCAGGAGAGGTGGCATTCACAGGCCTTTCAACTGCTGTCCCCTAGAAAGTCACCCCTCTTCAAGAATTCCCAAGGTATGTACCAGCTGGTGCCTGACTCACCAGAACCTTTTCCCTCACCTGCTTCTCTGAACCTCGGCCCGCCCACCTCCCAGCGGACAGTTTGAGGGTCGGGCAGTGGCCGTCAAGCGGCTCCTCCGGGAATGCTTCGACCTGGTTCGGCGGGAGGTCCAGCTGCTGCAGGAGTCTGACAGGCACCCCAATGTGCTCCGCTACTTCTGCACTGAGCGGGGACCCCAGTTCCACTACATTGCCCTAGAGCTGTGCCAGGCCTCATTGCAGGAGGTGAGGCCGGAGATCAGGGAGGCAGGAGGGGTTTGGGGAGGCCCAGGCTGCGGTGTCACTCTGTCCCTTGCTTTCTCAGTACGTGGCAAACCCAGAGCAGGCCTGCTGGGGCCTGGAACCAGAGATGGTGCTGCAGCAGCTGATGTCTGGCCTGGCCCACCTGCACTCCCTCCACATAGGTACCGATCCACCTCCTGCTCTCTGCGCCACCCCCGTCCACCCCTCCCGGGTGCTCAGCCCTGCTCTGCTCCACCCTCACAGTGCACCGGGACCTGAAGCCAGGCAATGTTCTCATCGTGGGGCCCGACGGCCAGGGCCGGGGCAGGGTGGTCCTCTCAGACTTCGGCCTCTGCAAGAAGCTACCTGCCGGCCGCTGCAGCTTCAGCCTCCGCTCGGGCATCCCTGGCACAGAAGGCTGGATGGCACCCGAGCTTCTACAGCTTCTGTGCCCCGACAGCCCAGTGAGTACGCCCACTGTCCAGGCTGTAGGACTCCTGCCCAGGCCCTGAGTCACACTCCAAGCCTTTGTCCTCAGCTGGAAGGGGGCATAATCCCGCCCCCTTACCTGGAGCAGTGGCTCTCAACCAGGGACTATTTTGCTGCCTAGGGGACAAAGGGCAATGTCTGGTAGGAAAGGGGCTTGGTGGGTGGAGGCCAGGAGTGCTGCTGAGCATCCTTCAGTGCACATGGAATTATGTGCTCCCACGTGCAACAGTGCTGAGGTTGAGAAACCCTGAGCTAGAAAACACTTTCACCCACACTGTGCTACAGAATCATGGCAGAACTTAACGCCAGATGCCCAGAAGCTACCCCCAGTGGTTCTGACCTGACTGGCCTGGGGTGGGGCCTCTGGGGGTTTTAACGTGCAGTCAGGGTACAGGCCACTGGGGCTGAGGGGCGGAGGGAGCTAATATACTGGAACACTGAGCTGTATCTGACCCCAGAGACATTGGAATTCGGGACCCCAAGATTATAGATTGGGCTGTGGGTGGGAGAAATTATAGCCACAGGCACAGTCACTAGGCAAAGCCACCCCCAAATATCCTAAAGTTGAGAGAGAGCTAAAAGTGGTAACTTGGAGGCCCAAGGACCAAGTACAACTTGGTTATGATGTGTTGAGCCTGTATAAGTTTTGTTTTTTAATTGGTGGCCAACATTATAACTTTGGGGAAATTCCACATAAAAACCTGGATTTCTGCATTCTTTTGGAAAATCAAAGCTCTGGGCACTCCCTGGAGGCAATCACTTAAGTCCCAGCTCCCCCTGCACAGGATCCTAGTCCTCACCAAGGCCAGCCTGCTCAGCTACCTGCTTAGCTCTAGCGAAACGAAACTTGTTACCTGCACTGGAAGCTCAGCAGGAGCAGATTTTGGAAGAAAACCACTCCTCTCAGTGGTGCAGAGAGGGGATCACAGGAGGCATCCTTGTTCGATGCTGCTGGCTCAGCCCATGGGAGAGGTTAGCCAGGCAGACTTCCTGGAAGCGGACTTCCTCCTTAACTCCCTCTGGCCCCCAGACCAGCGCAGTGGACATCTTCTCTGCGGGCTGTGTGTTCTACTACGTGCTTTCCCGTGGCAGCCACCCCTTTGGAGAGAGTCTTTATCGCCAGGCAAATATCCTCGCAGGGGCTCCCTGTTTGGCTCACCTGGAGGAAGAGGCCCACGGTGAGAGGGACCTGGGCTGGGCAGAGAAGGGCAAAGCAGAGCCTGAGGCTGGGTGGGCATGCGGCCATCCCTGCCCTTCTCCCCTGCAGACCAGGTTGTTGCCCGGAACCTGGTGGAGGCCATGTTGAGCCCGCAGCCACAGACTCGTCCCTCTGCGCTCCAGGTGCTGGCCCACCCTTTCTTTTGGAGCAGAGCCAAGCAACTCCAGTTCTTTCAGGTAAGGGGGAAAATCTTGGGAATGACCCCACCAAGTCCAAAGTTTGGGTTCTGAGCAACAAGGAAGGGCAAGCCAAATTATTTGGGCAAAAAGACAACCCCCTGTTCTAGGCAGCCTGGTTCCTTCTCTAAAGCCAGATGGAGCCAAGACTGCAACATGCTGCCCTTTGGGCACTCCAGCCCATTCCATACCGGCTTCCCACCCCATTCCCAGCAGCCTGTCACTCATCCAGACAGTCCATTCCACCGTGTGACCTCGAGCACAGGACTCCATGCCTTTGAGTTCCCCACTTGCTTATCTGTAATAGGGACAAGAGTACCTACCTCCCAGGCTGGGATAATGGGGGACTGTCAGAGAAGCTGCTCCCCACAAGGGGCAGCTATCCTTATCTTAAACCAAGCAGCCATGCTGCTTCACCCCAAGCCCCAGGACACTCCTGGCCTTGGGGCCACATAGCAGTCATGAGGCTCATGAGCTGTGTGGGACCTCAGGACGTCAGTGACTGGCTGGAGAAGGAGTCTGAGCAGGGGCCCCTCTTGAGGGCACTGGAGGCTGGGGGCGCTGCTGTGGTCCGATGCAACTGGCACATGCACATCTCAGTGCCGCTACAGACAGGTAAGGGCCAGACTCAGGGTGGGCCCGGGGGCAGAAGGGAGCTCAGCAGGGACAGCGCTGCCATTAATGTCCCTGCGCACAGATCTGAGAAGGTTCCGGTCATACCAGGGGACGTCAGTGCGGGACCTGCTTCGTGCTATGAGGAACAAGGTATGCTCTAGGCTGGGGTGGGGGGGCCCTGATTCTGGGGAGGCTGATCACAGTTGAATAAGGTTCCACTCTAACCCCTCCAGAAGCACCACTACAGGGAGCTCCCGGCTGAGGTTCAGCAGGCGCTAGGCCACATCCCCGACAGCTTTGTCCAGTACTTCACGAACCGCTTCCCGCGGCTGCTCCTCCACACACACCAGGCCATGAGGAGCTGCGCCTCCGAACGCCTCTTCCTGCCCTACTATCCACCGGCCTCGGGAGCCAGGGAGACATGTCCGGGGGCTGCTGGGAGCTGACAGCCAGAAAAGGAGCTGGGCCTGTGGCTGAGGCTGGTCTCTGCCTCAGAAGACTGGCAGAGGCTTGGCAAACCAGGCCAACTAGAGGAAAGATGCACCAGGCACTCCATAGGAAATACAAGAAAAAGGTTCACGTGTTTAATGTGTGCAAAGGCAAGAAAGGACAGTCCCGGATTCAATAGCAACATTCTGTACAATTCATATGGTGGGGTTGAGAGAAAGAGGCCGTGGAACCCACACCAAACATGTATAAAAATAACTTATACAGCAACCCCCACCTGCAGGGACGATGAGGCTCTCGCCCAGCCACTAGGGCTAGGGGCCCATGACAAAAAGCAGCACCTTGGAGTTAATCAGATGGGCCAAGGTACTGTGGGGGTAAGGAGGGGCACCAGTCCAGAGGGCAGGGAGGGCTACGAGGAGGCCTTGAGGCGGTTGGTGGCTGAGCGTGAGCTCAGCAGCTTGTCCACCATGGTGCGGGCGTAGCGGAGCCGGTGGGCCAGCTCTTTGGAGCAGCCAAACTCCTCCAGGAGGCTCAGGCGGTACGTGTGGAAGTTCCGCTTCTCATCAATGTAGGTCACGGCCGCCATCAGTGGGCACAGGATGAGTTTGGTGTGGTCCTATGAGGGGAAAGGGGTGGCCAGATGGAGGCTGATCAGTGGCTTGAAGATCCCAGCTGATGGGGGGGTTACCCCATTTCATCCCCTTCCTGCTGCAAAGGTCCTGCACCTCCCTGCCCCACCCAACTCAGTGGGCCTTCTGACCACAGACACCCCAGCTCCAGTTCACCAAGGGCTCACCTGGAAGAAGTTGATCTGCACGCAGCCGTTACTGAGGTGCAGGATGATGGCGCTGCGGGTGCGGAACCATGTCCGCAGGTAGGGCAGGCGGGCCAGCTCATCGCCTTCCCGGGGCGTGATGTTGGCACCTGCCTTCAGCAAGTGTTCACTCATGTAGTTGCGGAAATACTTAAGGAGGGTGATCTGGTTGGAAAGTAGGGGAGGGTCTGAGTCAGAGTCTGTCCTCCTACCCCGGGCCTGGGCCTCCCTCCCAGCCAGCCCCATGGGAGGCCAGCACACACCTTCTTCATCAAGGAGTTGGGGTGGGCACTGACTGTGAGGTAGGACTCGGTGCCATCGCGCTCTATGTACTGCAGGCTGTCCCCGTCATTGTAGAGGATGAGGCGTGTGGAGTCGTTGAAGAGAACCCCCACGCTGTTGTCACACAGCTGATAACCTAGTGGTAGGGGAGGAGATCTCAGAAAGGGGGAGTAGGGAGCAGGGGGGCATTGGGAACCAGAACTGGGAGGCCTAGCATGGAGACAGGAGAGTGGTGAGAGAAAAGGACCTGGGAGCCAGGAAAGGCAAGAGCCTGCCAAACACTAGGCTGACCCAGAGCCACCCGACAATTCTGGAAGACACCTACCGAGGCCGTACTTGTCTGAATAGTCCACCCACTTGCTGACCCAGAAGATGGGGATGCAGGCGGGATCCTCAGCCTCCTCTGAGACAGAAACAGAAGATTAGTTAGGACCTGCCTCTTCTCCACCGGTTCACAGAGAGGCTTAGTCAACAGAGCTGGGGCCACGGAGGACAGAGCTCTGCCACCAACAAGCTCAGAAAAGCAGCAGGATAGATATTTAAGCAGAAAGTTGCAGCACAGCACCAAGTTCTGTCCCATTCATTCATACACTCATTCAGTCGAACCATTTATCAACGGCCTACTGTGTGCCAGGCACCAGCATAGTCCAGTGAGCAAGGACCAAAACCCAGCCTACGAGGAGCTTGTTTTCTAGTTACAGGAACAGAAACCAATCAAACTAAATATGGGCCAAATATTGAAGTTACTTCTACCTGGTGAGAGTCAGAGATTATCTAGTTTTCCAGTTTTGAGTGATTCAAACTTGTGAGAAGGAGACAATTAAAATACATCAAAATGGGCCTCCCCGGTGGCGCAGCGGTTGAGCGCTGGGTTGCGAAGCTGTGCGCGGCCTCTGCGGCGCCGGTTCGATCCCCGGCTGCTCCCCGGCCACCGGAGGAGGGTCCCACATGGCGCGCAGACCTCTCCTGCCGCCCGCTGCTCCCCTCAGCAGTGTACTTCGGTCCTTCTGCCTGCTCTGCTCCCCGCTCTGGCTCTGGTGGATTCTCTCACCCTCCCGCGCTTCTGACTGTACCCAGTGCATGTATAAACAAAACAAACAAACCAACCAGCAAACAAATAAAGCATGCCTCTATAAAAAAAAAAAATAAATAAAAATAAAAAAAAAATAAAATACATCAAAATGTCCAGTGCATGCAATAATCCCCTACAAATGTAACAGGGAAACTTGAGAATATGTCAGAGACAAGTATTATGGAGAAAGAGAAAGCAGGTGATGGGGCTGAGAAATGCTAGGAGTGGGTGGGCAGAAAAATGCTCCTGAGATGACAATGGGGCAGACATTTGAAGGAGGAGAGACTGTGTGCCATGCAGTTATCTGGTGGAAGTGCTTTCTAGAAGGGAACAACTCAAGCAAAAACCCCAATGCTGGGTTTCTTAGTGTGCAACATACTACCAGAAAAAGGCAGGGGCCAGGCGGTGGAGGGCCCTTGCATGGCAAGCTCACTCATTTGAACTTAATCTTACAGGAAATGGGGGACTAAAAATACCATAGACTCAGGGGCCTGGACAAACCACCAGCACTCTGCTGGTATCTGCCTTTACCAGATGCCCCGGCCAAGCGCCAGCCACCCCACTCCAGGGCCCCCAGCACCCACCTTGCCTTACCAGCCCCCGCTCTGAGGGCTTGGAGGCGTTGACACTGTGTAGCTGCTGCAGCATGTCGCCCAGGTGGCAGTCAACAGCCTCGTTGTTCTCCCGGACCACAGGTTCCTCTTTTTCCCGAGGACGGTCGGGTATGGGGTTCTCCGTGCCTAGGAAGAAGATGAGACACTGTCATTAGCTGGGCACAAAAGGAAGATGAGGACCACATTCCCTTAGCTGCTCTTCTCTCCAGAGAAGAACTGTCAGCTACCATTGCCTTGGGTAAACTGAGTCAGTGCCAGGTTATTAGAGCAACAGCTGCCACGCTCATGTGACAGGAGCATGATACTCACTGGTACCTCCAGGGCCAGGCCACACCCTGTAGGAAAGCCTCATGGCCATACAGCCACAGAGCTTCAGGCTTCTGACCAACACTGGGCCTTGCAGGCCACCACTGCTCATTCAGAAAGGACAGTTTGAAGGCAACAGCAGTGGGGAGCTGCCCAACTTCAAGCAAAGAATAAAGAACATCTTCCATATCTAGTAAATCATAGCTTATCAGCAAGATAAAAAAAACCTAACATAATTTTCCAACCTAAAATGCTATGTACACACAGACACACAAATATATCTCCAAAGAGAGTCTGAAAAGACACACATTGAGGGCCTCCCCTGGTGGCACAGGGGTTGAGCACTGGGCTGCGAAGCTGCCAGCAGCCTCTGCAGCACTGGTTTGATCCCTGGCTGCCGGCAAGGGTCCCCCATGGCGCGACAGATCTCTTCTGCCGCGCCCGCTGCTCCCCTCAGCAGTGTATTTCGTCAGTCTGCCTGTTCTGTTCCCCACTCTGGCTCTGGTGAATTCTCTCACCCTCCCGCGCTTCTGACTGTACCCAGTGCTTGTATAAAAAAAAAAAAAAAAAAAGACACATTGAAATGTTAACATTGGTTGTATTTGGTGGCATAAACACTGTTGATTTTTATTTTATGCTTAAAGGTTTAATTCTTTCCCCACCAACATGTACTAATTCCTTGTATAATAAAATTTTTCTTAAAATATTTCAAGATCAGCATTTTCAATTAAAAAAAACTATGCTGTGATAAGGATTCAAGGGCGAAATAAGACATTTAGGAATTTCCTTAAAGACTAGCAATAAAAGATGGGGAGCGGAATTGATAAAAACAAGTGTGGCAAATGCTAGCTATCAAAAATGGGTCACAAACACACAGGGCTTCACCATATAGCTCTCCCTACTTTTGGGAAAATTTTTTTAAACAAGTATATGTGTTCAAAAATGAAAAACCAAAAGAATAAGAGCAATCCTTAAAAGCTCAAATAATAAATTTGCAAGTCCATACTGACATAAATAACCCAATAAACATGTGGGAGAGAAGCAAAAGCTCTTCTTTACAGAAGAATTCCAGAGAAGATATGCAGGAGGGTGGAAGGGGAAGACTCACCATCAGGACCCCAATAATAATTGCAAGATCAACCATGGATGCTTAACCGGTAGGCAAACGTTTGAGGAGAAGCAGGAGCCTCTCCCAGTGGCTCCTGGCAAGGGTTATGAATTATCAAATACAAAGGGGGAAATGACCCTGCAGTGGAGAAATCCAGCAGATTCCACGTTCAGCAAGTGACCAAAATTATCACCAATCAAAAGAAATGTCAAAAATTAAAACCCAAAGGAAGAAAGGACTGTAACTGAAATAAATGAACTTATGCATTAAATTGTGCTATATCAACACAAAGGAAAGTATTTCAAGTAACTTTTTTTAAAACTATATATCCTTGGGCCTCCCCGGTGGCGCAGCGGTAGAGCGCTGGGTTGCGAAGCTGCCCGCAGCCTCTGCGGCGCTGGTTCGATTCCCGGCTGCTCCCTGGCCACCGGAGGAGGGTCCCACATGGTGCGCAGACCTCTCCTGCCACCCGCTGCTCCCCTCAGCAGTGTACTTCGGTCCTTCTGCCTGTTCTGCTCCCTGCTCTGGCTCTGGCGAATTCTCTCACCCTCCCGCGCTTCTGACTGTACCCAGTGCATGTATAAACAAAACAAATGAACAAACAAATAAATAAATAAAATAAAACATGCCTCTAAAAAAAAAAAAAAAAAAAAAACCTATATATCCTTAGTGAAATATATCCTAAGGACAAATACAAGAAAATAAAGCAGGAAATAGCAGGAACAAATTTACATATGCTGGAAATTGTATGTGTATTAGTGTAAGGAAATAAGATTGTCAGTTAAAGAGAAAAGAAACACAATTATAAAGTGAAACAAGTAAAAACCCTACAATATTATGTTTGAATCAGGCACTTAAATTACCAAGAGAAAAAAATAACTCCACAGTGAAGAAAAGGATTGTTCTAAGACAATATTGTATCAGTGTTAATGATCCTGAACTTGATAACTGCATCAAGTGCTATGGTTATGTAAAAGAATCTTTGTTTTTAGGAAATATATACTGAAGTATAAAGCAGTAAAAGCCAGGATGCAGACAACCTCAAATGGTTCAGAGAAAGAAAAAAATAAAAGAGAAGGATCAAGGAAGTGTGCGAAAAATGTTAACTGATAGAGGAAAGGGGTGACAGGCTACGGATTTTTGTCTTTCTTACACTTTTTCAAGTTTCAAATATCCAAATAAAATGAAAAAAAAAAAAAAAAAAAAAGTGGATCAGAAATATCTGCATTAATTCAGCGATGTCCCCACCCCCCAAATCTCCAAATTCTGTCCTGTGAAGAGACCTAGAAAGGACAACCTAAGTAGCATCATGTGGCTTAAAAATGCCCATCCTTTTAAAGAGATGCATACTGAAGTGTATGAGGGTGAAATGGCAGGATGCCTGGGATTAACCTCAAAAATACTTGAAATAGGGCCTCCCCTGGTGGCTCTGGCGGTTGAGCGCTGTGCTGTGAAGCTGTCTGCAGCCTCTGCAGTGCTGGTTGGATCCCGGCCGGCCAGCCGACGAGGGTCCCACATGGCATGACAGACCTCTCCTGTCTCGCCCGCTGCTCCCCTCAGCGGTGTATTTCGTCAGTCTGCCTTTTCTGTTCCCCGCTCTGTCTCTGGTGAATCCTCTCACCCTCCCACACATCTGGTCTGTACCCAGGTTCTTGTATAAAAATAAATAAATCTTAAAAAAAAAAAAAATACTTGAAAGAAACAAAAAAGGAGAGATGACACATGATAAAATCCTAGTAACTGCAGAAGCTGGTGGAATGTGGGGGTTCACTGCATTGTGCTCTGAATGCAGATTTGAAATTTTTCTTATTTGTCAATGAACCATCCAGTTAGGAGTTTTTTAAATAAGAAATACTAAGGTGGGACATTCAGACTCTCTCTCCTTGACCTCAGGGTCTGCTCCAGTGTTTTTCCTGACAGGCTCACAGGAAGAAGGCATCTGGCTGTGGGAGGATGGGGGCTGGAATTCAGGGAGCAGGGCCTGTCCGACTCCATCCACTCGTCTGAGGTCTGCTGTCCACCCAGACCCTTCTATTACCTTTATTGAGGACCGTGAGAGGCTTCCGGTTGCTGGGGTCCAGACTGCTGGGCGCAATTGAAAACCTGGGTGGAATGGTGAGGCAGGTAATGGGGAGTCGGGCAGGGATGTAGCCAGAAGTAAAGAACTCATCGTTGAGCAGCTCGTGAATGGTTGGGCGGGCAGTGGGGTCTGTCTGTAGCATCTTCTGGATGAGGGAGGCGGCCACAGGATTTATGTGCTGGAGTGGAGAAGGAAAGCCATCAGCTTGACAGGACAGGCCCAGTGTGCAGGAGGGAACTGCAGGCCTCCAGCCCACACGCAGCCCCCCAGCCTCACCTACACCACCTTCAGTGGCTATAAACACTGCCAAGTTGCCCACTGTCGGCTTTACTGAGTCACCCAGTGCCAGCCTCACTTGTGAGAATGCTCATTTCTCCTTCCTTCTGAGACTCACAAGATTAGTCTGAGTCATTTGAATCTGCTATTAGGTAACTCAAGTTATCACTACAGGTGCCACTGAGAACAGAACATAGGCTTCAAGGTCATAAACCAGGGTCTCAACCCCAGTTCTTTCCTTTAATAACAGTGACAGGTACCCCAACCCTGGGGTCCTAGTGAGAAGACTCAGTGGGCTGTAACCTAGCGCAAGACAACTGCGAGCTGGAATGTAGCTGTGCGCTATGTGCCAAGCTCCTGCAGCAACGGGCTGTTTGTTTCTCAGTGCACTGCTGCTGGTGGTTGTGGACTCACAGTGGCTCATACTGGGTGAGCGTTTACTGCACACAAGGCACTCTGCAAGATACTCCATTTTATAGATGGGGATGTGGCAGGGCCCAGTGGAATCAAGACAGTCCCTTTCCCAAGTCTAAGCAGCACTTCTACTCCTGCCCCCTACTCCCACCCACCCTCCCCCCGCCCGCTCTTTTTTTTTTTTTTTGCTTTTTACGTGTCTTTTGGATTGACTATTCAACCTTTGACAATCTATAAATTTTGTCCCCAGGAAAAAAATACTTTTGTACACAAAAGTCAAGTTCTCTAGGCAATTTCAGGTACAGACCCGCTGTGGCCACCTGAGGGGTAGGGGGCAGACCCATCTCTGTTCCCAGGATATAGCTGGACTCAGCAAAAAGCTCTTAGGGAAAAATAAATAAGTAAATTTAAACTTAAAAGTGTTTCTGGTCACCTTGGGAATACTGTATTCATTCTTCTTGATCCGGAGGTAGGTCTCTTTCAGGCACGAGGTCTCAAAAGGAGGTTTGCCCACTAACAAGGTATACCTGTAAGTACAAGGTGGGATTCAGCTCAGGACCAGAATGGAAGGAGAGCATCCTCTGGACACTCACTCTGACGCTGGGGTCCCTTCGGATAGTCCCCAAGACCACAGAGCAACCCCACCAGCCAGGACACAGATCCTGATGAGCCCTCAGTAGCATACAAGCGATGAGGTCAGGATTTGATGACCAGTGGTTTTTCAACTATTATCTGCAGTTATCTAGGACCCCAGAAGCTGCCAGCCCCTATAAAAAGTGGTTCAAGGGGTAGCTACCCACTCCCAGAGAGGCAGCTGTACATTTTCACTTGCAAAAGCTCCACTGCAGAGAAGTATGAGAGCCACTGCTACAACCCATTTCTAACATGTCAATACCCATGCAACAACATAAAACCAATTAGTATAACACAAAAAGCATAACACATGAAAAGGCCTAAGCCCCTGCCCACCACCCAGTCCGCTCTGACAGCCTCAATCTGGACAAACCACAGACACTGCCTCCTGCCAGCTCCAGTACCCGGCCAGGCCCTCCCACCTGGTGTTGCTTTCTAGATCAATGTGCATAGGAATAATCCCAGGGTTCTTGTGAAAATCCAGATTCTCACCCAAGAGCCAAAGCTTCTGCATTTCTGACAAGCTCCCAGCTGATGCTGCTGGACTGTGGCCACACTTTGATAGCAAGAGGCTAGAGCAGATTTGTGAAGACCTTCTACCCCCCTTCCTGGAACCCACTGTCTAGGATGCAGGAATCCTAGACGGTATACCAGTGTAGAGAAAGAGATGGAAATTAGTCTTTGTTTTTAGACAATCTGTCATCTGGAGTAGCAGAAATGTCCATGGATAAGCTCAACCAGGTAAGATGTCCCAAAGGGACCCTACTGGGGTCAGGTGGGTCCTGAGACAACTCCCAACTTACATGATGCACCCAATGGACCACACATCCACCTCGAAACTGTGCCCTTTCTTGCTCAGCACCTCGGGAGCTATGTAATTAGGAGTCCCACACAGAGTCTTCTTCCGCTCCCCATCATATTCGACTTTGGTTGCCAGTCCAAAATCCCCTGGGACAGAGGGAGGAAGAGGGGGTACTCAGATGCTAGCCTCTGTCATCTGTCAATGCAGACAGCTGTCAATGTTTTACCAGCAAGAACCAAGGTCATTTGAGTTTGCAAACCTATAGTCATTGCACACAGCAAAGTTGCCCAGGAATCCATCCTTCCACCATGCTGGCCCTAGGGAGGTGCCTTGCCATGACCCTCTTCATCTTTCTCCCCTGGTAAGGAGGGCAGTTTTGTTTTTTTTTTTAAAAATCTTTTTTTTTTTGGGAAGATTTATTTATTTATACAAGCACTGGGTACAGTCAGAAGCGCAGGAGGGTGAGAGAATTCACCAGAGCCAGAGCGGAGAGCAGAGCAGGCAGAAGGACCGAAGTACACTGCTGAGGGGAGCAGCGGGCGGCAGGAGAGGTCTGCGCACCATGTGGGACCCTCACCCGGTGGCCAGGGATCGAACCGGTGCTGCAGAGGCTGCGGGCAGCTTCGCAGCCCAACGCTCAGCCGCTGGGCCACCGGGAAGGCCCAGTTTTTCTTTTAAGATTTATTTATTTATGCACAGAAGAGCTGGGGTGCTGGCCAGAGATGCAGGGGTTGAGAGGATTCACCAGTGGCTGAGTAGGGAGTAGAACAGGCAGAGGTACTGAAATACACTGCTGAGGGGAGCAGTGGGCAAGACAGGAGAGGTCTGCTGCACTGTGCGGTTCACCTCCCTGGCTGGGGATCGAACTCGTGCTGCAGTGGCTGCAGATAGCTTCATAGAGCTGTGTCTTAACCCCCTGAGCCACCAGGGAGGCTCCAGGAGGGCAATGTTTTGAGAAGGGGATTGACGGGGTTAGCAAAACTCAAACTTCTTTAGAAATCAAGAAAGACTTACTTGGCAAGATATGGAGGATAACAGGGAGGACAGCAGCAAGCCAGAGGGTATCTAAGCAAAAGCTGCTTTTCAGTTAACAAAGAGCTGCCCTGGGGAATACTGTCCTTGCTGTAATGCTGGAGCTTTTAATTGTTCAAAAGGAGTTTCAAATCCAAAATTTCACATCAAATCTCCCAATTTACAAAATGGAAACTAATTCAAATTCTTTTTCAGAAAAATATTGTGTAGGCTCCCCGACCCCAACCCCGCCAATGCATCTGCAGCCAGATACCAGCTTGTGGCTCTTTGTTTTGAATGTCTGTACTGAAGGGTTCTAGAGACAACAGCCCAGAATTCCTGCCCTCTCTTCCTCCCTCATCTCCTTCCTACTTCCTCTCTCCCAGTCTTCTCATTCCCACTTCCAGTGTGTCGAGCGCCCCTGCAGCCCAGCACCTCACCTATTTTCACCTCCAGATCCTCGTTCAGGAAGAGGTTACCCAGCTTGAGGTCTCGGTGAATCACCCTGTTTCGGTGCAGGTACTGGCAGCCAAGGACGATCTGGCGCAGGTAGTAGCGGGCCTCGGGCTCGGTCAGGGCTTTCCGCCGCTTGTGCAGCTCCAGCAGAGACTGGGAGGGGATGAAGGGGAGGAATGAGGGCTCCGTGCTGGGTGCAAGGTGAGGGGCCGGGGCCTTTAGGTAAAGCAGCCCTCCCTCCCATTCCTTCTCCGGGACAGGATCTGGACTCTCCCCGAAGCCTGGCCACAGCCCCCCACAGCCCCCCCTCTCCTACTGGGCCCCTTCCCAGCCGTTTACCTTGGAACCCCGTCTCAGACCCACCCTGGAAGCTCTGCGCACCCATTATCCCCTGCCAGGATCTCTCAGCAGCAGCAAATTCCTTCCAGAGCCCTCTCTCTCCCGGAAGCGCCCAAAGCCGCCCGCACCACCCCTTCCCGACCCGCTGCGGAAGCTCCGGATGCGCAGCACCCGGGCCGGGCCTGCTCCCGGCGACGCCGGAAGCCCCAGCGTCCATCTCCAGGGCGCCCCGGCCCCGCGTCTCCGCACCCCCCTGCCCCAACACCTGGCGTCCGGGCGCCGCCATCCTCAGCCGCAGGGCTCCGGGGCCGCTGCACGGGAACCGCTCCCCGGGCCGGGCACCTCCACCCGGGCACCTCCCTGCCCCGCAGCGCCGGCTCCGAGCTTCCCGCCCCGGCCCCGGCGGCCCCGGCCGCGGCCCGCCGCTCACCCGCCGGCGGCAGAGCTCCAGCACCACGAACACGAAGTCGTTGTCCTCGAAGAAGCCGTGGAAGCCCACGACGTGCTGGTGCGCGAGGCTGCGGTGGATGGAGATCTCCATGGACATCTTCTCCTTCTGGTGCGGCTTGAGCAGCAGCGACTTGGGCACGATCTTGCCCGCGAACACCTCCCTGGAGTCGGCGTCCGAGATCTCGAAGCACTTGGCGAAGCCGCCCTTCCCGAGGAAGCGGCCGCGCAGGTAGCGCCGCCGGCTGCGCGGGTCCACCAGGACCTCCGGGATCTCCTTGGCCGGCGGGGCGGCCGCCGGGGCGCCGGGCGCCGCCACCTTCCCGGGCTCGGCCGGCGCCCGCGCCAGCTTCCCCGCAGCCGCGGCCGCACTCATGTCGCCGGGACGCGGAGCCGCCGAGCAGGGCCGCGCAGGCAGGTCCGCGCAGGGTGGCTCCGCTCTCCGCTCCTCCCGAATTCAAACGCGGCGCCGGGAACGTTACAGCAGCCGGGCGCCCCTGATTGGCCGCGGGGATTTAAAATCCAAACCCGCCCGCCGCGCGGCACCATGGGAGCGCCCCGGCGCCGCCTCCCCCGGCCGCCCCGAGCCCCGGCCCGGGGGCGCGGGCGGCGCGCTCGGGGGGCCGGGGAGCCAGGCCGGCGGGAGGCCGGGACCCCCGGGCGGGCCGGGCGCTCTGGGACCGGCCCTTCCTCCGCGGCCGGGGAAGCGCGCAGTCCGCTCGCCACCTCCCCCGGGAAGCCTTTCCTAACTCCACCCGCCACTCCTGCCCCCACCCACCGCACTTCTAGAATATAAACTTCGAGAACGGAGACCTGGCAGCGCCCAGCGATAGTTTGGAAGAGCTTCAGCTCCCGCCTTCCATGTCATTCTTTCAAGTTACCCGATAAACTTGAAATCGAAGCATGCACAGGAGGCTGGCCAAGCCCAAGCACCTTCCTGGTAAAACCCCTATCCCCTCCCTTCGACTAGCCCTGAGCCCCTCTGGATCCTAGAGCAATGCGGCCCAAAGGAGGGCTCAGGGACCACCGGAATCACCGTCACCTGGGAGCTTGTTAGAAAGGCAAGATTCAGGGCCCTACAGCCCACCTCCGGAGTCAGAATCTGTCTTTCAACACGACTGTCCAGCTGAATCAACGCATACTGAAGACAAACAAGGAAACAGAGCTGCCCCCCACCCCGCACCCCCCATGCAAGAAAGCTGCCTCACTGGCTCCCGGCTGTATTTCCCCGCACCTAAAATAGTGGGCCCTTTATTGTTTGGGGAGGGAGAGATGGCTGTTTGGCAGAATGCCTGGCCAACTGGTAGGTCACCACGAAATTTGGCCTCCAGGGGGGTTTTGTTGGGTCTCCCACTCTAAAATTTGGATTTATGGCACTTAAAAATCAAGCAAGCTCATGGACCTCCCCGGTGGCGCAGCGGTTGAGCGCTGGGCTGTGAAGCTGCCCGCGGCCTCTGCCGCGCCGGTTCGATCCCCGGCTGCTCCCCGGCCATCAGAGGAGGTTCCTGCATGGCGCGCGGACCTCTCCTGCCGCCCGCTGCTCCCCTCAGCAGTGTACTTCGGTCCTTCTGCCTGCTCTGCTCCCCGCTCTGGCTCTGGTGAATTCTCTCACCCTCCCGCGCTTCTGACTGTACCCAGTGCTTGTATAAATAAATAAATAAATCTTTAAAAAAAAAAAAAAAGAATCTTAAAAAAAAAAAATCAAGCGAGCTCATGTGTGGATTTTGGTGTGTGCGCATAGTGGTGCGGGGAGGGGAACAATCATCAGCTGGCAGCTCTATGCCTACATACTTCCCGAGTTTGCCAGAATTCCCAGCTAATCCCTGAATGGCAAAATACCCAAGTTAGAAGCCCTTTCTGCATGGTAGCGTTCTGTGTGTTCAACAGAGCCCAGCAAAAATCAACCACGTGGTCAGCATCTCTTTCTCTGCTTCCCAACTAACTGAGGTTAAGGATGCCACCACCTTCGTACCCACGTCCCAATCTCCTAGTGCAATGCCTAGCTAACATGTTTGCTGGATGAAAGAAGGATGTTGTTTCATTAAATTATTATTTACTATGCCCATGGTGTTTGATCTTTCTTCTTGAAGTTGAATCTACATAGAGAAAAAGTGAGCATAATGTACAACTATGAGTTGTACAACTCAGTGAAATTTCACAAACTGAACACACCCATGTTAGCAGCACCCAGACAGAAAAAGTGAAAGGTCCATGCAGGGGGCTGGAATGCAGGAGTCAACCAGGAAGCCCACCTGGGGGGCAGGAATGGGGATATCTGCCTGGAGGACAATGAGCCTCCCCCCTCCCCCTACAGTCTCTTCACAAAGAACCTCTACCTGCCCCACAAACTTTTCCCGCAATACGAGCCCAACTACCCACACCTGACCTCTCCTCACCCTATAAAACCCTGCTTCCCCCTAACAACGTGCGCGGCTTCCCTCCCTTTGAGAAATGTAGCCTGGCTCTCCTTTTCTTTACCGCGCCGAACCTTTCAAAAAGAACACAGCCAATGCTCCTATGTCCCCCTAGTGTGTGTGTGGGGGGTCCCCAGGACCACTCCGGACCACTCCCCCAAGCTGGATGGTTTGCTAGAAGACTCACATGAGTCAGCATATACTGATTATATATCTGCACATAATACTCACTGAGAGCTATGATTTATTACAGCAAAAGGCTACAAAGGCATATGGGGCAAAGTCCAGACCAAACCAGGAACAAGCTTCCCCAACTCCACTCCCAGTGCAGCCACACTTAAATCTTCCAGTGATGAGTTAGGACAACACATATGAAATATAACCTACCAGGGAGGCTTATTAGAGACTTGGTGTCCAGGGTTTTTACTGGGGACTGGTCAAATAGGCATGCTCTGCCTAGTGCACACCAAAATTCCAGTTCCCAGAAGGAAAGCAGGTATTCTGCAGACTCTATGGTTTGCACAGCTCAGGCACAGTGAGCAACTCTTCTCAAATAGGGGCTGGTGAGAACACTCCCCAGATCTAAGCACCTAGACACCAGCCAAGTGCCAGGCCTGCAAGTAGGCCTTTCTAAGGAGAGTCTCAGACCTGCTTTATTCATTCTTTTTTTTTTTTTTAAAGATTTATTTATTTATTTATACAAGCACTGGGTACAGTCAGAAGCGCGGGAGGGGGAGAGAATTCACCAGAGCCAGAGCGGGGAGCAGAGCAGGCAGAAGGACCGAAGTACACTGCTGAGGGGAGCAGCGGGCGGCAGGAGAGGTCTGCGCGCCATGCAGGGCCCTCCTCTGGTGGCCGGGGAGCAGCCGGGGATCGAACTGGCACTGCAGAGGCTGCGGGCAGCATCGCAGCCCAGCGCTCAACCGCTGTGCCACCAGGGAGGCCCTGCTTTATTCATTCTTTTCTGCACAATTCACCCCCTATTCTGAAGTTGTTATCAGTAGGAGCCCACACAAAAGGAGGAGCCCAATCTGCAGTTCTGATCTCAGCCATACATGGTAGGGGTCTTGGATTTAGCCAACTAAAATAAATCCCATTACCCACAGAAATCTATCTTAGAAAGTCAGGGGGCTTCCTCCTTAGTTTCTGTGTGCAAGTTCAAGCTGACCAGAAGCCTTCCAAGGCCGAGGCAGCGTGGTGATGGGTACAAACAGACGTGCAATACCATCAGACACATCTAGTCCCCCTGAATACAAGTTTACAATGTCAGGGTACCCCAAGCAGGATACAATAGTATGCAGTAGAGGTTGTCAGGTCTCCCAGTGCAGGCCTCTGACCTGGGGTTTCTGGTCTAGAAAGGAAAACCCAGCCCGTGCTTGTCTTCAAGGGACTGCCTGAAGGCAGTCAGTTCTGATCAGTTTTGCTTGTTCATCAGAGTGGACAACACTAGAAGGTGTTCCTTGCAGAAAGCGCAGGAGCCAGGCCCCCTCTGTTGTCACATGTGAGGGCTGCCAGTGGATCTCAGGCTCAGTAGTGCCAATTCAAAGCCTAGCAGCACAGGCAAAGAGGCTGCTCTAGGAGTTGTCCTTCAGGAGGGGAAAGCCCACTCCCTTCCCCAAGGTGCTCCAGGTGCCAGGGTTTTGCTTTTTCTCCAGGTACAAAATGAGTGTGCCCCCTGCCGTCCAGGCGGGCAAACTTCACATTTCTTCAATCAATTCTTACTCTCATCCAGTCCTTTCATTTGGAAGGGTTGTATGCCAATGGCATAAAAGCACTTTTGTAGATAAGCAATTTTATACAATTTAACCAGAAAGATATATTCAGGAACTGATCAGGATGTGCTATGGGCTGAACTGCGGTGCCCCAAAATTCATCTATTGAAGCCTTAACCTCCAATACCTTTGAATGTGACTGTTGGTGGAGACAGAGCCTTCTGTGGTAATTAAGTTAAAATGAGGTCAGTAGGGTGGGCCCTAATTCAATGTGACTGTGTACTCAAGAGATTAGGACACAGACCACACAGATGAGTGATTCTGTGAGGACACACAGAGAAGATGAGCATCTGCAAGCCAAGGAGAGCAGCCTCAGGAGAAACAAACAAGGAACTGACACCTTGATCTTGGACTTCTGGCCTCTAGAAGAAAATGTTACTGCTTAACCCCCCCCACCGCCCCCACCTCCAGTCTGAGATATTTTATTATGCCGTCCTAGCAAACAAATGATGAAATCCAGAATATTCAAAAATTTCAAAATGAATTTACATAACCTGCCCCTTTGATCCAGAGAGCAGCCTAGAAAAGATCAATCCATTTCTGGAGACAGCTACACTTGAATAATCACCCTACCTTGGTAAGTGTGTACACAGAGGAAGTGAGGGAGTAAGGCTCTCCGCCCAGGTGGCAAGCTGCCATGAATCCAGAAAGTCGTGCAGGAGTGAGCTGCAGTGAGATATCCCCCGAGTCTGATCTGTGGAAAGCAGGTGGAGGGGTCACAGTCTGTGATGCAGCTTGGGCAGGGACCACCAGGGAGGATGCACGCAGCCTTCAAACTGGAGAGGAGGTTTCAGAAGTTCCCATCAGAGAACAAGCCATTTCCTGGGGCATTTGCAAGTGACAGGCTGGCCCAGCCAGCATCCACCATGCATGTTTTCATGGTTTAGAGCTCCACGGAAGGGGGCTGAATCTTCAGCGTTCCCAGGTCAGTCCTGGTCACACAGCCTGTCTGCTTTCGGTTCAGCAAGGTACCTGGTGAGAATGGAACAGCTCACGGCAGCCAGCATCAGGTTTCAGGTCCTATCCAGTTCTAGGCAATTAGTCAGTGAAAATCTGGAGTTCCAAACAAGCCACATAGGCATGGTGCGGTGCCAGAGAGGCCTGCTTCCAGTCGCAGTGACAAGGTTTTCTTTTCCTCTTATAGTCTTTCCATGTGGACAAATTCAAAGGAAAGCACATCAGACTGGACAGTCATCAGCCTCAAGTGCCAGGCATTTGATTTCAGCAACGCCTCACTAGCCATTTAACGGCTTTTCCAAATCCCAGATGTGTACTTCCATCCTGAGATTGCCTCTCTTTATGCTGTTTCTTTCCCAGATTCCAATTGGCATGATTCATAGCAAAAATCATCACTTATGGAGAGCTGTTCTGGTGCCAGTGCCCTTCAAATTCACATTCATACCCACTTAATGGTGGGGAAAAGCAAGGAGGCTCAACTCCACCCACACCTTCTTAGTTTAATATTTGTTGTGTATTTCTTCGACTGGGATGATCCCTCAAGGGTTGATGAAATTATAAGCCTATGACATTTTAAATCACTTTTATCACACATCCACATACAATAGCCACAAAATACAGAGTTACTATTTTTACATTTTCCTTTTTTCCTCATTGCAAAATTACTCAATCCCCTGGCAGTCAATTCAGCATTTACAGGGTCATCCTCACAGGCTTATAACGCTCTTTTCTGCACAGGCCCCCTTCCAGAAACAAATCCTCCCCGCCAGTGTCCACTGCATAGAGTACTTTATAAGCATGTTGGTGTTTCTCATTCATACAGTGAAAAGCCATTGAGTATTTACTCCAATTAGGAACATTTACTGAAAAATGAAGCACTCACAGATGGCAGACTTACAGCAGGGGAGGGGAGGGCAAGGGGTCACAATGGGAGGGAAGAGCACAAGGGACTGTGGTGAGGGTTCACTGGGTGAATTGGTGGTGGCAGATTTATAGGGATTGCACCTGGGGGGAGAAATCAAATTTGTACAAAAATGAACAATGAGGTGAGAAAATAAAAAACAAAGCACTGAAGAAACTTTGCTTTGTCCATTAATAGCTTTTTTGTATTATCATACTTCCTTATAGTCCTTGTCAACATAGAGTTTCAATTTATTTTTTAAAGCTATTTATTTATTTAAAAAAATTATTTATGCATTCAAGAACTGGGGTATAGGCCAGAGGTGTGGGGGTAAGAGGGTTCACCAGACAGAGTAGGGAGCAGAACAGGGGGATCTACTGAAATACACTGCTGAGGGGAGCAGCGGATGAGAAGGAGAGGTCTGCTGCATCATGTGGGTAGCTCCCTGGCCAGAGATCGAACTCATGCTGCAGTGGCAGGCAATAGCTTGATAGCGCTGAGACTTAACTCCTGCACCAACTGGGAGGTCCCGAAGTTTCAATTTTATACAGCTAAAATTATGCCACGTTCATACAGTCCGTCTGCCTGGCACCAGAAATAATACTGACCGTAAACTCTTTCTGAGCAGTAACTAACTAGACCAGGCATGGGGGCACGTGGGGACTAAGAGCTTTACAGAGATGATCTCATTTAATTCTCACAAATTCTAGGATGTTTATTCCTATCTTGCAGATGAGGAAGTCACAACTTCAGTATTAGGTTACTTGCCCAAGGTCATAGAGCCGGGAGGTGGCAGAACTTGAATTCCAACCCAACTCGTCCCACTCCAAAGTCCACCAGCTTCTCTGCACACTGCTTCCAGAGGGCTTGTCTGCCTGGCAAGCCCCAAATCCCAGACTTGCTCACTCACTTGCCCTCTACCAAAAAGCAAGGTAGTGTATTGAACTCACAGACTAAAGAACCTTGGGTTCAAATGCAAGCCTCTCCCCTTACCATCTCTATGACATTGGACAAGTTACTTCTCCTTGTCTCAGTTTCCAGATCTATAAAACAGCACCTTCAAATGACTCGTTTCATGTGTCAATCTTTTAATGTACAAACATTTTAAAATGAGATCAGAAAGCAGTTTTACATTGAACTAGCGGAGATGATTACACATCACTGTTTTTGTAAGCCCCACAATCGGATATTAAGTTAAGACAGATCTTGCTAGATCTTAACCATCAAAGCTGAACTGTTCTACTCTAATCATGGCAGAGCCAGAGCATTAATCAAGGCCAACCTCCACTTCCAAATTTTTCTAAACCAAGAGCAGAACCAGGAAGGGCTGCACTGCTACCCACAGGAGATGGTAAGGACAGCACTGACAATCTCATTTACTCCTCAGGGCTCTGTGCCCACAAAATGATTTCAGAAGGCCCCCTTGTATACATGACTGTGCCAAGTAGAGATATTTTGATCTGAATTGTGAGGTTTATGGCGAATAGAGTGGGTTGAATGGTCGAGGCCAGGACCTGAGTGTGACAGAAGCAAGGGGTACACTGCTGCTTCCAAGTGTCCAGGAGCAAGGAGTGACTGCCACACTAATCCATCCACCTGGGAGACTCAAACGTGAACCTTTGCAAAAATAAAATCTGGGTGTTAAGAGCCCCCTTTTTGTGAAAGCCAACAGCCCTACAATAGAATTCTAGAGAGGCTTCTATCAGTCGCCCTGGGTCAAAATGACAGCTAAGGTCATTTTAGGAAGAAGAGAAATACCAACTACCTTCCCTTCAAGTTTTAGTAGCCAAGGAATTTGGGCTCTGAAAAGACAAAAATGCTTGTTTTTCAAGATTATGAGCAACTGTGCAACTGGCCAAACTGTTAGCAGCAGAAAAGCTGCCTGGGAGCTGTGGGAACATGCTCACTGGAGTAGCTTCTGGCCGCGAGCAGCACACCAGCTTCACAACCTCCACCTCAGGTCAGAGTGCTCCCAGTCTGCAGGCCTGTTCCAGGCAGAATCCACACATCCATAGGTTCAAGGTTGGGGTTGGGGCTGGGAACAGAAGATTCTGTGTTCTACAGATAATGGCTAAGAGATAAGATAAAAGCACATCATTTGGAGACAATGCCCCCAGACCTTCTGTTACTCAAGTCTCAGAGCCTGGAAAGACTGGAAAATTCTTTTTTTTAAAAAAAAGGAGGCAGGTGGAAGGTGTCAAAGACACAAGAGCTCTTTGGAAATTCTGACTGGCTAACTTTGTCCCCAAAGTTTATCTTAGAGCTCATGTGAAGTGAAGACATGAGGCAGAGATGTTAGACTTGTGTCAAGGGCAAAAACTTCTGGTAGTAGCTCTTAGTGACGTCAATCATCAGCTCCTGAGTACATTCTGGGAGCTCCCCCGAGAAGAGTCCTAGGGAAAGAAAAACCAGTCAAACCATGTGCAGTCGGGGAAGTCTGCAGCTCTGATTTCTGTCTAGGCTTCCAGAGGGCCCTTTTCTTTTTTTTTTTTTTTTTTATTTATTTTTTTTTTTATAGAGGCATGTTTTATTTATTTATTTGTTTGTTTGTTTGTTTTGTTTATACATGCACTGGGTACAGTCAGAAGCGCGGGAGGGTGAGAGAATTCACCAGAGCCAGAGCGGGGAGCAGAGCAGGCAGAAGGACCGAAGTACACTGCTGAGGGGAGCAGCGGGCGGCAGGAGAGGTCTGCGCGCCATGTGGGACCCTCCTCCGGTGGCCGGGGAGCAGCTGGGGATCGAACCGGCGCCGCAGAGGCCGCGGGCAGCTTCGCAACCCAGCGCTCAACCGCTGCGCCACCGGGGAGGCCAGAGGGCCCTTTTCTTTAGTAATGAGGAAATGCTAGGTTTTCCACCTTCAGTGCTAACAGAACTGACCATATATCTTCTAGACAAAATTGTGTGTGTGTGGGAATCAAACAGTACATTTCCCAAAATGGAAAAATATATTTTAGGAAAAAGAGGTCAGTACGTTATTGCATGATCTGAAGAGTTAAGGGTATCTGATTACATGGGAGGTTGTTCCAGACAAGGATTTGTGCATCCCCAGGATTCTTGTGTGACACTTACTGGGCAAGCCAAGGTGACCACCCTTGAGGTAAGAAATTGCCCCGTCACTCACATAACAAAACTGAATGCAATGCCTGAACATGCTAGTTACAGATAAAACATGATGGGAGCAGAACAGAAATGTCCCGCAGAAAGACAAAAGGAGGGGCAATGAAATTTAAGAATTTCTAGGAAAGAGACACTCTTGTATACTGTGGGCAAAAGTGTACACTCACCACCATTTTGAAGAGCAATTTAGGAACATCTACAAAACTTTAATAAGTTTATACCCTGTGACCTGATGATTCAACCTCTAAGAATTTATCCCCCAGATAATCCTGCCCAATTGCACAGAAATATGTACAAGAATGTCGATGCTGCAAAGTTTCTAATAGTGAAAAGCCAGACACAACTTCTAATGACCTATTAATACAAGGAGATTGATTATTTATACAGTGGGGCATTTATGCAATGAAAATATGTAACAATTAAAATGAACAAGGTTCATCTCTACATAATTGACAAGAAAAGATGCCCAAGACACACTGTTAAGAAAGCAAGTTTCTGCAAGGGAGGCATGAGGACAAGGGACTGCGGGGTGGATCATGGGTGCCATGGTGGTGGATCATGGGTGCCATGGTGGTGGGAGAACTACAGGGACTGCACCTGAGGGGAGAAACCAATACTGCCCCAAAACTAACAGAGATGCAAGGAAATAAACACATTAATTAAAAAAGAAAAGCATGTTTCTGAAGAGAACAGAGTGCAAGTCTGTTATATGAGTATAAACAATTTATATATCCATATTATTTACATATACATACACCTATACAGTCACTCACTCTCACACACACACACGCAATTATATTGAAAGAAAGTAACAGGGAGGATAGAAAAAATGGTTTAAAAAATATAAAATTCTCATAGGTACCTTTTACAAATTAGCCCACCGTAGATTTGCAAATACAAAGTTTGGTCTGCCCAGTGTTTAATTAATGCCAACATTTGAAAATTCATATATTATATAAAAATTCATATATTCAGCTCCTCATGAACCACTAGAAGATCTTGTAGCATCGGCTCTAGTCTCAAACAGCTACAATGGGCTATCACCCCATTTCCAGGGCCTGCCTGGCTCCTGCAGATCTGAGTTTTTAGCTCCCTAACCAGATCCCTTCCAGATGGTTTGCTGTTGAGCCCTCCAAAAATAGTGCCAGTTTTCCTTAAATCCTTCCTTAAATCTTCTTTAAAAGATGGAGCTTGCCAACAGCGAGAAATAGATGATTAGCACTTAATTGTGAAACTACATAAAATAAACATGCTAAATATCGTACGGCAGTGCAAAAAGTACTAGACTCTAGGTAAGGGGTTTAACTGCTGTCAAAGCTGTCCTACTAACCAGGTGAGATCCTGGACACGCAGTGTGCACTGAGGCACACCACAACTTCATAGGTAGAAGACGGTATAAAGAGAGAAATTGATGATGTATGTTAACTGCCAATGGGTGGTTTAACCGCATTTCCAATTACAGAAAATTTCATCACTCAGATCACTCGGATTCTTTAGGGAGGAAAGTGGTCATTCTACTGTTTCATGCATCTCTGCATTTACAGAGGAGGAAGAAGAGACCCTTGCTTAGTAATTCTATGTTGGGTTCCCACTGTGAAAAGGTTTAAATGCTCTTAGCAAGTGCAAGACCAGAAGAGCCAGAGATTGTTCTAAGTGACTGTCATACGAGCACCCGACAGTGTGAAATAGCATATAGGAGAGAGTCTCGGGGCGGGGTAGGGAGTGTGAGGTTTTCTTCTTCCTCCTGCCTTTCAGTGTTTTCCAAGCTTCTGAGGATAAGCGTGCTGCTTCATTTCCTCAAATGTTTTGTAATTTGGAACCCTGAGCTCATAAAGGGCTCTCCCCGTGGGCATTCTGCCAGCCAGTCTAGATGAGGTGTACTCGCTTGTCTCAAGTGAGCTAGAACTGTCACTGGTTTTTGATCATGGTGTACACACATTAACTTTTGAGTATGGGGATTTCTGGACAGTATAGGAAGGAAAAATTCAAACCCCTTACCAATGTGAGGGTAAGACCATGGTTAGAATTCTCTGGAGAGACTGTCTTTTTCCACCCTGAGCCCAGGCCAAGAGACTTCTTTTTTTTTTTTTTTTTTAATAGAGGCATGTTATTATTTATTTATTTGTTTGTTTGTTTTGTTTATACATGCACTGGGTACAGTCAGAAGCGCGGGAAGGTGAGAGAATTCACCAGAGCCAGAGCGGGGAGCAGAGCAAGCAGAAGGACCGAAGTACACTGCTGAGGGGAGCAGCGGGCGGCAGGAGAGGTCTGCACGCCATGCGGGACCCTCCTCCGGTGGCCGGGGAGCAGCCGGGGATCGAACCGGCACCGCAGAGGCCGCGGACAGCTTCGCAACCCAGCGCTCAACCGCTGCGCCACCGGGGAGGCCCCCAAGAGACATCTTTCTTTGAACTTTTCCTGTGCTAGTGGCAAACTTGCTCTTCGTCAACTTTCATTGAGGGGTCGCCTTCAAGAGGGTCTCTGTGCCATGTTTGGGTGCAAGATTTTGTGTCTTGCTTTCCCTTCCCAACCCTTGATACCCAGGATTGAGTATAAAACCCTAAACCACCTATTCATGCTCATAGGGTAGGTTTAGTTTTCTCTTTGCTTCTGACCCTTGATAATTTCTTGGTAAGCCCTATTATGCATTAAAAAAAATGCCTGTTATATTTTAAATAGCATTTCTAGCAGGAGACTTTTTAAGTTAGCTAGTCCAACATAGTTAGAGACAGAAATGGCATACATTTGTGATGGAAAATAAACATAAGTTTTAATAATCAACGTGCACAGTTACCTGGGCAGCCTGAGAAGACGGTGAAGGGTGGGACCACGGTTTCTGGGGGTAACACTGTGTTATCAAGAATTTTGCAACAATCTTTCAACACACACCGGCGTCCCTAAAAATGAAAATCTTGTTAACAGGAAACAGGTCAAAAATGGGAATGAAAGTTGTCTAGTCTGCTATGTGAAAGGTGATTTTATATTTTCTTAGCTCATGATATTAAATAACCAGGGCCAGTGACAAAAGGCTTGGCTGCAAATCCCTACTTCAGGTGGTACCTGTCAGGGAGGTGGTAAAGGGGTAGACAGCTGGGGGAGGGAGGGCTATATGCAAGGGACGGCTCAGATGATCTTGGGCATTGCAGACATGAAATCTGGTTGGTTTTCCAAGAGTTCTAATTTTTTTTTTTTAATTTAGTACACATCTGCTGTTTTGCTTCTCCAACATCCTTCTCCTTTCTTTTTACAGTAGAACTTGTATTTTTCTTGGGAACGACCACCAGTCCCATCTCAGTCCATGTGCTGCTTTACCTCCCATCCCAAACCCCAAACTCCAACTCTGGCCACAGCAACTGGTTTAGGGAATCAGCATATGAGCCCAAACAGTCTGATGATCTCATTGTCAGGGCATCTGCTGTAACACTGGGAAAAGCTCTTTCCAGTGGTATTCCTGGAAGACAGAAGTCTGAGCCATCTTTTTTCCTTGACAGAAGGAGCTGCCTAATAAGGATCTCCCAGAGGAAAACTAAAAAGAAATGGAGACTAATTCTCATGACCTCAGTTGAACTCCTGGAGCCATTTGTGCATGAAATTAGGATCTACTTCTGTACTCTTGGTTTATACTAGACAATACATTCCATTTTACACTTAGGAGTTTATGGTTCGGTTACTCTTTTGTCCGATTCCAATTGGACCAGTCTGGACAAATTCATTTGGGTATGAAGTTATTAGTTCCTTTGCTCTCCTATAGGCAAGTGGTGTTTTTGAAGCTTTAGGCTGAATCGTCATCTTGCCCTTACCCACTGTCATCATTTTTCAATTCTGTCACCACCCACCACATTTTGACAGTAAGGAATTAGATCTAGAGATTGATCTACTTCATGGGCTAAAGGAGAGGCGAGGTTTCTGTACAGAGGTCAAAGTTACTTATTGGTTCTTACTACTGGCTGAGTAAATGGAAGTTTCAGTCTTTACAGACTGCATTCCATCACCAGGGTGCGCACACTCATTTGTGCTCTGGGCATATGATCTGATAAGATATACCAGGGTGAGACTGTACTCTTAACAAATACTAGGCCAGTGCTGACCTGCCCAGATCTCAGATTTTACCCAAGAATATGAAAGATATTATGATTTGGTTGTGTTCAAGTTTTCCCCCATCACTAAAGACACAAATCATATATATTCCTAGAAATGTCCAGGTGGATAGCCAAACGAATTTTTGAAAAAGTTTATACCTTTAAAGTATGAATTTTTTAAGTGGCTAATTTGTCTCCAAGTGGGTTGACTGCTTTGGTAATACTCTTGGTAATACTCAGCAACATCTTGAGCTCAGAAGCAACTTAAGACTACAGCTCTTCATTCCTTCTTGGAAAGTTCTCTTCCATGGATTACCGGCTACTGGCAGTTTCAAAATTATGGCAACTGGCCAATTCCTCTGGTGAGTCCCAAATTAACTCAAAGATGTCCTAAGATACTTACACCTAATAACCTAAGTTCGTAGGAACCAGATTGAGCACATGGGGCACGGAGAAACAGCACGACTGAATCAGGCATGACACATTCCCAGGCAGGGATCTGTGCACAAAGGGCCCTGCACAGAATAGGGTCAGTCTTTTCACTGTGTACCAACAGTCACCACACAGCCTGTAAAAAACTGCTTTGTCTACTAGCTGGTCATTCTGCCCTCTCAGACAAATGAGGCTTACATGGGTTTCAGAGCATTTGAGGTAAACTGATTAAACAGGAGCAAAATAAAAAATGCAGGTACTTCTTGGCATGAATGAATTAACAATAGTTGAAGAGATAAAATGCTAAAACTTCTTTATTCTTTCCTGGATAACTTTCTAAAGAGGAGGCTAGAACTCCATGTTGCTAGTAGTACAGCTACCTATAGGTCCTCATGCAAGTGATTTAGCATCTCTAAGCCTTGGTTTCCTCTTTTATGAAGCAGAATATAAAACCAAACCTGCAAGGATGCTGTCAGGATTATAGATAATAAACGTAAAACTCATATCACAAGAACAGTGCCTATTAATAATGTTTGTTAGGTTTCCTGGAGGCATTTGGGCAATTCTGATTAATACCCATACCGTCACATATTCAAACAGAAGTCAGACTACCAATCAGTATGCTACAGGAAGGACCTGTATTTTATGGGGATAGCTGGACTATAAAAGAGCTCCTACTAGATCTGACAATCCAGAATGTTCTAAAAGAATTTTTCTCGATCTCCTCACCCCCATTAAACTGTCAGATGATTGACATAAGACAACAGAAAGGCCATGCAGTGGCATGACTACTCCTACCACTTGGGTCTGAATTCTAGTTCTACCACTTATTAGCCTTGTCAACTCTAGTATCTAAGGCCTTCAATCTTCTGATATGCAATTAGGGATAACAACAGTAGCTGCCCACACCTCAATCATTGTGAAGATTAAGAGAAATAATCCAAGCAAGGAGTCTGAGATCATATGGAAGAGATTTGATAAAGGTTAGCCATGCTTATGAATGCTTAGAACTCCAAATCCAACAATAAATTTGGCAAAACAGCACACCGGAAACTACTTCCACCCAGCTTGGTCACGGAAGTAGAGGCCGACCGACACAAGGGATGAGAGCTGGTGGGAAAGCACGGCTGGTTGGCCAGCCAAGTCACATACTCACAATCACACAGTTCTTGCCAACATGAACGTAAGAGCCAATCTGGGCTGCGTTGACCACACAATCTTCCTCAATAAAGACATGGTCCCCGATATGTAAAGGAAAGAATGCGACACTGGAAAAGGAAAAAGAAGATGAACAAAGAAAAAGGTCAAGATGATACATATTTGGTCAAGGTCTATAGAACTATAGATCTACAAATTATAATCTCAACTTCATCATCTTGTTCCTGCAAGGTAAGACTCCTAAGGCTAGAGGAATACCATAACGTTGATGAAGATGTACATAACTACTAGCTCAAAATCAGAAATATGAGAGAAAAGAAATGTGCAAGAAAACAAGGCAGAAGGGGCAAGACATTCTAAGCTAAGAGCTGGTGCCAAATAAAAATGAACATTTGCTCCTTCCTGCTTCCTTTGATAATGCTCCCAGGTTACATTTTCAGTAGTCTGCTTTATAATGTTTCAGGAGAATGACATGAGGCTCGTAAGACATAATTTCTAGCAGCCAATATTCTTAAAATTCTGTGTTGACTGATTTTATTGCATGCCTTCAGTATGCCAGATTCTATGCTAGGAACTGGGGACATAATACAAGCAAAAGGGACACAATCCTGCCCTTGAGCAGCTTATCATCAAAAGAAGAGAGTGAATGATTATAAGTAATTACTTACAAATGTGATAAGTGCCACAAGGAAAAAACACCAAGCTATGAGAGTATATAACAAGGAGACTTTTTGGAGATTAAGATTTGATAAAAGCCTGAGACGTGATATGTAAGTCAAGACTTGTACTAGGAGTTAGAAGACTTTCTTCAGGCTTCTAACATTATTCCTATCCTCCATGATTCTTCAAATGTCACTGCCAGTGGTTCTGTGATCATATTCAGTGCCCTAGGATATAAAATATTTGGACTGCAACTAATATAAAGTAGCTGATGTTCACTAGCTCTGTCCAGTCCTGTTTTCTATTTTGTCATGAATGTTTTGTCAGAATTGACCTGCCCTTTACGGGCCTATACTTTATTTAAATCTTCCTTAATCTGTTTGTATTTTTAGTCTGTAACCAAGGGTTGCAATGGATTATATGCTACACAAGTCTATGGCAAGAATGCCAGTTCTTCCATTTTAAATTAAAAATTCCAAACTTTAAACTATTATCTGGTTCTGGTATTAGGATATGTAAGGGAAAGGAAATCCACATTCTCCTTCTCTTTATGTGTTGCTGTTTTCACTTATTATTTATTTCTCATCCAGACTATTCTTATTATACATCCCCTTCAATCACCAATAAATTCCTACTTCATTCTGGATGTTTTTTCCTCTGGTCCATATCCTGCCCAATAGTGCCTTTATCAGAAGGTAAAGTCAACTCTAGTAGAGATCAATCCCTATATGAAACCACAAGGTTTCCTGGTTTTCCTCCAACAGTCTTCTGAGCTAATGAGTGAATGTTTTCATGTGAATGATTTACAATGACTTCCTGCTTCTCTTCTGCATGTAATGGAAAGCCTGGAGCCCAACACCATTATAGAAGATGTAGGATTATTCCTGCATGATATTCTCCTAGGTATCTAGTCTGAATTAGTTGCTCTTCTCTCTGTTCCTCCTTAATCATGTTCATACCCTGTGAAAGGAAGATTAAGCCAATCTGAAAGAAAGAAGAGGGAAGTAATAGTGCGGAGAGGACAGATAACAAAAAAATATCATCTCAGAGACAGGCAGCAGTAGATGGGATGGTTGTCTTGATTCTGACTAGTTGTCTGGGGTATGGCCCTTTTATCTACCCTTAGGTACCATGGATTATGCCAACATCTGTGAACCAGATGTTTTTGCCAACTTAAGTGGATTTTGTTTTTGGCAACCAACCTTCAACTTGATGAGATAACCACCCCCAAAGCTGTGTCCATTATGGGGAATTCTTACTCAGTGTCCTAAACCACAGCATACACCTGTTCCTCACACCACAACTCAATATATGAATAACACCACCAGTAGCAGTTACTTGCCCAAGACCGAAACAAGGCAATTACATTACATACCCTTTGCTGAATTTCTTGAATGGTGGCCTTATGACACTCCGACTTTTCACCACACAATGGCGCCCCACTCTTACATTTGCCAGATCCCCTCGGATAATACAGTCATTCATCACAATGGTCTATAAAACAAAGCACATTTAAAAACATTATCAACAGAGGGCCTCCCGGTGGCGCGAGGTGTTAAGTTTCAGCACTACGAAGGTATCGGCAGCCACTGCAGTCCGAGTTCGATCCCCGGCCAGGGAGCTACGCACATGGCGCAGCAGACCTCTCCTGTTTCACCCACTACTCCCCTCAGCAGTGTATTTGAGTCAATCTGCCTGTTCTGCTCCCCACTGTCTCTGGTGACTCCTCTCACCCCCACCCCTCTGGTTTACATCCCAACTCTTTTTTCTTGTTTTTTTTTTTGGTGGGACCCTCGCCGGTGGCCGGGGATCGAACCGGCACTGCAGAGGCTGCAGGCAGCCTTGCAACCCAGCGCTCAATCGCTGTGCCACCAGGGGAGGCCCTACACCCCAACTCTTATATGCATAAATAAATAAAATAAATCCTCTTTAAAAAATTACCAACAGAGCCTAAAACCTAACAAAAAAAAATGAGATTATGCTATGCTTTACTGAGTCACGTGTTCTGTCAAACGGGATAACCCGAGAACTGCCCTCACAGTATTGTCTGCAGTTTACCATGTCTCCAGTAAATCACAAGCTTTGCCCTTAATATTCATGAACAGGACTCGCTGAATGAGTAAACATTTGTCAAGAACACCTGCAGCAGATGCAGCTTATGTACTTTCTCAGATTCACTTGATTTCCAAAGCTTTGACCACTTACTCAGAGTCCTAACTGCTCCTACCTTTGTCTAATCAACTAACACAACTGTCTCTAATTCCCTGCTCCCAGAGGTGGACCCATTGATGTTTTGGTTCCTCTCCCAATTTCTGGACTCAGATTAAGTGCTACACCACTGGGCGTGATATCCAGCTTTCCTAGAGATTGCCTGGAGGGGTTGAATAACGCAGTCCAGAAGTTTGGGAGAACTAATGTCCCATACTTGGTAAAGAGTAGGCATTCTTGAAATTTTTGGTGAATAAATGAATAAAGGGGGTGGGGAGAATGACCTTGGTTGGGATTACAGGTAGAAAAGTAAGCCAGAGACCAGATCATGAGCAATTGTGTGTGCTACATGCAGAAACTTTAACTTTTTTTTCTGGAAGATACTGAAATCAATGAGAAATTTTAAGCGGAGGATTAACACAACTGAATATTCATTAGAACTATTCCTCTGGAGGGCCTCCCCGGTGGCGCAGCGGTTGAGCGCTGGGTTGCGAAGCTGCCCGCGGCCTCTGCGGCGCCGGTTCGATCCCCGGCTGCTCCCCGGCCACCGGAGGAGGGTCCCACATGGTGCACAGACCTCTCCTGCCGCCCGCTGCTCCCCTCAGCAGTGTACTTTGGTCCTTCTGCCTGTTCTGTTCCCCGCTCTGGCTCTGGTGAATTCTCTCACCCTCTCGCGCTTCTGACTGTACCCAGTGCATGTATAAACCAAACAAATAATAAATAAATAAATAAATAAATAAATAAGACATGCCTCTAGGAAAAAAAAAAAAAAAAAAGAACTATTCCTCTGGAGTCTGAAAGGAGTCAAGTAAGACAGAGGGGAAAGTGACCCTTTAGAAGACCACAGTGGTTTTAGGTAAAAATAATCAAAGTGCCTTATCTCAGGCAATAGCCATGCATAAGAGAGAAATGAACAGGAGATGGAGAAAGATGTCAAATCTCTAGATTTAACTACCAATATGGAGAAAGGAAAGGGGGATAAAGACCACATTAAGCAACTGCCTGTAAATAAAGTAAGCCAAAATCAAAAATTCTAGGATTCTATGGGGCAAGTGAGCCAGGTTTTTCAAGATATAAATGGCAAGGAAAGGGGGAAAATATAGGATGGGAAAAGAGAACTGTTAACAGATTAAAAGAGACTTGGGCCTCCCCTGGTGGTGCAGCAGTTGAGCGCTGGGCTGCAAAGCTGCCCGCAGCCTCTGCAGTGCCAGTTAGATCCCCGGCTGCTGGCGAGGGTCCCACATGGCTCAACAGATCTCTCCTGTCATGCCCGCTGCTCCCCTCAGCAGTGTATTTCCGTCAGTCTGCCTGTTCTGTTCTGCTCTGGCTCTGGTGAATTCTCTCACCCTCCCACGCTTCTGACTGTACCCAGTGCTTGTATAAATAAATAAATAAATAAAAATCTTTTAAAAATATATTAAAAAAAAAAAAGACTTAAAACACCTGTCAACCAGACACAACATGTACGTGACCCTGTGTGGATCTTATCTGAATACTGCAAAAAAAAAAAAAACAAACAACAAAAACAATTCAATTGGGAAATAATGCTTGAAACTGGATTTCTACATTCAAAACAATTAATTAGAACCTATACATCATTCCATAAACAAAATTTAACTCAAAATGGATCAATGACCTAAATACAAGTGCTAACATCTTAAAATTTCTAGAAAGAAACAGGAACAAATCTTCATGACCTTGGGTTTAGCAATGGTTTCTTAGATAGGACACCAATAACTTGAGCAACAAAAAAAGCAACAAACTGGACTTCATCAAAATTTTAAAATTCTGTGTATCAAAAGGCATTATCAAGAAAGTGAAAGAACAGGGCCTCCCTGGTGGCACAGCGGTTTGAGCACAGCACTGTGAAGCGGTCCACAGCCTCTGCAGCGCGGGTTTGATTCCCAGCCGGCCAGGGAGATTCCCACATGGTGCGGCAGACCTCTCCTGTTGCACCTGCTGCTGCCCTCAGCAGTGTATTTTGGTCATCTGCCTGTTCTGCTCCCCGCTCTGTCTCTGGTGAATCTTCTCACCCTCCTGTACCTCTGGCCTGTACCCCAGCTCTTGTACAAAAATAAATAAATCTTAAAAAAAAAAAAAAAGTGAAAGAACAATCTACAGGGTGGAAAAATAGTGCAATCTTGTATCTGATAAGAATCTAATGTCCATGAATATATAAAGAACTCCTACAATTTGACAACAATGTAAAAATAGACAAAGGACTGAATAGACATTAAAAGGTGTTCATCATCATTAGTCATTAGGGAAATACAAATCAAAACTACAGTGAGATACCTTTACAAAAAATGGAAAACAAGTGATGGTGAAGTTGAGAAATTGGTAATCTCTTGAGCTATGTTGGGAGTGTAAAATGTGAACCCTTTGTGGAAAACAGTTTGACAGTTCCTCACAAAACCATAGACTTAGTGGATGACCTAGCAATCCCACCTCTAGGTAAATACTCGTAAGAACCAAAAACAGGGACTCAAACAGATACCACATGCCAATGTTCACTGCAACATTACTCCCCATAGCCAAAAGGTGAAAACAATCCAAGTGGATCAACAGAGGAACAGACAAAATGTGTACATACACACACACTGGAATAAAATTTTCTGATCTGTGCTACCACATGGATGAACCTTGGAAACATTATGCTAAGTGAAATAAGTCAGACAAAAAAGAACAAATATTATCTCATTTCACTAATATGACATATCTAGAACAGATAAATTCACAGGGACAGAAAGCAGATTGACGTTCCCATAAACCTGGGGGGAGAAGGAAATGGGAAGTTATTCTTTAATGGGTAAAGTTTCTGTTAGGGTGGTGAAACAATTTTAGAAATAAATTGTGGTGTTGTGAATATAATTAATACCGATGATTTACATGCTTAAAATGCCATATTTTGTCTTTTATACCTTACCACAATTAAAGTCAAATCTTCCCTACAAAATTACAAAATATTCGGATTTAGCTCAGGAAATTTTTAAAAAACCTCCACACATCTTCCAGTAAGTCAGAGGAGTTTACTGAACTTTCTAAGTCTGTGCAGAAACAGTATATCTATAATTATTAATTATATTGAAATATTATATTTCTTTTCTATTAAATTTTGATGGGCTAATGAAGATCGTTACTATCTCTATTGAAAATATTTGTGACTTCTTGATTACAGTGAGACTCTTTCCCTCCTGGAAGCTAGAAATGGAACACCTTGAGTCATCCAGGTGATAGGAAAATACTTTGGACTTCAGTGGTTGTTAAGCTCAAATATATCTTGATAGTTCCTCTGGTTCTGAAACATTCTAATAATATTTTCACATATATATTCATACTCTACCATTTCAATATATTCAGACTAAAAGATTTCTGAGTCTTTCATATTTCATTTTGTATATGTCTCCTATTAAATCTGTCTCACATCTTAACAGTTTCAGTTAATGAATCATTATTATAGAACAGATAATTATATTATTACTACTTTAGTTTCTACCCAAATTATTTTATTGCCTATTTGTTTTACATCCAGTAGTTTACGGAGCAACACAATATTGTATAATAATTTCAGTTCTATGTCATTGTATTTTGTTCCTGGCATAAAAGGAAAAAGGCTTTTTGTTGCCTTATTTTATGGGAGTTTTTTCATTGCCCAAATTGGATTTCTTGAACAGAAAAAAGGTAAGATAATTTAAAACGTACAACAATAAAAGGGACACATGGCAACGTTTTATCTGCAGTGCTAATACAATTAGTGGGTAGAAACCAAAGGTATGCATCCTGGAGCTGGTTTTGTCCCTTACCTTGCCATTGAGAACGATGTTTTGACTTCCACACAGCACTGACTGCCGACTCACTTTGTTCCCAGACGCCTGAAAGGAAATAGCAGAAAACACAGTGAGCAAACTGAGTGCGTTCTGGGGTACAGGTTCCATCGAGTTTATATCAGAGAGAAGAGGACTTGAAACAGGGAGTAGTCTGTCATGAAATGAATCCAGGAGTTTAAAAAAAAAAAAGCAAGGGCAGATGAGGAAACTAGGGATTCACGGAGTAGATACAGAATCTGGATATGGCAGGTGTGTAGTCTAGTGGATTCTAATCTCAGTTCTACACTTTGGCTTTAATGCCTACAACCAGGGCACTGATTGTAGTAACACCGTTTTATAGAGTTGTGAGAATTCGACGAAAAACAAAATAATAACGGTGACAGTCGTTGGTTACCTGTTTCAAGCAATTTACCACATCAGGTATGGACCATAAAGACTATAAGTCTTTAAAACACAGTAATGTTAAGAAATGTTCATTTAGGGCCTCCGGGTGGTGCAGCGGATTGAGCGCAGCGCTGTGAAGCTGACCACGGCCTCTGCAGCGTGGGTTCGATTCCTGGCCGGCCAGGGAGCTACCCACATGGTGCGGCAGACCTCTCCCTTCTCCCCTCAGCAGTGCTTTCGGTCTGTCTGCCTGTTCTGCTCCCCACTCTGTCTCTGGTGAATCCTCTCACCCTCCCATGCCTCTGGCCTGTACCCCAGCTCTTGTATAAATAAATAAATCTTAAAAAAGAAAAGAAAAGAAAAAGAAATGTTCATTTAAAAAAATAGCTTAAAAGGGTCCGATGCTTGGACTGGATGTAAGGTTGGATATTCTGCTTTCTAGAAGGCATTTTGTCTCTACGAGGAAATCAATAATAAATAAAAACCCTAAACGGGCCTTGCAAGGACGAAACCCCGAAGCCAGCCCCACACGCCCATGCACGTCAAAGGGAGCCGGGGTGGGGCGGGCGCTGGAAGGGGCGCCGCCCTCAGAGGGACGCGGGCGTGGGACGGGGAGGACAGACGGCTGGGCCCGCGCACCGTCTCGATGTACTCGGACTTGTTGTAGAGCAGCTCGCCCAACTCCATGGTCGCCAACGCCTCTCGGCAGCTCTGCTCCTGTCAGCCTGTCAGACAGTCCGGGCGGCCGGGATTCCGGCTACTTCCGGTCGCTCCTTCACTTCCGCTCTGGGTGGCCTCTGGCCTCATCCACAGCTCGGCCCTCCGCTAGGTGGCCCCGCTCCATTGCTCGGCTGTCCCTGGCTGCGCGTGCGCAGTTCGAACTGTGGCTGTAGTTGGCGGGATTGACAGGCAGCCCGGCCCGCGTGGGGGCTGCCAGTCCCGCACTGGGGGGCTTCCGGGTCCCCCATTGCTTTCTGCCCTCCTCTGGGGCCCGGGACCAGCCTCAGTCCTTGTATCTACAGCCGCGGGGCTGGCGACGGCTGTTCTTTTCGGTCGGTCACCGGCCCAATGGAAGAGCCTCCCGGGAAGCCCCTCAGCTTTGAGGAGAAGGAAAAGGTGCAGGATCGGGGGTGCGGGATGCGGGAAGGGCTGATTCAGAACGCTGACCCCCCCTTTCCCAGGGTCGTAGGCCCTCTCGGCTTCCTCGGCCATTTGAGGGCGGCAGTGACCTCTGACTTATGCTCTTTGGATTGAGGGAGTGTGAGAGCACTGGGCGCTGGTGTAGTGTTTACAGAGCAAGTTTTCATTTCATTAGTAATGTATAAATACAGAACACAAAATTTTAGCTAAAGCTAAAGTCCCCTTTGTCTGTCCCACTCCCTCTTAAGCTTGGCTTCTCCCAAACCCTTAAGTAAACCTCTTAAGTCTTGTACTTCACACATTAACCGTCTGTGCGTATTCCCCAGACACCGGAAAGTAATGTTTTTTGGGGGAGAATATTCCTAACTGGTATGATCTAAGCTTTTCTGCAACTTCCGTGTTCTCCCTGTTTAACATTCATGTTAGAACATGTCTATCTTATTTTTTTTTAATGTTCTCTAGTGGAATTCTATAGTTGGTTTAGATATTACTCGGACTGTTAGGTGGTTTCCTTCTGCAACAGTGCAGCACCAACCATGTTGTCCATCCCACCGGGTCCTTGTGCTGGCTCTTCATGGCCATTCTTATCCCCAGCCTACTTTTTAAGGAAAGGTCATTTACAAAGCAACAAAATAAATCCTAGATATTGATTAGATTGGTGATAAATAAAACCCTGTGAGAAGCAATCTAGCCTAGAGGTTAAAAGTAGAGATTAGAGTTGGAATGCATGGGTTTAAATCATGCCATTTATAAACTGGGATCTTATCTTGCTTTCCTCTGATCTTCCCAGACTAGTACCTTCCTCCTTCAGGTTTAAGTGGTAGTCCTCAAAAATGCCTCCCTGGCCATACTATCTAAAAGTCCATTACCCTAGACTAGGCACTCACATCTCTCTGTTAATAAGATGGAATCATCTTATCTGTTATTTGTTTTCTTGTTTATTATCTGAATCCCTTGCTACACGTAAACTTGACCACTGTGTATCTAGCACCTGTATACATACTGTTATAGATACCTGGGCCGATAACTGACAGTTAAGAGATCCATTTTTCAAGTGAATATCTGAGGATGACAGCTCTTGCTACCTCAAGGATCTCACTGTGAGATGGAAGGAAACAGAAGTAAATATAGCAAAGCATAAGTACTATTTTAAGGGAAGTGCAGAGGAGAGATATGGTATCTATCCTGCATTTGGAGAAAGACCTAGAAGTCTACCTCAGGAAATAAAAATCTAAACTGAAGCTGGAGGAAATAGCAAAATGAGTTGGGGAGGAAATGTTCCAGGTGGTCAGAGTGTATGCAAAGATACTGTGTTATTTGAGAGCTTGGTGCTTTGTAAGTATTAAAAACTGTATGCTCAGTGTCTGCTGCCTCTTGCTGAGCACCACACTCACATCTAATAAGTGCTGTACCCCTTCCTTGTGACTCCACCTTTCCACATGCTTAGTATTGCTGTTTTTCTTCTTCCAGTTGAAGGAAAAATTAGCATTCTTGAAAAGAGAATACAGCAAGACATTGGCTCGTCTTCAGGTAAGCAAATCTTATTCTCTTAAACTGACCTGTTATAGCACAAACTATATAAACAGTTCTTTACAGTGACAAAGCTTTAAATTTTTTTCTTAAGTTTCTTAAATTCCTTGAGCTGCTTTTGTTTCTTCAGCGTGCACAAAGAGCTGAGAAAGTTAAGAATTCTATTAAGAAAACAGTGGAAGAACAAGATTGCTTGCTCCTGCAGGAAATTTCACCACGGCTAAACCACTCAGGTAAAGCAAGCCCTTTTGCTTATGCTTCCTTTATTATTGATTTCCTAGGTATATTTGACTGTGATTCTTTTCCTCACACTCAGAAGAGAAGCACTTTAAATGTACAATTAGCAGTTCTTTGTATATTCACAAGATTATACAATCATCATCACTACCTAAATCCGCAACATTTTCACCACCCCCAATAGAAACCTGTACCCTTCCTACTCTTAGTCCCCAGCAACCACTAACCTACTTTCTATTTTTCTGACTCTACATATTCTGGACATTCTGTATAAATAGAACCAAATAATATGTGATCTTTCATGACTTGCTCCTTTGACTTAGAATGTTTTCCACACATATCCTTACATTCATCCATCCAAGGATGCATTAGTATGTCAGTCTTTTTGAAGATGAATAATATTCCATTGTATAAATACCATAATTTGTATATACATTTGTCAGGCAATCAACATTTGGGTTGTCGCTACTTTGGGCCTGTATGTGGCTGTGAATTTTCATGTACAAGTGTTTGTGTAAACATGTTTTTACTTTTCTTGGGTATATACCTAGAAGTAGAATTGCTAGGTCATGTGGTATTTCTATTTTTAACTTTTTGACTGTTTTCTACAGTCATTGTACCATTTTACATTTCTGCCATGATGAACAAAGATTCTGATTTCTCTATATCCTCACCAATACTTATAATTTTCCATTTTCTAAATTATAATCTTGCTGGTGGATGATTAGAACTGGAATCTAATCATGATTCTGTTTTACATTTCCTAATGACTCTTGATGTTTGTGTGTTTATTTGCTGTTTTTATATCTTTTTTTGAGAAAAGTCTATTAAAGTCCTTAGTTGGTATTTTAATTGAGTTTTATGTCTGTTGTTGAGTTTTAAGGGTTCTTCCTATGTTCTAGCTAATAGACACTTATCAGATACATGATTTATAAATATTTCCCCTCATTTTGTGAGCAATAAGTTATGCTTTCAGTTTAGATTGTTTAACTTATTGCTCATTTCCCCTCCAAACTTTTAGAAATTATATTTCTTAAATCTTGGTAAGATGGCTTTTAAAAAATTAAATATCTAAATATGCACAGAGTTTATCCAGTTACTCTTTTCTCCTTCTTATCTTTTAGAAATTATATTTATGTTTAAATATTAGATGATTTTGTTTTAAAATGTAAGTATTTTTATATGCACAAAAGAAAGTGAATGAAAATACTCTAAAAAAGCAGTGGTAGTTCTTATTTTAAAAGTCATGTCATTTATATTGTAAAATTGGAGGCTATTAAAATAGGAAAGTAGTGTTAAAGTTATTTGAGCCAAAAAAGAAAAAAAAAATGATACAAGGAATGAGATGTGGGGGAGCTAGGAATTGTTGGTAGAGGGTACAGCTGCTCGGTTGTACAGAATGAGTAAGTTCTGTAGAAATCAAGTACAGCATGATGACTACGGATAATCCTGCATTGTGCACTTGAAATTTTTGTTTCGGGCCTCCCCTGGTGGTACAGGCCACTGAGCACCGCGCTGTGAAGTTGTTAGCAGCCTCTGTAGAGATGCTTCAATCGTGGCCTGCCCAGGCGAGGGTCCCACGTGGCGAGCAGACCTCTCCTGTCTCGCCTGCTGCTTCCCTAAGCAGTGTATTTCTTCAGTCTGCCTGTTCTGCTCCCCACTCTGTCTCTGGTGAATCTTTTCACCCTCCTGCAAATCTGGCCTGCACCCCAGTTCTTGTATAAGTAAATCTTTTTTAAAAAAAAGAAATTTTTGTTTTGTTTTTAGTTGTTGCACACTTGGAATTTAATAGGAGAGAGTTGATCTTTTTTTTCTTTAAGATTTATTTATTTAAGGCCTCCCCGGTGGCTCAGCGGTTGAGCCCTGGGTTGCGAAGCTGCCCGAGGCCTCTGCAGCGCCAGTTTGATCCCAGGCTGCTCCCCGGCCACCGGAGGAGGGTCCCACACGGCGCGCAGACCTCTCCTGCCGCCCGCTGCTCCCCTCAGCAGTGTACTTTGGTCCTTCTGCCTGCTCTGCTCCCCACTCTGGCTCTGGTGAATTCTCTCACCCTCCTACGCTTCTGACTGTACCCAGTGCATGTATAAACAAAACAAACAAACAAACAAACAAATAAATAAATAAAACATGCCTCTATGAAAAAAAAATGATTTATTTATTTATGCATTAAAGAGCGGGGTACAAGCCAGGGGTATGGGGGATGAGAGGATTCACCAGAGACAGAGTGGGGAACAGAACAGGCAGACTACCCGACGTACACTGCTGAGGGGAAGAGCGGGCGAGAAATGAGAGGTCTGCTGCACCATGTGGGTTGCTCCCTGGCTGGCGGGGAATCGAACTCATGGTGCAGTGCCTGCGAATTGCTTCATAGGTTGTGTCTTAACCCTTGCGCCACCAGGGAGGCCCAGGAGAGTTGATCTTAAATGTTTTTACCATACACGAGAAAACCATAACTGTGTGAAATGATAGATATGTTAATTAACTTAATTATAGTGACATTTCATAGTGCTTATGTATATCAAAGCATCTCACTGTAGGGCCTCCCCTGTGGCGCAGTGGTTGAGCGCTGGGCTGCAAAGCTGCCTGCAGCCTCTGCAGCGCTGGTTCGATCCCCAGACTCTGGGCGAGGGTCCCACATGGCGCGCAGACCTCTCCTGCCGCCCACTTCTCCCCTCAGCAGTGTACTTCGTCATTCTGCCTGTTCTGCTCCCCGCTCTGGCTCTGGTGAATTCTCTCACTCTCCCACACTTCTGGCTGTACCCAGTGCTTGTATAAATAAATAAATAAATCTTTAAAAAAAAAAAATCTCACTGTATACCTTAAATATGTAAAATTTTTTATTTGTCAATTATATCTTAGTAAGTCTAGAAAGGAATTAAGGGATATGAATACAACAAAGAAAAATTTCTTTTTGAAAAGCATGTTTCTCAGAATAATTTTATTTGCTTGCATTTACTTTAAAATTATACTTTATTAGATTTTTTTTTTAAGTTTTTAAAATAGATTATTAAAGACTTGGATCTGCCTGAATGAAATACCACTGACTCTTTCTTAAATAAATGTTTGGTAGTATTTATATATAATATTTTAAAATAAATATGAACTCTTTGTTTCATTTTGAAAGGAAAACATTAAGTATATACATTTTTTTCATTCTCAGAACCTAAAAATAAAACATCTCCTTGTGATGTCTTACAAATCAATGGCCATCTCGATGAAGAAACTGGAGAGAAGACACCTCTCATACTTGACATTGAGCCTGAATCCTTTAGCCCTGGGGATGACCCAGAGGAAAGATTACATTTACAAAGAGCGGATGTCATCCAGAAACATTGTCACCATAGGGTCAATGGCGCTGATGGTGAGAAAAGGCAGAAAAAGCTGACAGGAAGAAGAAATAAGCAGCAGAAGAGAATATTTACTTCACAGGAAAGAGAATCTCTCTTTGACACTGATGTACTCACGCTCTTTGGAAAAAAACTAAAGGAACAGGAAGAGATCAACAGAGAATATCCTAGCACACCTGTAAGTGAAAGTCCTAAATCTGACATTCTGGATTCTCCAGCAATGCTTACAGAAACTTATGAAGAGAGTGAATTAATTCCACCAACTGCCAATCCACAAAGAATTGTTGACACACCCTTAAGAGGACATCATTTTTCTGCATTGACTCCACTTCCTTTGCATACCCCATCAGATCCCAGTAGTGGTCAGCACCTTGAACATAACCCTCCTAAAGGTAACCCTGAACTTAGTGCTCACAGGTTAGAAAACATTGGCCCTACTTCACCTGTAAACTTAGAGACACAAGACAAAAGAATGACTATCTTAACCAATACTCCAGAGGTAAATAAAGCTGTAAATACAAGTGTTCATCTGCCTCTCAGTCCTACCTTAGAGGCAGATAATTCATCTTCTCTAGATGAACTCTCTTACAATAACTTACTGGCCCATGAAAACCAAAGCTTAAAAGAACAAAATCACATAGAGAAGTCTTTTGAATCTCTTGATATTAGAAATGAAAGTCTTCAGGAAAGTGAACTTCTAAGTCAATCTGAGAGTGTTAGCCTGAAAGTAATATCTCCTGATTCTGCAGAAGATCAAGTACATTCTTGCACAATGCTGGAAGGCCTTATGTTTCCTGCAGAATATTATATCAGAACAACTCGCCGCATGTCAAATTGCCAGAGGAAAGTAGCCCTGGAAGCTGTAATTCAAAACCATTTAGGTGGCAGAAAGAAAGGGTTTAAAAATAAAGAAACAAATAAAAATGTAAACCTTTCCAATGAAGAAATGGACCAAAGTGAAATTAGAATGTCTGACACATGCGCAGGACTATTAAGTTCAAGAAGTCCATTTCAGAAACTTTTCTCATTAACTGAAGTTAACTCTTCCTCTGGAGCCACTAACCATGACTTTTCTAGGAAGGTGGTTACTCAGCCATCTGGTAGAAGACTTAGAGGAAAAAGGAAGTCAGACTGTACCTCGGTATTAGATTATCATGAAATGCTTCAGTCAACTTCTGGCATATCAAGTGTTTGTAGGTCCAAGGAACAAGTCTCCTTGCACAAAGAACAGAATCAGAAACCAATTATTCATGGTAAGAAGACAGTTAAAGGTAAACCATAGTGTGGCTCATGATGGCAGTGATAATGATAGTTAATGCAATGTGTCTCCAGTTTCTAGATATCATACAGAAACTATTAATTCACTGAATCATCACAGCAACCCTCCGTGAGGTAGACATTTTTTTATCCTCACTTTACAGATGAGAAACCTAAGGCAAAAAGAGCTTAAACTGACTTTTGAAAATTTAACTTAACTAAAATGGCAGCCAGGAGTTAAAACCTGGTGGTATGGTGCCAAAGCTCACTAATGTGGTTGAACAAGCCAACACTAAGAAGGGAAATATGTTGGATATTTACCTAAAATAGGTATTTATTCAAGTACAATGTAATTTTTATCTGTGGGTAGAAGCTTTATAACTAATATAGGAACTGTTTTTGAAGTTGAATGTCAGAGTAAGAATCCACTGACAGACTCATAAGAGTGATATAGTGCAATAGGTCTGAGCAACCTTTTTTTTTTTTTTTAAAGATTTTTTTTTTTTTTTAAGAGGCATGTTTTTCTTTATTTATTTGTTTGCTTGTTTGTTTGTTTTTTGTTTATACATGCACTGGGTACAGTCAGAAGCGCGGGAGGGTGAGAGAATTCACCAGAGCTAGAGCGGGGAGCAGAGCAGGCAGAAGGACCGAAGTACACTGCTGAGGGGAGCAGCGGGCGGCAGGAGAGGTCTGCGCACCATGCGGGACCCTCCTCCGGTGGCCGGGGAGCAGCCGGGGATTGAACCGGCGCCGCAGAGGCCGCGGGCAGCTTCGCAACCCAGCGCTCTACCGCTGCGCCACCGGGGAGGCCCTGAGCAACCTTTTTTTTAAAGATTTATTTATTCATACAAGAACTGGGGTACAGGCCAGAAGAGTGGGGGGGGTAAGAGGATTTATCAGAGACAGAGTGGGGAGCAGGACAGATATACTGAAATACACTGCTGAGGGGAGCAGCTGGCGAGTCAGGAGAGGTCTGCTGTGCTGTGTGGGTATCTCCCTGGCCTGGGCTCGAATTCGTGCTGCAGTGGCTGCAGATAGCTCCATAGGTTGTGTCCTAGCCCCTTGCGCCCCCAGGGACTCCCCGTGAGCAACCTTTTGAGATTAAATAATACAGTATCTGTTGTCTGTGGAACATAAGATTTGGAGGATAGTAGGTGACATGTGATTTAAACTGTTTCATCCATTTACTCAAGAGTTTGCCCATTGGATAAGCTAAGATTAAAAACTATCAGTAGATTACTTGTGGTTCTATATTAGAGATCAGCAAACTTTCTATAAAGGAAAAGGTCTGTAAATATGGTTTTGTGCTCTATCACAGCCTCTCAGATATGTTATGAAAGTACAGTAAACAGTATGTAAATATAACAGTGTTCCAATAAATCTTTACCAAAACAGAGAGCCAGCTGCACTCTGCCATTGACTAGAGGCTTTGATCTATGAACTATGATTAATTTAAAAATAATCATTATGGGGCCTCCCCTGGTGGCATAGGTGGTTGAGCGCCATGCTGTAAAGATGTCCACAGCCTCTGCAGCGCTGTTTCGATCCCTGCTGGCTGGCGAGGGTATCCCCCATGGTGCGGCAGACCTCTCCTGTCAGCCCCACTGCTCCCCTTAGCAGTATATTTCAGCAGTCTGGCCGTTCTGTTCCCCGCTCTGTCTCTGGTGAATCCTCTCAACCTCCCGCGCATCTGGCCTATACCCTGGTTCTTGTATAAATAAATAAATCTTTAAAAAAAAATAATCATTATGATTTTTTTTTAAAGATTTATTTATTTATTTATACAAGCACTGGGTACAGTCAGAAGCGCAAGAGGGTGAGAGAATTCACCAGAGCCAGAGCGAGGAACAGAACAGGCAGACTGACTAAGTACACTGCTGAGGGGAGCAGTGGGCGGCAGGAGAGGTTTGTGTGCCATGTGGGACACTCGCCTGATGGCCGGGGATCAAACTGGCGCTGCAGAGGCTGCGGGCAGCTTCGCAACCCAGTGCTCAACCGCTGTGCCACCGGGGAGGCCCCAATCATTATGATTTTTTGATCCTCTCTTAGCTAGAAACATTCTTTTGTATACTTTGAAATAATCTATGATTTTAACAACCCGCAGCTACATTAGTTTTTTTCTTGGGGTGACATTTATATAACAAATTAAGCATTTTAAATTGAGCGAACAATTCAGAGGGATTTAATACAGCCAGATGTTCTGCTACTCTAACCCCTGTCTAATTTCAAAACATTGTCATCATCCCAAAAGGAAACCCCATGCTCATTAAGCAGTTAACTCCCAATTTCTTCTTCTCCCCCTGGCTCCTGGCACCCACCAATCTGTATTGTATCTCTATGGATTTACTTATCGTGTATATATCATATTAATGGAACCATATAATATGTAACCTTTTGTGTCATACTGCTTTAACGTAATATGTTTTCAAGATCCTTTCACATTACGTGTATTAGTACTTGATTCTTATTAACAGCTGAATAATAGTCCATCATGTGTATCATAGTTCCTTTCTCCATTCCTTAGGTGATAGATGGAGCTACATTTTGAATGGTATCCAATTCTGTTCACTTTAAGAGCAGTAAACTACTCTGCTTGAAAAGGAGATTTAGCTTTCTTAAGAAGAGCCAGTATTTTGTAGGTTACACTTTGACCTTCTGCTGGAATCATATTTTTAGAGGAAGGACTTGAGAGATTGTAAGTCCTATTCCCTTATGAGGCACAAGGGCAGATGAAATGAATTGGCCTGCCCGAGACAGCACAGCACACCAGTGGCAGAACTGGTCCTATTCTCTCGTCTTTTCCCAGCATTTCCATAGTGGTTTGGCAAGAGGAGAGCCACCACTTAACCACTGATCTGTAGCTGCTGGTTGAACTGTTTACTGAGGCTTCAAAGTAATGGATGAAAAAGTAAGGAACATTCTACACTGTGTTTAAAAATTCACTCCTTGTTGGGTTTTAGTATGTCTTTTTTTGGGTATCACTTTCTGTTTTAAGGGAGGGAGTTTATGGTCAAAAAGAGAGTTCCCTTCCAGTAATAATGCTTATTTAACTTTGGATAATGTGTTTGTCATTCCATTTCATAAGAATGAAATACTAATTTTTTTTTAAGATTTATTTTTTTATGCATACAAGAGCTGGGGCACAGGCCAGAGATGTGGGGGGTGAGAGGATTCACCAGAGACAGAGTAGGGAACAGAACAGGCAGACTGAGTGAAATACACTGCTGAGAGGAGCAGCGGGTGAGACGGGAGAGGTCTGCTGCGCCATGTGGGTAGCTCCCTGGCCTGCCGGGGATTGAACTCTTGCTGCAGAGGCTTTGGATTGCTTCATAGTGCTTAACCCCTTGCGCCACGAGGGAGGCTCCTGAAACACTAATTTTAAAGCAACTGTCATCTTTTCTCAAAATCACAGATTTTCAGTTACCTGATGAAGACTTTGGGCTTCTTAAACTTGAAAAACTGAAGTCCTGCCCAGAAAAGCTGATGGAGCCTTTTGAATCAAAAATGTATCAAGAAAGGCATCTTAAAGAGAGCAGCTATGTTGATTTGGAGGAATTCTCTCCTAAACAAATAGATACAGAAATGGAGGACTTGGAAGAGGAACTTGCTGTTCCCCCAAGAAAAGCTCATCTTAACATGCCAAATCTCAAAAGCAAGCCTCAGGATAAGGGTCTTTCTTCCTCCATATTGCTTTTCACTCCTGTAAATACTGTTGCAGCCGATGATGAGGGCAGACCCACAGCAGATGTGTGTTCCCCAGCTTTCCCTGTCTTGGGTACTACTCCAGCTTTTGTTTCCCAAGCATATAGTGGAAAAGCATCTGCAGAGGTTGGAAAAAGTTGCTCCCAGCTTTCTCACTTGAAAGCCACCGTCAGTCGTGATGGAAAACAATGCAACAATTGGGCCAGCCCACCTAAATCAGATTGCCTGCCTGTGTCAGGTGGGAGAGGACAGCCTGCCAATGACTGTGATTCTGGTCTTCAAGTAACACCTCTCCCCACTGACTCATTCGCTTTGAAAGAAAATCAGGGATGTGGAAATACATGCCTGGAATCATGGAAACAGTCCATTGAACAGGTATAATCCAATTCTTTGTAAAATTTTCTCGGGAGGAGTGAAATATATTAATAAATACGAAAAACAACTTTCTTACACATTTAAGAATGTTTTAGCATGTTGCCTTGACATGATTTCACTGTAAACATTGAGTTCATTCTGTGTGGAGGGGGAATTAGGTTAATTTAAAACAAAATTTGATTATGGAGAATCATCTTTTCATTATCTTCACGGTAACAGTCGCATAGGGAGCTCTGTGGGTGTTACCAGAGAAAATCAAACATATGAAGTAGACATTTTGATGAGTAGTGTAGGCCACCTGCATACATAAAGCATAGATTAATGGTGTGACTTTTGTTTCCACAGACTGAAATAGCAGACCTTCCTGCCTGTGATAGCTTAAACCCAGGCAACTTACAATTGGTTTCAAAGTTAAAGGTCAGAAGACTATTCTTTCATAGTAAATGTGTCTTGTGTATTATATGTGAAAAAATTAATGGATGGAAAAAATGAGAGGAATTTGACCATATAGCTTCTCATTCTTCATGTAGTACTATTATTATTTTTTATACATACAAGGACTGGGGTGTAAGCCAGCTGTGTGTGTATGGGGGGGGGTGATTCACAGAGTGGGGAGCAGAACAGGCAGATCTACTGAAATATACTGCTGACGGGAGCAGCAGGTGAGACAGGAGAGATCTGCTATGCCATGTGGTTCAGCTTCCTGGCAGTGGTTGGCAATAGCTTGATAGCACTGAGACTTTAACCCCTAGGCCACCAGGGAGGCCCCATATAGCACTGTTAAATAATCTCGGTGAAACTGATTCAGAAAAACAAATTTAAACTTTGTTTTTCACTGATATTTACATTTTTGAGATCTTATCCCAAAGAATTTGATATGTCAAACTATTGCCAAGAACAACTTAAAGTTAAGGAACTCAACTTAGTATCTAAATTTAAATCAGGCATTTTGACAGGAAGAATAAAAAGAGGTATCATTCATGGTTCTACCCAAATTGTGTGATGTTTATGGTGGAATCACTTATAAGAAAATGGGTAGCAGTTCTAGATTGTGACATATAGTGAATGGTTAATCTTTCATGTGCTATATATGATATGTATGCTTCTGTGCTATATATGATATGTATGATTCTGAGAAATATAAATTGTGATATTCTGTTAATGCCATTTTAGTAAATCCTGAGAGATGGGTTGATCCTCTGGCCTAGTTAACATGTTATTGAATTTTTTGGTTCCCGTTTCATTTTTGTTCTGTTTTTAGTCTTAAAATTCCTTCTGCTTTCCATTGTGCTTATTTTGTTTTTTTACTACTTTCTTGAACTGCTTGCTTGCTTTATTTTAATCTTTCTTGTTTTTTGACAAATGGCTTTATGATTATAAATTTCTTTTGGAAATACTTCCTTGGCCATACTCTGTGTGTTTGGATACACAGTGTTCCCCTTGCTGTTTATTTAGAAATGGTATGTTGCTTCAATTTAATTCCCTCTTCAATCCATGGGTGGTATATCAGGATGTTTAATTTCCAAATTGACTATTTTTTGTGGTCAAATCTGAATCTGTCCATTCTGGAGCAGGATATTTTAAATCTATCATGATATAAGTGCATGTAGGCAATTTTTGTAGTCATGTAAGTCCACAAAGCTCAATGTTTTGACCTGCATAAAGCCATAGTTACACTCACCTAGTATTTCACCTTGTCCTTGTAATCTATCGGTTTTCCTATTTAGTCTTTTCATAAAACAGACCAGAAGTATCTCCTTAACATAACTGTTGTTGCCTTCCGTATCAGAATCCTTCAGGTTCCTGTTCTGTGGATGTGAGTGCCGTGTGGTGGGAAATAGCCGGCTCCAAAGAACCGTGTATCGTAACTGCTTGTGAATATGTGGTTTCTCTTTGGAAACCTCTGGGTGCTTGGCAATGGGAAAAGACTTATTCTTGGCACTTCACAGAGGTAAGTCAGAAGCTTAGAGATGTAAGAGATCTTTGCAATCTTATATATGGTAATACAGCTTATCTAAAATGGCTCATGAGCATGCATGACAACAGAGAGTTGAGATTTCCCAACAGTTCATTCCCAGCATTTTATTCCCAATATTTTATTTATTCCCAACATTTCATTGTGAAAAGTTTCAGACAGAGTTATAGAGTGAGCACCTGTATACCTGCCATCTAGACTCTGCAATTACTGTTGTGTTATATTTGCTTTGTCATGTTTATGCCCCGAGGGAGTTTTACATTAGACCTGCTGGAGGAGCCTGGAACTTCATGTCTATTCTTACTTTGAAACTTGCTGATACCTATATTCTTTATTCTCCTCTGGAACATGATTTGTACTTCTTTTTCTCTCTATATATTTTTCTAATCCTTGTCCACCTTCATACATCTCCTACGTGCTTGCAATCCTAGCATGTTTAAAATTTTTTAATCTTCCTTTTCTCACCATTAAACATCTTCCCTTGTTTCTACATATTCTTCATACTTAAGTGTTTTGAATTTTATGTATTTATTTTTCCAGCTTTAATGAGGTATAATTGATAGAACTGTACTATATTTAAAGTATATGGCATGATGATTTTATATACATATACCTTGCAAAAGGATTCTCATAGTCAAGTTAAGTAACATATCTATCACCTTACATAGTTACCTTTTTGGGGGGAGGGGAGAATGAGAATGTTTAATATCTACTTTCATTCTTGTTCTCTAGTATATCCCCAGCTTCTAACACTGTGCCTCTGTGCATGAAGGTGCTCAATAGTTGTTCAGTGAATAAACTTTCCTAAATGTTTATGTAATATTTCTTTTGTTCACATTCTAGAATTTACTTATTTTATTCCCTGCTTGTTAGAAGTAAAGACTTCTATGTATAAGTGCTGCAGTAAACACTGTTGCATATACAGCTTTATTGATTTATAGCTTGTAAAAAGAGAATGTTTGCTGAACCTTATCATACTTGTTCAGATGTGGAAAACTATCCTGGTATTGAGAATAAAAAGCAGTGTGACAGATTTTAGAAAATTTATTTTTTTAAAAAAGATTTATTTATTTATGCATACAAGAACTGGGATACAGGCCAGAGGTGTGGATGGTGAGAAGATTCACCAGAGACAGAGTGGGGAACAGAATAGGGAGATTGACTGAAATACACTACTGAGGGGAGCAGCAGGCAGGTCAGGAGAGGTCTGCTGCGCCTTGTGGGTTGCTCCCTGGCTGGCCGGGGATTGAACTCGTGCTGCAAGTGACTGCAGATGGCTTTATAGGTTGCATCTTAACCCCTTGTGCCACCAAGGAGGCCCCAGATTTTGGAAAATTTAGATGAATTAAAAATGAAACAGCAAAAAGTGAATTCTGTTTTTTTTAGATGGTTTTGTTTTCTTTAGGTTCCAGTGTTACAAATAGTTCCAGTGCCTGATGTTTGTAGCCTTGTGTGTGTGGCTTTGGGGAATTTGGAAATCAGAGAAATCAGGTATGTCATTCTTTTTTTTTTTTTTTAAAGATTTATTTATTTATGCATACAAGAACTGGGGTACAGGCCAGGGTTGGTGGCGGGGGTGGTATGAGAGGATTCACCAGAGACAGGGTGGGGAACAGAACAGGCAGACTGAGTGAAATACACTGCTGAGGGGAGCAGCGGGCAAGACAGGAGAGGTTTGCTGCACCATGTGGGTAGCTCCCTGGCCAGGGATTGAACTCATGCTGCAGTGGCTGTGGCTAGCTTCATAGGTTGCATCTTAACCCCCTGCGCCACCAGGGAGGCCAGGTATGTCATTCTTAAGGAGTCATCTTATTTCTTTCCCTTTACTTTTGTCTCAACTTGTTGTGAGTAAAGTTTATAACCTAGGCATAAATATTGGAAGAATATGAATTTAGATCTAAAGAGATACTTGTTAGTGCCTCCCCTGGTGGCATAGTGGTTGAGCGCTGGGCTGCGAGGTTGCCCGCAGCCTCTGCAGTGCTGGTTCATTCCCTGGCCGCCGGCGAGGGTCCCACAAAAAAAAAAAGAGAGAGAGAGAGAGATACTTGTTATATTAAAAAAAAAAAAAAAAAACCAAAAAAAAAAACAACAGTAGAATGACATCCCTGATTATAGTTCCCAGTTAAAATTTGAACATATTCCTTTAATATTACTTTAATATCACTTCTTTTTTTTTTTTTAATAGAGGCATGTTTTATTTATTTATTTATTTGTTTGTTTGTTTTGTTTATACATATACTGGGTACAGTCAGAAGCGTGGGAGGGTGAGAGAATTCACCAGAGCCAGAGCAGGGAGCAGAGCAGGCAGAAAGACCGAAATACACTGCTGAGGAGAGCAGCGGGCGGCAGGAGGGGTCTGCGCGCCATGTGGGACCCTCCTCCGGTGGCCGGGGAGCAGCCGGGGATCGAACCGGCGCTGCAGAGGCCGCGGGCAGCTTCACAACCCAGCACTCAACCGCTGCGCCACCGGGGAGGCCCCTAATATCACTTCTTTACGTTTTTCCTTATATTTGGTTTAGGGCATTACTTTGTTCCTCTGATGGTAAAAGTGAAAAGCAAGTACTACTGAGTTCTGGAAATATAAAAGCTGTGCTAGGCCTGAGCAAGAGGAGACTAGTGAGTAGCAGTGGGACCCTCTGTGATCAACAGATAGAACTCGTGGCGCTTGCCGAAGATGGCAGGTAAGGAGAGCATGGGTGATTTTAACAATTAGATAAAGAATTACTTTATCACAGGGTTTCAGGAAAAATTGGAGCACTTGCATCTTGTTTTTCTGTGCTGTGGGTACTATCTCCACACTATAATGTAGAACCAGTTTAGAGGGGTGGAAGTAGACATGAAGGGAAGAAGTCAGTGGAGTAGAAAAGCTCAGCAAATGTGATTTGTTCTTTCTTCAGTATTCAGAATTTCTGTGTGTCCCTTATATATTATAACCACCTGAAGATCTTAGACCGTTTTCTTATTCAACATACTTGATTTCCATTGCTTCACTTAACCACCTAGAGGTTGACCACTTGCAAGCACATATTTCTAACTCTGAACTTTCTTGCCCTCTAGACCTGCCTGCTTATTTATGATGGGTGTCATGGACACCTCAGATTCAGCACTCCTCATACCATCCTCTCTATGCCTTGTGCTCATTACATGGACTGTGATTACTGTCATCTTTCCCAGTAACAAAGGGCATAGGACTTAGTTGTCTTATGTACTCACGACCTATTGCAGTAATCTAGACAAGAGATAAATGATTGTTGACTTAAGTTAAGAAAGTATTAATGGAGGGTCTCCCTGGTGGCACAGCGGTTGAGCGCTGGGTTGCGAAGCTGCCCGCAGCCTCTGCAGCACCAGTTCGATCCCCAGCTGCTCCCTGGCCACTGGAGGAGGGTCCTGCATGGCGCGCAGACCTCTCCTGCCACGCCCGCTGCTCCCCTCAGCAGTGTACTTCGGTCCTTCTGCCTGTTCTGCTCCCCGCTCTGGCTCTGATGAATTCTCTCACCCTCCCGCGCTTCTGATTGTACCCAGTGCTTGTATAAATAAATAAATAAATCTTAAAAAAAAAAAAGAAAGTATTAATGGAGCTAGAGGGAAGCATACAGATTTGAGAGAGATGAAATGATAAAAGGAGGAAGGAGACATGTATAACATCCAGATTTCTGAATTGGTGCAGTTCATTGGTAGATGTTGGTACAGTTTGTTGAGATAAGAATGCAGAAAAATGTTTAAAGAGAAAGATGATAAGTGTAGTTTGGAATACAGGAAATTTGAGGTGCTTGTGATATATCCAGGTAGAAAATATGAAAATAACAGGAGAAAGTTTAGCATGCACCTGTTGACATTTTTTTCTGGTGCAGATTAGTGTTTATTGTGCATATGTCAGTAATGTGTAGAAAGGCATTTTAGTTCAAAGTACTGATTTTCAATGCTGTTTTAAATGCAGAAACAAGGAAAAGCAATTTTTGATGCCCCCTGAAGAAACTGTTCTAACCTTTGCTGAAGTTCAAGGAATGCAGGAAGCTCTGCTTGGTAGCACTATAATGAACAACATTGTGATTTGGTGAGCTTCCCCTCAACGTCCTAAGTTTCCTTAAGTGCAAATAAGGAAACTTTACTTCTAATTTCACAGGGTTGTTAAGATTAGGTAAGAGACTGTAACTAGGATTGTGGATTTGTGTGTGTGTGTGTTTGTCACATGGTATATACTTAACAGGAACGTCACATTAATTCAGACATTTTGGAAAAGATATGTCTGGGTTAGACAATTTTAAAATAAATAGATTTTCATTATTGATTTTGCTTCTGGTTAAAGTCTGTATAGTTCAATCAGACCAACTCCCCAACCTTAAATAACTCTAAATCTGAACAAAATATAAAACTGTCAGAAGGCACTGGAGAATGAGCAAAAAGAGAAAGGTAGTAGAAGTGGTTTAGCACTTAGAAGAACTGAATGTCACTGAGCAAGCTTCCTGTGCTTAACGCTTTTATCCAGAGGGAAATATGAATTCATGGAGAAAAATATCAGGGCAACTTGTGGGACTGAAGAAACTCCTTATGGGAAGTTTAGAAGCTAAGAACAGAGGTACCTTCCCAACTTCAAGTTCCTTTGTGATCCATCATATAGGAAATGCTGAAAGACAGCAATTAGTAAAGGGCAGCAGAAACTGAAGGCTGGGAGAGAAACAGGAGCGAGGAGCATGGGGTAGGTGGAGAGAAAGTTGTATAAGAAAGTTTGAGTAAATGAAAGCTCAAGAAAAGCAAACATGGGCCCCACTGAAGGTTTTATTAGGGCTCGGGAAAGAAGGGAGGAAGTCTCCTTATAAAGTAATAATATAAAGGATGACCTGCAGGTTGACTATTGATTAATGGCTAGGAGACCAATTACTAGATCAGATTAGTAATTCAGGAGTCAATATTGAAGGTTTTTTTTCTTCTTTATAATTTACCCTCTCTTTCACCTCTCTTTTTCCTTTTTGTATTTCATCTAATTTTCACTTCTCTCTCCATTATCTGGGTCTAGCTCTAGTATAAACATATTTTATGGGGACACAATTATACCAATTTTTTCCCCTGATCATTGTCTTCCATGGAATATTTAGGCAAAACAAAAAGTATAACAGGGCCTCCCTGGTGGCGCAGCGGTTGAGCACTGGGTTGCGAAGCTGCCCGCAGCCTCTGTGGCACCGGTTCGATCCCCGGCTGCTCCCCGGCCACTGGAGGAGGGTCCCACATGGCGCGCAGACCTCTCCTGCCGCCCGCTGCTCCCCTCAGCAGTGTACTTCGGTCCTTCTGCCTGCTCTGCTCCCCGCTCTGGCTCTGGTGAATTCTCTCACCCTCCCGCGCTTCTGACTGTACCCAGTGCATGTATAAACAAAACAAACAAACAAACAAATAAATAAATAAAGCATGCCTCTATAAAAAAAAAAAAACAAAAAAAAAAACCAAAACAAAAAGTATAACAAAATCATAATGATAGTGCTATATATGCACCATGTGTCTAATCTTATAAGCAATTAAATGAGATATAATGGAGAATTTTTCTCATGGAATTTGGAAAGGTTTGTTCTTTGTGGCAGAGGAGGTTCGGTGTAACCGAAGCTATCAAATTAAACAACTGGCATTGGTATAACCTGAGTTCTGTTTTTAGCTAAATCTGTTAACTAAGATTCTGTGTCCCTTAGTTTGTCCCTGTGTCCCTTGGTCACCTAAGGATGCTGTGATAAATAACAGAATTTCATGTGTAAAACTGTTTGCTGGAAGAATGTTATCAGCTTTATTTATTTTTGGTATCTAAGGAATTTAAAAACTGGTCAACTCCTGAAAAAGATGCATATTGGTGATTCCTTCCACGCTGCAGTCTGTCACAGAGCCTATTCTGAGATGGTGAGTGATGACCTCAAGGCCAATTTGTTGGTTTCCCTGAATGAGTGGTAACTTTGTGAGCTGGAATTAAATACCTCCTCCACTGCCTGCTGTTTGTTTCTCAAAATTGGACAGCAGTTTTTGTTCTTGAAAATTTATGGATGAAAATATCTGTTGGTACAGCATGATTGCTTGGTAAATTTTCTGGCTAACATAAGGGCAAACTTTGGCTCCTAGTTGAGCATTTGTGCTGAGTAACATGCCTGTGGTAGGCTTGACATCCAAATACACTGCAATAAATGCTTTATGATGTGAGTGAACACCCTTAGCAAGGACGATTACAGAGTCCTGGACACATTTTCCTCTTAGGCTTCTCACGTAGAAATGCAAAGTTTCTTAGCCATTGTGTGAGTAGACTTGATTTACAGTCTTACTCTGATATCTGAACAGGTTAAAGGTAGTTGGCCAGGAGTCCTGGCAGCCTCTTGAGCACCACCGTTGAGCCAGAGGCAGTAGCAGCCAGCTCGGCGCTTGTGCAGAGAGGGATGAGCACTGGCCTCAGTAGCAGCTCCAAAGACCTCAGCACCCACTTTCCCTAGCCCAACAGCAGGTGTGGAAGTCTGTGATCTCCTACCACATTGTCTTGAGGCCAACGTTTTTAATCCTAAAATAAGAGGATTGTATTTTTCTCTGAAATTATAAAATTTACCTATTAATTTAGGTCCTTAAATAATTCCATGCCTTTATTATGATAACAGTAACACTTACTTTAGTATTAAGATATTAATCACAGGAATGTATAAGGTAGAAATCTCCCATAAAGTCAGCCTATAGAAATAACAGTGAATAGTTTAGTTTTGGGGTCAGCAAAAAGGGCCAGATAGTAAATATATTCGGGTTTGTGGGCCACATGGTATCTGTCACACTACTCTCCTCTGCACTGAGCACAAAGTTTGCCGTAGGTAATATGTGAACAAATGGATGTGGCAGTGTTCAGTGAAACTTTTTAGATAATAAAACTTTCAAAACTTGAATTCATATTATTTTCAAATATTCTTCTGTTGTCTTTTTCTTCACAAAATATTCTTCTGTTGTTTTTTTTTACCCCCCCAACCATTTCAAAATGCAAAAGATACTCTTAGCTCATCAACTGTGCAAAAATAAACATTGAACCAGATTTGACCTTTGGGCCATAGTTTGCCAACCCCTACTTAAGCTTATGGCACGAACCATTTTTGACACTCACACTCAGTTGGTTCATAATTCTAAATGTAATTTATTCTCACTTCAAAAATTTAATCATTCTAGAAATGCATAGTTCTAAGATGGCACTATAGTTAGTTTTACCAATTTTTTTTTTAAAGATTTATTTATTTATACAAGAACCGTGGTACAGGCCAGATGCGCGGGAGGGTGAGAGGATTCACCAGAGACAGAGTGGGGAACAGAACAGGCAGACTGACACTGCTGAGGGGAGCAGTGGGCGAGACAGGAGAGGTCTGCCGCGCCATGTGGGACCCTCCCCTGCCAGCCGGGATAGAACAAGCGCTACAGCAGCTGCGGACAGCTTCACAGCGCTGCGCTCAACCCCCTGTGCCACCAGGGGAGGCCCTAGTTTTCCCTATTTTACCCCCAAAGAAAATGACTTCCAACATGTTACCAATATGTGTGTATATGTATGTATGTGTGTGAGATATATATATATATAGAGAGAGAGAGAGAGAGTGTGCACTACACACAATAATATTATTAGAAAATATAAATGTAAAACTGGGAGAGGTCTGTGACACATTTTCACAAAAACAACCATAGGTGGTGGTGTCTTTTTTTTTCTTTTCTTTTTTTCTTTCTTTCTTTTTTTTTTTTTTTTGCTGCCCTTACTCTGTAAGTCCAGCTATTCTAGACTGGCCTAAACATCCAGTTACCACTTACAAAATTATTTTTGTGGGCAAATGTGATCTGAACTTTCAAAGACCAACTTATAGTAAGCCTTTCTAGTTTGAGGACTTCTCCTTGTGTTTATATGCCCTCTCTCCCAATGCCACTGTTTCCCCAGAGGGATAGCAAGAGGTGTTAGTTATATCTAAGGTGGAGGAATTTGATGAGTCGGCTAGATTCATGCCCGCGAGACTGGCTGAGAAAGCCTTGGGAGCCCTGTGCTAGAGGAGCCACAAGTCCACCTCAGTGATCATCGCAGCAGTTCCTCCCTGGAAGCAAGTGAGCCAGTGATTCAATCTGGATACTTAGAGAACCTGTGGATCATTCCTCTAATTGTTTGGTTCTGTCTCCGCCAACCTTTTCTTTTTCCTCTTCAATTAGGGACTCCTGTTTGTGGTGCTGAGTCATCCTTGTACTAAAGAGACTGAACCTTTGGGAAGCCCCGTGTTTCAGCTGATTGTGATCAACCCCAAGACTGCCCTGAGCATGGGGGTACTGCTCTACTGTCTCCCTCAGGGGCAGGCTGGAAGGCAAGTGTGTGGCTGCTGTTCAGCACATGGGCACGTACAGCAGCCAGATATTCCTGTGTCACTTAGGTGAATGGAGACCATGAAATACTGTAGATGATAGTAAAGATGGTCAGGAAGTAGTCTAAAGCATGAAGTTTAGTAGATCTTAGTCAAACTCTGATTCCCTACTTCTTGATCCCCACCAGTGTGAAGTTGAACATACATATATTTTATGTATATCCAAGCCCCATTTCTTCCCATGATGAACATGTTATAAATACAGAGTTAATGTTCTCTGCAACAATTTGGGTTCTTTCCATAATACTTCAATTTAAAAAGTTTTCAATGTACATGAGGAAGTAATCTTTACTTAGAAATGTGACTGAGCCTGTATCATATGGGCCACTGATATTTATCTGTTGATAAATATTTATCTATTGACTGATGGAAAGACCTATTAAAGTTATTGGCACCCTGGTAGCTAACTGCAAAGCCCCTGCTAAAACCAACCAGATTTCTACTTTATGAAGCACATGTTTTTGTGGGCGAGATCCCTACACTGCGTGAAAGGATAATCTCACATAGAAAAAAATGCTTTGAAGAGAAAAACAGGTGAAGTGGGAGAGGGGGTAGAGTGGATGTGTGCCCTGCCTTAGACTGGTAGGTACGACCTTTCCACAGAGATGACAGAACCCAGCCATGCTGAGATCTCTGGACGAGACCTGCCAAGGAGAGGGGAGAGCAAGAGCAAAGACAGTGAGGGTTGCTGAGTTTGGCTAGTTTGAAGAATGGGAGACAGGCCACTATGATCTGGGGTGCAAAGGGTGTGAAGCACAGCAAATCCATTGGCAGGGACTGGATATGTGATTGTGTCCAAAACTGCACCCCACTAGCCAGTAGGCAATTAGGACATAGTATTGAAAACATGAGTAGACTTCCACGTTTACAGTAGCTTTGCTCTTCTCCTTGCTTCGGGAAACATGATTTCAGCCAACTTTTAAAAAAAAATTTTTTTTTTATATGAGTTAAGTTTTCTCTTCTGTTTGATATTAGGTTCCTGGAAGGTGACGTGAAAGATCATTTTGCAGCAGCGGTTTTGACTTCTGGAACAATTGCCATTTGGGACTTACTTCTAGGGCATTGTGCTGCTCTCCTTCCACCTATCTCTGACCAAAACTGGTCTTTCGTTAAATGGTCAGGTACAGATTCTCATTTGTTGGCTGGACAAAAAGATGGAAATATATTCATATACCGCTACTAAGAAGTTAGGGGAAGGTGAAAACATGGTGTTCTGGATACACATGACTACTTGATACTTTTGAGAGCTGTAACCTTAAAGGAGAACATCTGAATGACACCTATTCATTCAGATAGACTTACTTTGTATTTTGGTGGTGGTGACACTACTGATCTTGAATGTTCATTTATACCTACTTTGGAGGAAAGGATTTTAGGTTGATTTTTATAATTCCTCAAATTTGCACATTTACTTTTAAAGATACACATAAAACTTCTTATGTTAATAAATATTTATTTCAAAACATTTTGCTTGGTGTGTTATTTTTCCCATGCTATTAAGATCATTTTCAAAAACAAGAAACAGTTACCTTACAACTAGAATATTTAGTCAATGAGGCTTGCTTAGTAAGAGTATAAGTTGACTCACTATCCTAATATGCGGTATACTTTTTATGCTATTAGGTTGTTGAAAAAATCATGGCGCATTTTTGCTTGAAAAACAGGAAAAATACATCATGATTTTTCCGATGACCCTACTTGTAATACTTTATTTTCACATTATAAGTAATACAGAACCTATTAAAATATGCTAATTTACCAATGCTGTTGTTCTTTTTCTGTTCTCACGTATATCTTTGATACCAGTGCCTGCATTATCACTAGAGTCACTTTGAGTCAACAGCACAGTTATACAGCTTCACCTTGCCTAAGTGAACTGAGAGACAGATTGTTAAAGTACTAATCTGGTGGTATCATTGGAAATTTTATCACAAGTTACAAGTATTTGCCTACATTCTTGTTGAGAGTATATATAGTAAGATCTATAAAATGTTATGATTTGTTCTATTACTTCTCTTTTATTTTTTTTTTTAATTTTTTTTTTTTTAATAGAGGCATGTTTTATTTATTTATTTGTTTGTTTGTTTGTTTTTTTTATACATGCACTGGTACAGTCAGAAGTACCGGAGGGTGAGAGAATTCACCAGAGCCAGAGTGGGGAGCAGAGCAGGCAGAAGGACCGAAGTACACTGCTGAGGGGAGCAGCGGGCGGCAGGAGAGGTCTGCGCGCCATGTGGGACCCTCCTCTGGTGGCCGGGGAGCAGCCGGGGATTGAACCAGCGCAGCAGAGGCCGCGGGCAGCTTCGCAACCCAGCGCTCAACCGCTGCGCCACCGGGGAGGCCCTGTTCTATTCTCTTTTAAAGATACTTTGTCATGTTTACTGTAGTAGTTTATGCTGATTTCATTATTACACTGGATAAATTTGCATAAAAATTAACTTTCCTATACTAATTCTGTTCCCACGATCTAAACTCAAATGAGAGCTACTTTATTTGCTAGCATATCACAGATAAGATTTAACTTTGACTTGAACCCAGAGAAATAAATAATATTGTTGATTAAAGAAAACTAAGTAGACTTAAGCAGTAATTCCAGTTCAGTAACAGTTGACCAAACACTGAGCTCATACCTGACACAGTAGGTATGACAGTGATTGCCCTGAGGCCCCTGCTTGTCACAAGTTCAGAGTCTGTCGAGGGAGAAGTTTATGGAACAATACATGCTATGTTTTATTAAACTTAAAGGTTGTGTTCAGAGGGCTCAATCAGACTTTTCGATGCCATTTTTTGCATCAGTCCATATGTAGCATGGCCATTTACTCACTGGTCATTCCCCAAAGGTGATCCAATTGCTTTTCCAATGATCAAGCACTTAAGTGGGGGAGATGAAATTGAGTTGCTGAAGAAGCCTGGTATTAATTACCATAAAGACTGACATACCAAGAGCAGGGTGACCCCGGAGGTTCCCTTTCCTTTCCTGATAAAGCCTTGACTCAAATCTCACCTCTTAAGAGGACCCTTCAGGGACCTCTTTCTAAAATAACATACTTCCTGCACTCCCTCACAATCTCCTTTCTGCTTTATTGTTCAAGTTACTCCCTGGAGTTGGGGGGATTTTGTTTTTGAAGGGAGGGGGGTGTGTATTTTTATTTTATTGTCTGTCCACAAGAATATAAACTCTGAGGATAGATTGCCCATCTGACTTGTCTCTGGTAGCCTTAGCAATTAGCATACAGACACTAAATTTTTTAATGAACACATAATTCTTACAACAGTGGGATCATACTATGTATTCTATTTTATTTTATTTTTTTATATTTAAAGAACAGGTTTATTAGGGAAAGGGACATAAAAGTAAAAGACACTTGCATAGACACAAGCAGGCAGGAAGAGCTGCCCCAGAAGGGACAGGTTTGCTAAGAGAGGCCTGCAGGGTTGCAGGTGGGTGGCCTTGACAGATCACAGGCAGGCAGGAAGGCTGCTACCCTGCAGAGGAGAGAGTTGGTGAAAAGAGTCACCTGCATAGTCACAGGTGGGCAGACGGAGTGCTGCCTATGCATTCTATTTTAAATTAAAGGTATCACATTTTATTTTACTTAAATATAACAAAAGTAAAAAAAAAAAAAAAACCACCTAAAACTGAAGGCACTTATAACCAGGTAATCTTCAGTTTGGAGTCACTTTCTATTTTTATTTCAATCACTATCTTTGGCCTCCCTCCTAAGAAGTATGAGGCAATTAGCATGCCTGCACTCCCCCCCACTTAACCATTTTTGCGAGCTGTAGTTGCACACTGTTAAGTTTGAAAACATATATATTGCTTTAGTTGTAGTTTCACATTTACTAGTCTTAGTCATATATTTGACTAGTCTTAGTCATATATATTTTAAATAAATCTTTTATTTAAAAGATTTATTTATGCATACAAGAGCTGGGGTGCAAGCAGGTGTGTGTTGGGGTGGTGGTGAGAGGATTCATCAGAGACAGAGTGGGGAGCAGAACAGGCGGATCTACTGAAATCCACTGCTGAGGGGAGCAGCGGGGAGACAGGAGATGTCTGCTGCGCCCTGTGGGTCAGCTCCCTGGCCGGGCATCGAACACATGTTGCAGTGGCTGCCAATAGCTTGATAGCGCTGCCAGGGGTGCCCTATACATTTGATTCTTTTTTTCATTCTTATTTGATTTTTTTTTTGACTTATTAAATAATTTTAATACCTGTGGGAGAATCACCGCATCAAAACTTGCAATACTTTCAGAATGTACGTTAAAAAATTCCTTTCTTGTGTCTGTGGTATTGTTGAGGGAAACACAGCATCTGCAGCTCTAGCGCTGAAACTAACCAGCAGCCCTGCACCCGGCCGTGGGGACCGCGCGCCTCCAGGGCGCAGCGCCACCAGGGGCCGCCAGGGGCCGCCACCGCCGGCGGAGCCCGACAGCGCCGCTCTGTCTCCCCCGCCGCCCGAGGAAACGCGGACGGAGGGCGCCGCGCAGTGCATCCTGGGTCGGTGTAGCCATGGCGGCTCGTGTCCTTTGCGCCTGTGTCCGCCGACTGCCCGCGGCCTTCGCGCCGCTGCCTCGTGTCCCCACGCTGGCCGCCGCCCGGCCCCTCAGCACCGCCCTGTGCCCCGTCGGGGCCCGGACGAGGCCCGGGGCGCCGCAGCCCGCCGCGGTGCTCGCGCAGGTGACTCGCGGTGACTTTGCTGGGGCTCGGCAGGGGTCAGGGCTCGGGGTGCGGGGGAGGGGCCGCCGCGGGGCCGCGCCAGCTGCGGGCGGGGAGCACCGGGCGCGTTTGGCTTCCCCCCCTTCCCGCTGCCCAACGGTGCGCGGCTGACCCCTCCCCGGAGGCCGGGTGACCTGGAGAGACCCGCGAGGGCGCTGGCCCGTCTCACGCCCCGGGGCTGAGTGGCCCCTTCCTGAAACTTTGGGCAAGTTTCGTGACCGCGCCCAGCTTCAATGAGAACCGTGAAATTGGGGTACCGCGTCTCTCTTTTGTGGGGTTGCAATGAGGTTTACTGAAGATACTGCACGTAGAGCACCTCGTGCGTTGCTATGGAAGCTCTCAACATAGTGGGAATAGATAGTGATGATAAATGCGTGATGTTTTTCTAGGGGAAGCCAGTGACGGTGCAGCGTGGACTGCACGCTCGCCTGCAGCCCTAGCCAGGACAGTTTCTTCCCTGGGTTGCTGGATGTGGCACATTTTCCCTGTTTCCAGACCGCCTGGAAGTAAGGGTAGGAGGCAATATTTAGCAAAAGGTTTTTTTATCGGATGAAACTTTTGTGAGGCTGAAACTTCATAGGACAACGATTTTCAAGCCTAGCTGCATGTCAGATCACCTGGGTAACTTGAAATGACAGTAGGTGTACCCCCTGCTCCTTTAATTGTCAGCAGTGTGAACTGATTTCTTCCTGCACAGACACTGCACCTGCACACCGCCTTCCCTTTCCTTGGCCTGCCTTTCCCTCCTTGAATAATCTGTCTGGTTCTTTTCCTAGCTCACTCCAAGTCTGGTATCTTCTCCTTCCTTGTCTCAAGGATTGAATGACAGTTTTTGTTACTGAAGAAGCCTGCAAAAACCTATTGTCATGACTCCTGCCATTTTTTAAATAACAATTGAAATGAGCTGTTTGGGTTGGTCTTTTCCATTAAACTGTAACCTTCTCTAAGGTGAAAGGTCACACATCTCAGTCATCTTTGTAGTTCCAGCCCATAGCAAGTGCTTGGCATATGGGTCAAGCTGGACTGCTGAACAGGCATGTGAAAAGATAAAGGCAAGACTTTGCTGCATGTGAGGACAGGTGGGTGGGTGGGGAGAGCAGAAACAAGAGGGACTTCGCTCACTCCCAGGGAGCTGCTAGCTGTGAGCAGCACCGCTTCTCAGGCAGCGGTTTCTCCAGCAGTCAGGGCTGAACGTGAAGACACATGCAGAGGCGGGAACTTTCCTGCCAGTGGGTTGGGTTGGGATACCGCGAGAAGTGAGGGTGAGAGGATGGGAAGTAGGGTTGGCACTGAGATTTCTGCCTGGGGGCCCAGGTAGTGGAGAAGGAATAGAGGTCTGTGAGCAGGTGTTTTGGTGATAGGTAAGGAGTCCAAATCCAAACAGACAAGATGTCTTTCCTGGGGAGTTTTTGAAGGTCGCCTTTGGAGCCCTCGCTTTAGGCTCCTTGAGTTTCCCTGAGTCAGAGAGAAACCCCAGAGGAGGTAAGACGGGTTCTGGTGGAGGCTAGTGGGGTTTGTTTTGTTTTCAGTAGCCCAGGGGATAGTCAGTCACTCTCTGCACACCACACCTTCTCTGATGTCTGTGGGAGGTGATTGAAGCTGCTTAGGATGAAGTGTACGAAGGTCCTGAGGAACACGTAACACCAAAATAGACCACGTTGGATGTTGGGCACACATTTCAGAAGCGCTTGCCCATTCTGTATCCCGTTTTCAAATGGCTGATCCTCAACAGGAAGGAGCTGGGAAGGCTCTCCAAGAGACCATGTTGGGAGGCCTGGGTCAGATGCCTGACCTGTCCTTCCTCAGTTTCCTCATCTGTAAAAAGGGCATGATAGTAGTATGTGTCTTGTGGGATTATTGTTAGAACAGAGGAGACAATGCATGTGAAGTGTTCAGTTGTGCTGCCGCCTGATTTAATGATTAGAAATCAGTAGAATCCGGCGGAGAGCCTTGGGAGGGAAAGGATAGGATCAAGTACTTTGAAGCAACACTCCCACCAAAGCCTCAAGCTTTAGGCCATTGTCAAACTTCTCAGGTCATTACATCCTGATCCTCTTAGCCCCAAGGAAGCACTCGCTGTGAGTGTGCGCCCAGCAGTGTCTGGGCCCTTTACACTGTCTTACAGATGCTGCATGATGGCCCATTGAACTTGGTGCTGTCCTTTAGTTCCCTTTTGCAAGGGAACAGAGGCTAAAAAGAAATAACTTGCCCAGGGCCAGAGAACTAGTAAGGAAGAGCTTGTGCCAGGGTACAAACGTGCTGTCTCCTTCCATATTCTTCAGGCCCTCCCACCACACCTGCCTCATGCTGGCCTACTGCTGCCACCTGCTTCAGTGGCCTGTGGCCTCCAGGTGGAGGCCCTTTAATTGAATCACAGGGTGTTCGTGGCCCTTTTCGACAGAACCATGGGCCCCTGAGCAGCGGTGTATGCGCGTGCCCTCATCTCAGTCCCCCTTCGCAGCAGTAGCCCCACCTCACGCCATTCCTTCTGCTCGCACAGGCGAGGCTTGTTAGGTACTTCCACCCCAAAGTCCTTTTCTGTCATTACCACTATTAACCCGTTTCTTCTTCCTCTTTCTTCCTTTTTGCTTCATTTTATTTGGAGCTTAGAAACCTCTCCTAGCCATTGTTGATAAGAAGGCCTGGTGATGTTCCCACTGCAGAGGTTTCCTTAACCCATAATGTATTGAAGACAACATAGACCAAAAGAACAAGTGCTCTGAAAGTACTTTAGAATATCCATAAAACACTTCCTCTCGCTTTTATTTTTTTTTTTTTTTAAGATTTGTTTTTATATGCATACAAGAACTGGGGTATAGGCTAGAGATGTGGGGGGTGAGAGGATTCACCAGAGACAGAGTGGGGAACAGAGCAGGTGGATCTACACTGCTGAGGGGAGCAGCAGGTGAGTCTGGAGAGGTCTGCTGTGCCATGTGGGTAGCTTCCTGGCCAGCCGGGCATCGAACGTGTGCTGCAGAGGCTGTGGATAGCTTCACAATGTGGTGCTTAACCCCATGGGCCACCAGGGAGATCCTTTCTCTCGTTTCTTTAGCTTGCCGGTTACACCTGATTTCAAGACGTCTGATTTTTTTGTAAGATGAGTGTTTTTTATACAGAGGTGTACATGCTGGTTTGGTTCACTTGGCAGTGTTTTCGTTATAATTTTCATAGACCTGGGTGACTCAGACCTGAACCCCAATAAGCAAACCCAATTTCAATGGGAAATGCCTAAGAACTCAAACCACAGACTAAACCCCAGCTCTGAAAGGTAAAGGTGCTGCTGCAGTGAGCAAAGCTCAGGCAGCTGTTTTTTCCTCTTGTCTCTTCTGTGGCATTAAGCCCCTCGCCTGTGTTGGAGCTCATGCGTCATTGGTGAGGGGATAACGTTGAATATCAAGTAGGCTGATACCAGCCACCAGAGATAATCTCTGTCAAGGCAAAGATGAGGACAAAGGCTGGTTATTTGGGCAGGTCCCCAGGAAGGAGCATGTCTGGACTATAGGAGATGTCACTGTGCCTGTCTCTCCTTGGGGTCAGCAGCTGCTTCCTCTGAGCTAGCCAAGGTCAGTGTGGTTACCCTGACTGGGGTCCAGGGAGACACCTCCAGTGTATATTCCCTGGTGTGAGTCACCTCGCAGCCTGCCGTCATGGCTCTTCCTGCGGCTTATTTTGACTGAGGCGTGGCCATTAGAGGTGGTAGTCCTGGGAGAGGCCTTTGGCTGCTAGAGGCATGAAAACAGGCTCTTCCTCAGGCCCTCGATGATGTTTGTGGCAGTGAGTCTCACTGAGCAGGTCAACATCCCAAGCCTGTGGGCTGAGCAGAGGAGCCAGGGGCCTGTCCTGGCTCCGAGGGGAAAGGAGGTGCATCTTATGCTGCTGAGTGCTGGGCCTCTGAGGCCACAGGGCCGTGATGGAGTGTCCTAGTGACCAGAGTTAGAGTCAGGGGAAGCGGGTTCTGAAGCCCTAAATGCTTGGTTAAGATGTCTGTGGACTAGTGCATTTATTTAGAAGCATTTTCCGTGAACACCTGCTTTCTTCCTGCCCTGGTTTCAGGTTGCGAGCAGAGCTACACAGCTGTGCCGCCAGTACAGCGACGCGCCCCCTCTGACGTTAGAGGGAATCAAGGACCGTGTTCTGTATGTCTTGAAGCTCTACGACAAAATTGACCCAGAAAAGGTAATGATCGGACTTAAGTGGTGGTTTTGTTTGTTTGTTTGTTTTTGTTTTTTGAGATGAGTAGTACAAAATTCCAGCCATCAAAGGACAGAGTCAAGTTTCCCGGGCTCCCTGCCACCTAGTCCCCCCATGGGAGGCCATTGGTGGGACCAGCTTGTGTCTGTGCAGAGACACTCAGCGCATATGTGAGTACACACCGCAGAGGTGGTGAGTAGCTGAGATGTAGCTGAGAGGTAGCTGAGTATGGCTGAGAGTAGCGCTCCCCCCTTGTAAAGGTGCACAGATGGTAGCAGACCTTACACACCATTCTGCACCTTGCTTTTTTAATTTACACGCCTGGAATAGTAGTACATAAATAGTAGTATAAATATATATATAATAGTAGTAGTGTATCATAGTAGTATATAAAAAAATTCTTTTCAAACTATTTTGTGGCAGGATAGTTTGGTTTTGATATAGGATTTTTAAGAATATGTCCTAGTGACCCTGAGATCTCAGTTCAAGACAGGGTGATGCTAAATACTGCCTGCTGTTGTGGAGGGGAAGGAATGACACTGGTGGGGTGAGGCGGCTTGGTTGTCAGTCGGGCAGCAAGGAAAACCAGACTCTGAGATGTGACCAGAGATGCCACTAGGATAATGCCAAGTGTACGTCCTGTTCTCCCATTCAGAGCAAGGTCGCAGTTAATGTAAGCAGCACACCGAGTGTTGTTGCCCGCACAGGTTAAATGAATAACATTCGTTAAGGCTCTTTATGTACTTAAAATTTAATTTCTAAATATCTTCCATATAATGATTAAGTGAAGCAGGTGCACTTGTGGGCTAAATTGCGTTTGGTGTTCCTTTTTTGCAGCTCTCGGTAAATTCCCATTTTATGAAAGACCTGGGCTTAGACAGTTTGGACCAAGTGGAAATTATCATGGCCATGGAGGACGAATTTGGTAACACTCACGGGCTTATTTGTCCTGGGTCTGCATATGACTGGGTCTGCATATGACATTGTCTGGGTCTGCATATGACTCTTGATTTAGGTGGACGAAACGGAAAGAAATGTTGGGAGTCTGAATTGGGATTTGAATCAAACAAATACAAACAGTAGCGCCGCTGCCACAGTAGTGCTCTCTCCCCCCACCACACGCACTTGCTCACCATCAGGTGAGGTGAATATTAGGAAGAGGCATTTGATCAGAAAGCACTTAGTGCAGGTCAGCAGAGGCCTGGGGAGGATGGGACTTGGAGTCTTGAGCTGGGGCTCCTCAAGGTGAAGGTGCCGCCTGTGGAGAAGCTGAGCCTTAGCCCCGCTCAGGGCCTAGACCTGCATGTCTGTGCCTGGAGCTGTAACCGTGTGCTGGGGGCAGGCTACAAAAATGAACAGTGATGTAAGAAAATACAGAAAGGAAGAAGAAATAAATTGCACTGTAATCTTATAGTTTCCTGCTGAAAACAGCATCCTAGCACTGGAAAACAAACACACGCCATTGTGCCCAATAGGATGGATGTTGTCTAGAGCACAATGAGCTCACAACTTGAGTGGGATTTTGGGTTGCTGGAGGCGTCAGTGTACTTGTGGGTGTTACAGAAGTTTTAGGGGCTTTCAGTCCTACTAGGTTTCCTGTTGCTACACTCATGCATTGCTGTGATTTTACTTTCAGGGTTTGAAATTCCTGATATAGATGCCGAAAAGTTAATGTGTCCACAAGAAATCGTAGATTACATAGCAGATAAAAAGGATGTATATGAATAAGATAGCAGGTAAATAATTTGACTTATAGAATGATATTCCTCCTTAAAATCAAATTTCTCTGGTTCTTAAGTGAAGTAAGACATGGGAAAGATTGGAATGGTTGGCAGGTTTTCACTGGTTATAAAATGCAGGCCCCCTCTGGTTCTCTGCCACTCAAAAGGAACCAGCCTTGGTGATGGTCTCTATCCTCAAGGGCAGTTGAGAGCAATTCCTTCCTGTCACACTTTTTTTTTTTTAAAGATTTATTTTATTTATGCATGCATATAAGAGCTGGGGTGTAGGCCAGAGGTACGGGCAGGGAGGGTGGTGAGAGGATTCACCAGAGACAGAGTGGGGAGCAGAACAGGCGGATCTACTGAAATATACTGCTGAGGGGAGCAGTAGGCGAGACAGGAGAGGTCTGCTGAACCTTGTAGGTCAGCTCCCTGGCTGGGGATTGAACTCAGGCCATAGTGGGCATGGCACTAAGACTTAACCCCTAAGCCAGCAGGGAGGGCCCTATAACACTTCTTATTTTTTTTTTTATTTTTTATTTTTTCTAAATATTTATTTATTTATACAAGCACTGGGTACAGTCAGAAGCGCGGGAGGGTGAGAGAATTCACCAGAGCCAGGGCGGGGAGCAGAGCAGGCAGAAGGACAGAAGTACACTGCTTAGAGGAGCAGCGGGCGGCAGGGGAGGTCTGCGCGCCATGTGGGACCCTCCTCTGGTGGCCGGAGCAGCCTGGGATTGAACCGGCGCTGCAGAGGCTGCAGGCAGCTTCGCAACTCAGCGCTCAACCGCTGCGCCACCGGGGAGGCCCTGTAACACTTTTTAAATAAAACTTTGTATTAATGTTTATAACTTAGTTATCTTGGATTTAGCACCTAAAAGATTTTCACTTAAAGTCAGCAGTAGTGTACCCTCCCCCACCAAGAAAAAGAAAAAGCACCACCAAAAACTGAACTCATTTTGTCTTTGCCAGGCCCCCTTTCTCCACTGAGAGAAGATTCAGAAGATGCTGGCAAGTGTCTGCAAGTGAGAACACATTTGGCATCATCGCTGACTTTGACAGAGTAATTCTGTTTTGACTTGTATTTAAATTGTCTAAGTGTTTTTTCCCTTTGAAAATAAATCTATAAAACCAAGATTTTTCTCTGTCTTCAGTTGTTCAGTGATGTCTATTAAGTGCTTTTTATGTTGGCAATACTTGCTATTTTTAAAACTTTCATTAGTATTCATATCAGAAATGACTTCTAGCAGTATATGTGAAGTTTCTCATTTCCTTTAGTGTAAGGAACCAGTGTGTTAGTGATAAAAGGACTTTTTGCCTAAAAAATTTGTCTCCATTAGTTTATTAAGGTAATTTTTCATCTCTGTCCTTCCTGAGTTGATAGAATTTAGTAATTTTGGAGGGTAGAAATTCATTTTCCTCTGAGAAGGTCAGTCTGACATTCTCCCTCTGGCATAGATGAGCATCAGGTGGATACTCTCCTCTTAGCACTGTGATATGTCTTTGGGCTGTCTATCGGCAGTTGCCTTGCTCCTCCTGAGGTGCAGTTTGAGTGGGGTGTCGTAAGTTGTGCTAGTAGGAAGCTGTGTCCCTGGGTGAGGACTGGCAGTGACCTCAGCTGGCAGAGCACCTCCCCACTGGGGTCAGGTGTGGCTGGGTCCACACTCACACTGCTTCCCTTCCTGGAGGTGCCTCGTGTTGCCAGCCCCTTCTGCGAGGCCCTAGCATGATTGTAGGTGCAGCAAGCAGACAGATTTCCCTCCTTTTCACCAGTAGAAGCATTTGTTTTACTGCACCCCTTTTTGTTAATATTCAAGCTATCTTGGGAAGCTGCCAAACTGGTGGGTGCATAAGGAGTTTCCTCTTTCTCTTTCCACCGCATTTATTCAGCAAGTAGCTCGAGTCCTTCCTAGGCACTGGAGACCCAGCAGGGACCGAAACAGACTGCAAGGAATGTACCATAACTGAACGCCTAGGCTACAGGTTCTAACTATTTTTACCCTCATGGCAGCTGCACTTTGTTGTAAAACTGCCTCTCTAGTTGTTTCTGCCTAGATGAATTCAGAGTACTGCTGCTAAGTGGTTGCTTGATCACACCTGTGCAGAAATGACCCCTCCAGCCCATCCACATCATTCTGCAGTTAAGAGTCAGAACGAGGGGAAATAACCTGAATCATGCAGATAATTCAATGGATCTGGGTTTTCAAACAACAGCAAAGGCCTTTTCTGCTCCAAGAACTTGCTAGAATGTTCTTTTGAAAGACCTGGGTACTACTATCAGTAGGCATTGAACTGGTCAAGTGTGTGAATTAGAACATATAGATTTGTGCATAGTTTAAAGGCCTCCCAAACATGCCTTCAGGGGCCTGTGTCTGTGCTGGGCGGTACCGTTTCTCTCTGTGAGGCCTCATAACCTGCTTCTGGCATTGTCTCTAGTTCAGACACACTCTTCTCACTGTCCCCCAAACAGCCAGTGCATTCACTGAGACTTAATGCCTGTAGGGGGCTAAGCTGTGGACTAGGCGGGGCCTGAGTACACAAAGGTGAACAGTGTGTCTGCTCTCAGCTCCCTGTCCGGATGGGAGGAGTTACGAGTGATGGGCTCACTTTCAGCATCACCAGTAACAGCAGGAGCGTTTGCTGGCAGATGTGAACTGAGGACAGGTGACCTGAGGTACTCTTGCTAGAATGGCTTAACCTGAATGTTCAGGAGGAAGCAACTCCAGGTGGTGGGACTTTTAAAAGATAATGTCATGGGGGAAAGGATGGTAAATTTCTTAGGAGAATAACTGTAGTAGTTAGACTACTCCAGGGGGATAAATACTTAGTGACGCTTCAAGATTTCTGTAGCTGACTTAGATGGCTCAGAAAAAACAACAGCAAAATGTTAACCGGTGACTGTAACAGGTACACATACGCCTGTGCATTGTACTACTTTTTCAGCTACTGCTTGAAATTCGTCAAAAAGAGAGAAACCACACATGTAACAAAAAATACAGACTGATGGCATACGACTGGATATCCAACAATATGCAAGCGGTTAAATAGAAAAAAAGATCCATGCAATGAAACTGGCACTGAAAAGTAGTAAATGGCTTGTTCCCATCACTGTGAAACATCAAGATGTTAAGGATTACCACACGATGGTAGAAATACATGCGGCTTATTTTGTTGTTCAGTATTTTCTAAATTATATATACCATGTATTGTGTAATAAATGAAAAGCAAAATATCTAAAAGTATGCATTTTAAAATAACAAACTAGGCGTTTGGAAAACAGGCTAGTTCAGGGTGCTGAGGAACTGACTCCTGAGCCGTGAACAGCCAGCATGTGGAAAGGGCAGGAGATAGAGACTCCAGGCTGGAAGGACAGTGTGTCAGGAGTCTGAGGTGGGACATCAGTTGAGGCTGGGCTATTGCTAGAGCATTGCTTGGTTGAGGTGCTGCCAAAGCTTAAAGATGTGGCTGGGAGCAGCTCACAAGGGCCTTACAGTCTGATGAAGGAACTTATTGGCCAAGGATTCCGGCAGAATTTTCTGAAGGGGAGAAACAACTAGATGCTTATGAGCTCAGCCACTGGAGGCAGTGCCAAGGGTGGACTGACGGGATATGGCTACTAGAGGAGCACATGGAAAAGGGCAGATTTGGAGGTTGGGATAAAGTGACATGGACAGTAAGACATTCTGGGACTACAAATGATGGGCTGTGGCCTGAGGAAAAAGGAAATGGTCTAGGCTCCCCCTGAAGTTTAAGGCTTGGCTTCCCAGTGCTGCTATCTGAACAAGGGACTAGAGGAGGATCAGATCAGAAGGGGAAGCCTCGGTTTGGGACATGTTGGGTATGCTTGTGGGATACCCAAACAGAGGGCAGATAAAAGATTAAGAACTCAAGGAAAATGCCAGGCTGGAGCCCGAGTGTTGACAAGGTGCTGCCCTGGCTGGGCTAGTTTCTCCTGTTGCCAAAGGCCCACTGAGGACTCCCCTCCCTCCTCTGGTAAGTAACTAAGTGGGAATGGTTGACTCTCTGCTCCTGCGATGGCCCCTTCAAGCTTAAGCCTATAGTGAGTTGTTTCCTTCAAGGATGAGAAACTAAGAAAACTGAGAGACCTTCCTACTATTTGAATTTTTTCCTCATGTAGAAGTATTTAAAAATTTTAAGTGGTAGCCAATAAATGAACTAATGTCAAGGCTCAAAGTTTAAAAAAAGAAGAATCACAAACGTGCCCTTGAGACATAATAGCTGCATCCGGCAGAGAAAAAAATATATAAATTCTTTCCTGAGTTCTCAACAATGAGACAAGCACCTAAGGGCATGTCCTTTGACATTAGGCAAATTTGGGTTCAGTGACAGGCATATGGCCTTGGCAAAGTGTCTTCTGATGGACAAAGTAGGGGTGACAAGAGACAAGGGGACAATATTAAGGGTCACAATGAAAACTGAGATTAAAAAATACGGGAGCGAGGGGAATTATTCTATAAGAGACAAAGGCCAAGACTGGCAAAAATAAAAAAGGATATTTAAAAAATATAAGGCTAGGATAAGGATTTAAAAACATTAAGGGTTACTGATTGAAAAATAATTGCTCCAAATGACATTTTGGACTGTCTAGTAGAGGACAGGGGTGAACCGATCTCATCTTAGTTGAGAGAACAATGCTGTGCTAGGGAGCCACAATATCCTCATTCCTAGGAGAGTCGTGCTAAAATATCCACAGAAGTGTCTTAAGTCTGTCTGCACGTCTGTCAAAAATTCCAGCAGAATCAAGTGTATGCGTGTCTAGAGGAGACAAAGCAAACATGGCTAATATTTTAGCAATTGGCTACCCTGAGGGAAAATTATCAGGTGGTCAGTCTTATTTAAGCTTGCAAATTTTCAAAGCACAAAGGGAAAACAGCAGGGAATTAAAAACTATGTAAGGCGGAAAGGAGAAGAAAAAATCAGGAGCTCAAAAATGGGGTGAACAGTAAGAAAAGTTGTATCCGGAGAAAAACACAGGTGAGCAAGCTTTAGAACAGAACTAGCCTTGACACCAGAAGCCAGGAGTAATCCTGGCTGGTGGTGCCCAGGTGGGGTTGGCCGAGGGCTCCCAGGTGAGAAGCACATCACTTCCTACAGCACAGATGGGCTAGTCAGACCACCTTGAGCAAAAGCAGAAAGGAGCTGGTGCCTCTTGGTCCACTGACTGCCAGGTCTGAGGGGTGCCTGTTGTGGAGGGGGCTATTATGCCTCAAGGGCAAATGTTTGTGATTCTTCTTTAGTTGCCTACAGTGGAGAAAAAAACGCCAGCTGTCCCTCCAGAAGGCGTGGTGAGGTACTCAGACTGGGGATCCTCTCAGGCACCATCTGAGGAGAGTCAACCAGCCTACTGGTTTTACCGTATCTAAAATAACGAGGATAAAACGAGATAAATCCAGAAATATTCTCTGTGCACACAGAAGCTTCTCTTTGTGGGCACAGGCCAACATAGTCCGTGGCAGTCCCACCCCATGGCTCGCCCAGGTCTTTAAGAAACTAACAGTTTTGTTTTGAGATTATGAGGCATTAGAAATAGGGAAAAGTTGGGAAGTGAGGCCAGAACCCTCAGAAATGGCAGGAGAGGGGCCCAGCAGGAGTGGTGTGCTAGCAATGATAAGTCCTCTCCATGCCCAGGATTCTCTTTTTGCCTTATTTCTGGGTATAGATCCTCTCCCCCTGGGTCTCTGCAGCTTGCAGGGAGAACCAGAACTACATCTCAGTGTTTTCTAAATGGCCAGGTGAAGTCCCATAGGCACTAGAGGGGGAGCAGGGGGTTGGGGGGGACAGGCCCAAGGTCAGGGAGAAGCATCCCCTCTGGAGGAGGGCTCCCAAACAGCGATGTGGCTGGCGAGTTGGTCACTTTGACCAATACAGAATAAATCAAACCTGGTCCCCTGAATAACCATTTTCAGCAGGAACAAATGTGGATATACTTAAAAGCCAAATAATATAGTAATAAGTGAGACCACAGCTGGCGGAACAAGGGGCTCTGGTCCCACTTCCAAATAATGGTCAATTCCCAGGTACAGATCAGGCGCATGAAGAATTGAAAGGAAAAAGAGACACAATTAATTATCAAACTTTAATTGATAGACTAATCTTACAGGATAAACAATAAGACAGCTAGTCAAGGTTACACTTTAAAAAAAAAAAATCCAGCAGCGCAAATCTAATAGACTAAATACGTTCATCTCCTCCCAAACAGGCATTAGATTTAAAAACAAAAACCAGAACAGAGCACACGCCACAAGGAGACATGGTTTTTACGTATATTGTCAAATAATTCCGCAGAACTCTTGAAGAAAAAAGAGGTTCTTAGAAATTTAGAAAGCAGTAGACGCCCCCAGCCTGACAGGTAGGTTCACTGGATGTTCCGCACGTCAGAGGACTCCTGACCGCCTGTCGCCTCAGAAAGGCTACCAGGTCCTGTGAAGAGGAACCAGGCGCCGCTCCAACTGGAGATGTCTCACAAAGCCTCAAGACAAAGGGGCCATCCTTTGCAAGACAACTGGCATGAGCAGATGCAAGGAGCGAGGAGGTCTCCCTCCCAAGATGGGGCGGAAAGCAAGGCCGCCCTTGCTCGGCCCTTAGCACACTGTGTCTATCCCCTGGGCCTTCTCCGCCCCAGGCAAAGAAAGGTGGGCCAAGTGCAAGTGACCAGGATGGCTCCTCCAGGCACATGGTTCAAGTAAGAGTACGAGGAACACAAGCCCCTTCTGGCTGAAATATGGCAACTCTTCAGAGAGGCAGCAATGTGGCAAAGTTGGTCTCTTTGGCCCTCTTAACAGAACGTAGCAACTAAGGAGGCTACCGAGGGCCTCACTTGGGCCCCTGCCACATCAAGATTATAGGAAAGTGCATCCTTAGCTCGGTTCAACTTCATTTAAAGAGAACTAAAACTACTTGCAAAAGGCCCATCATCAATCAAAATACATTAATACCAAAGAGTTCCAGCAACTGGCGAGCTGGCTAAGTCCTCTGAAACGGAGCTGAGAGGGCCCCGAGCCTCCGCAGGATCCCCTCGTCAGTGTTCTGTCAAGTCACCTCAGGGAGGGAAAGAAAGGCATGATGTCTGTGGGCAAAGATCGGCAGGAAGACCACTAGCAGATTCTAGACGAGCAAGCAGCCCACCAGGAGGCTCTGAGAGGCGTCCAACGAGGGAGATGTGCTTGCCTGGCCTGCCCCCTGAGCACCGGAGCCTGCTCTTAGAACCAGCTCTGCCGTAGCCCCTGCAGGCCCTCTGCCCCGGGAGGAAAGGTCGCACCCCAGGGAAAGAACTAGTGTGCTCCAACAGGGCAGGCCTGTGTGGAGAGAATCCTGAGGAGAAAATTAACACTGCGATGCTACCTAGGGGAAAAGAACTTCCGTGTGCTCACAGAGGCGTCAGCGCACTCTGGACGGCGAGGAAAGTGGGAAGAGACTGCTCACAGGACTGAGTGACAAGAGTGAATACTGCTGTGACCTGGACACGGAGTTAACTAAATACTTCTCCCCGGAGGGCCAGTGGTGTCCACCTTTGCTCTCCCAGGGGCTTCCAGCAAGGTCTCCGTGCAGACAGGGTCAGGAGCTAGAGCTCAAGATTGTTCCTGAGCCCATTGAGCGAGCTCTGTAAAGCAATACTCAGACAGCTCTGTACGAAAAGGTGTCATTTACATTATTATTTATATATAGTATCTTGAAGTAAGGAAAAAGCACCATTTTACTTAAAATAAAAAGATTCACACAGGCTTTGGTCCTGTCTTAAAATGACACCCGCCTGAGTGAGAAGCAGTTTGGCCCTTGGGGAGCAGGGAGACGATGGAACACATGCCGTCACCCGGAGGAAGGGGTGGCAGGTGGCGTGGTGGCCACATGAAAGGGGAGAGAAGACCTGGAGGGAAGGGCCTCTGAGCAGCACTGCGAGGCCAGCCTGGGGACAGAGACGCCCGCGGCCCTGTCAGGACACGTCTCCAGAACAGGGACACTGGCCAACAGAAGGGCAGGATTCAAAGTGAGATGACGCTCTACTTGCTACCTGACCGTGTCTTCTGTAGACCTGTCGAGCGCAGAGGCTTCCAGGCAGCAAAGCAGCACTCTCTTCTCTGCGAACTGCAGGCCCACGAGGACAGAAAAGCTGCAGTTGCTGCTCCTTTTTCAAGGGATGAAAAACAGGCAGTTTCTTGGATGCTACACTTCACATATGTATGATGCCCCCAAAAAAGCGAGAGTGGATTTTCCTGCCCAGATGCACAACTTGGCATTGACTACACCACGAAAAGCAAGAGCCTGTCTACAAGGGCTGGATTCCTGAACTACGGCTTAGGAGGGGAGGGTGTAGAATATCACCATGAACTGGCTCACAAGGAACAGTCATCTTAGGCGAACACATGCTAATACATTTCACAGAATGAGGGGAAACAGCCTAGAATCCAAAATGTGAAGTTTGGAAAATCTCTCGTCAAACCTTACTAGGAGAGCCTGCAACCAGGGAGGGGAGAATCGCAAAGACAGCAGCAGAGAAACAGCAAACAGCACAAAGGGTATCACTCACCAAGAGACTTCCCCCTATTTCAGAGTCAATCAAGCCAGAAGGAGACAACAGAAGTTCACATGTACGAAGAACAAAGGGCTAAAACCAGAAGAGGGTGAGCTAATCACAAAAAGCCATTTATCCCATCTTCGATGTCTAAATACATGGGCCAACCCACTCGGTCAGATGTCTTCTTATGGAGAAAGGTGGCATCTCTGAACCTGGGATGAAGGACACTTGAACACAACGCATGAGCATAAGGACCAAATGGAGACGCGTAATTGAAATAATCGTTGGACTGCTTAGGAATTTCTCAAAACTTCCAAAGAAAGAAGATACCTGGGTCTGTGGCTCTATGGCTCAAACTGTCTTCCACTGGCTCCTCCTCCAAGGGACTCTGCTGATGTGTGGAGTGGCCCCGCCCCGGTCAGCCAGACGGGCAGGCCACCATCAAACCAGCAGTGGGACCCCGCAGACTGGGGCCCAAAGGCAGGACATTTAGACAGGAGTCACTGTGAGATACTCTGCTGCTCGACAAACACCACAGCAAGTGTGAGCGCTCCCTGACCAAGACCACATGGCTCCTCCCCTCCCACCGCGCATTCACCAGCAGCAGCTTGGCGGGAGGGAGGCCAGGCAAGGAAGCATGGATGAGGTACGAAAAGAGGAACTGACATCTTTGGGTTTTAAAAACAAAAACTCAAATCTAAGAAGTGAGAAAGTAAAAAAAGGGGAAGAATTAAATCTGAATCAAGGGAGAGAAAAATATGGCTTACTAACCCCCCCATTTTTGCATACAATTTTATATGAAAAATTAAACAACAAAACACCCCAACTCATCACAATGCAGTCCAAATGCTTGCAACCAAATATTTATGAAAATATTTCAGTTCAAATCATTGGGGAATAAAACCAGAAAGCTTTTGACCATTCCTTTCTAAACAAGATGAGGAGACCTACTCTCAAACACACTTCAGAGTATTCCACACAACATGTTCTGAATTCAGATTTATTGATCTCCACTGTATTGACTTTAAAAATGGTATGAAGCTGACTGCAAGAAAGGGAACCGGTGATTTTAAGTTAAAATTAAGCTAATGGTGAAAGTCCATCACCTCTGGCTTCAGTCACCACATCGCCTTAGATTGGATATAGATTTTTTTGAACAAAGTTCCAGAACTCTGAAATCCAGGGATGCTGCAGGCCTCTCCCAGCAATGTCCTTCACTTTGGGTCAGTCTCCTGGGCCAGAGGTGAAAGTGCTTTCAAAAATACTGCCATTTCCCCAGCACAGTGTCTTTGATTGCATCCACATATTGAGTTGGAACCCAGTACACCCAGTAGTAAGAGGCTTCCGTGGGGCCCAACTGAAACGCCTGGAAGGGAAAAAGGAAAACCAAGCGGTACTTCAGCGCTCAGACGCAGAGCAACAACACACACACATACATACACACGCACGCACGCAGGCACTCGCACACGCGCGCGCGAGCCCACGCACACACACACACACACACACACGGGGGAGGGCGAGAAGGGAGCGCATTAGGAAGGATAAAACTGCAATGGGGAGGGAACATTCTCCTGTCAAAAACAAAACCAAGAAGGTGGGAGAGTTAAGCATAGCCAAGCCTAAAGCAGTGGTTCCCAAACTCGGGCGTACATCAGACCATCGTGAGGGCTTGTTACAAGAGACGGATGGGCTCCACCAAATCAGAGCTTGATTTGGAAGGGTTGGGATGGGGCCTGGAGACCTGCATTTCTAGCAATTCACAGGGGGAGATATATTGCTGATCCAGAGGCCACAGTGTGAGAACCACTGCCCTAGAGAAACTCAACACGTGCACAAGGAAACAGACGTGAATGTTTGAAGCAGCCCTGGCAGGAACGCTAACTCAGGAAGCAACCTCTGTTCCACCAGCAAGGGAGCGCAAACCTGAGCGTGACAGTGGCCTATTCATCTGAATACTGGATTACTTTTCAAAGGTGTTAACTGGATCTATAGCTAATAAAGACAGATCATAATGTTGTACCAAAAAAGCCAGTTGCAGAACGTTATAGATCATGATACACTTATGAAAACTGAAAAAACACAAACACTGTATCTTACACGTGAATATATATGGAAATAAAAGTACAGACAGACGGGAGGGAGCAGATGATCAATCAGGATAGTGGGAGTGGGGGAGGGGAAGACAATGGGGACATAATCACTGTTGCCAAATTTTCTTTTATTTAAAAAATGGTTTAAAGCAAGTTACAAAATATTTACAATTATCATTTCTTGATGAGGGATTTATGGGCTTGTTGCAGTTTTCTGTGATTTTTTTAAACATTCTAGATGAAAAAGCACAGCCGCCCTTTGCTGAATTTGAATTGATACCTTGATCTAACTAACGAAATGGCACCTGCAAAAATACTTGAAAACAGTTTTATTAGGACAGAGGCACAGGCACTACTTCATGGGCTTGGAGGAGACGGAAACTGTGAGAACCACCTCTGCCACTGAGGACTCCAGAGAAAGACACATATTTAAGCTAAAGACCCATTTCAGCACCAGCCCTCCGGACCGATCTTAAAAGATGTCCAAAACGGTCCCCATCCCTTGCTAACTGGGGCTGCACATGGGTAAGATAAATGTTTCAAAAGGGAAAGGCCCCAACACTATTTAAGTCCAACTTTAAAACAAACAAGCAAACAAACAGAAAATAACTGGGCAGGCAAAACAAATCCATCTGCAATTCTCCAAAGACTACAGAGAGACTGGGGCGCAGGACCGTGAGGGCCTTAAAGAGCTCCTGAGCCACAGCCTTCACCCCTAGCAGGGGAAAACCCCAGGATGCCTGTAGCCCACAGACCGCAAACCCCCGACAGGGCAGGAGGGGCGGTTTCCTAGAGCCAGAGGTCTGCTGCATAGTATAATCCCTTTTCTGAGGTAGCCACCACTACCCTTGACCATGGACTCAAGAAGCACCACCCCCAACTCACACCACTCGCTGTTCATTCTCCCTGGCCGGGGCCAGCTAACACCTGTCTGCTACACATGGAAAATCTGCCACCTCAGAAACAGAAAAGCAGGAATCCCCACCCCCGCCAGAGCAACTTCTGAGTTAAGGTAGCTAAAGTTCATTTCTAAAGTGGCCCCTCAAAGAGTACTGGGAAAATAGAGGGGGTGCCTGAGTGGCTTCACTAATGGCAGCCCTGAGTTCTCAGCTCTATTCTGCAGACCCGGGGTGCCCCCAACACTGCCGGCAGAGCAGCCTCATTAGACTGAGAGACCTGGCCTCCCACAGGGCCCTCGGCCACTCAACGACTGCAGCCTGGCGGGAACAACGCCAGCAGAGGGGCTGCCAGAGTCCTCTGGAACACCACGGCTGGGGGAGGTCTCCTCTTATGCACAGCAAAATTAAAAATGAAAACCCACAAAAGCCATTCCTCCTCTTTATATTTATTTTCCTGGCTAAAAACAAAATATTACAAATAAGGAGGCAAGAAAGTGAGAACACGTCCCCTGCAAACTGCTGGGAGGTGGGGGTGGGTGGGTGGTGGCAAAATAAACAAAAGTAGGAGGAGGTCATGGGTTAAGTTCTAAAAGGATGAAGAAAAAAACAAAACAGTGAGTCTTCTGAATGCGTTTTCTCAAGTGAAGAAAGCTCAGGGAAAACTCCGCCCCCGTCAGAGAAGCAGAAGCAGAGCCGGGCGAGGGGCTACTTACCATCATGTGGTAGTCCTCGTGTCCTTCGATAGGTTCACTGACCACATTTTTAATGGAGCCCATGGGCAATTTCTCAGTCCGCTCTAAGTTGAGAGGGATTACAGTGATTATTCAAGGGCCCGCCTGCTCTACTCCTGTGGCAAACCGAGTCACCACGCCCTGCGGGACGACTGGATGCCATCTGATCAGGGCACAGGCGCCTCCTGGGAGCTGGGGACTTCTTAGGACCAAAGGGGGACCCAGCTCTAGCAACGGCACAGCAGGTACTGAGAGACGCATCTTTGCTGGTATTATTTCTAAAAGTAGGATGATTGACACCCAAGAAATCCCTCCATGTCCTTCTGCCCAAGCCCAGCCCTGGCACGGTTTCTGACACCCGGGGAGGGGGTTTCTGACGTCCAGGAGGAGGGAGGTCAAGAGCACCACGGACAGAGGCAACCGCACCGCCGCAGCTCTCACAGGGAGGCGCAGGACTTAAGGCCCTGAGATTTGTTTCTACCCACCCCCCCAGCCTGCAGACCAGACCTCCCGCTTGCCCCCCTGCACCCCCACAGACACACTCGAGTAAGTTCTCTTAAGACACTCATAAGGTCTCATGATTAGCAATCAGGACAATCACCTCTCCTGGGAAGACACTCTGCGGCAAGTTGAAGGACGGCAGGTAAGAGGGGGAGGCAGTGAAGGGTGCCTGGAGCGAGCTGAGACCCCAGTAAGCCAAGTGAAGCGGGTGGGGGGAGAGGTGTGTGGTGGTGGGAGGGGAGAGGGGAGGGCTGGGGGATGGGAAGGGAGGGCTGGTGGAGGGAGAGGGGAGGACTGGGGGAGGGGAGGGGAGGACTGAGGGAGGGAGAGGGGAGGGGAGGGGAGAGGGGAGGGCTGGGGGACTGGAGGGGGGAGGGGAGGGGAGGGGAGGGGAGGGGGAGGGCTGAGCCTGCTAACAGGAAGCCCCGCCCAGAAGCAGCAGACACCTGGAGATGGGAGGTCTCAGCAAACAGATAAACCCAGTAGAGAAGAAACACACAGCCTTTGTGGGGAAAAAAATGAGAAAAGGGACACACAGGAAAGAGCTGACTAAAAGGAATTCAGAGACCTGGGTTTTGAGCTAACGGGGGGCCTGAGACTTCTGTTCTGTTCTGTGAGCTCCAGTCTCTGAGCAGCCCTGATGATGTGGGTCAGGTTCTAACTTTCAGTGTCTCTAAAACAGTGCAGGGTTTGGCCAGGATTTGTCTTTAAAATGGAAATGTCTTGAAATACAGACATCTTGAAAAGTCCAGAGATTTCACACAAAAAGCTTTCTGGCTTCTCTTGAGGACTCAGAAGATTTACCAGCCCTGGGCCCTTATTCCTGAGTGACAGCATCAGCTAGGTCCGACTCAACAGCCCTGCAAACAGGACACATGCTCCCCTCCTGCCTGGAGCGTGTTCATCTTGCTTGGGCAGGCTAAGGCTGTGAGTACTGCCTCTTACCCAAGCTGCCAGAGGAGACCTGAGTGTCACTTGGTAAAGTGTCCCATCAGGGATGGCCAGTGACCTGCTGGGGCGGTCACGGCAGCTTCTTGCCAGCAAAGATGAAACTGGGGACAAGCTGTCTTTCTAGGGGATTGCGTGTGACACTCAGGACAGGACACCTGGGCAACTGAGTGAGATGAATGCCTGAGGTACAGAGCTGTGGAGGATGGTGGTATGGATGGCAATGTGAATCTCAGCCTTGGTCAACCCTTGAAGACTCAAGTAGTTCACGGCCATCCATGCTCTTTAATGAGGCTGATGAGTAAGGAGTCTTTTGACAGCTCTGTAGACAACATGGCCAGGTTCTCTTAGAACTTTATGTCAAAGTATGAAGATGCTGCTCCCATGCGTTGGAATAAAATCCCCAACACAGGTATGGGAAGTTCTCAAGAGTCCCTGCAGTCATATATTTCCCACATAACCTCAAACATGAAAATACTCCCCGAGGTGCTGCTAAGTACCTCCAGACTAGTGCTCAGCCAGACTTCCTGCCTGCACCCCTCCCAGCACCACTGACCTTGTAACTCAGCCTTAGCAACTGCCTTCCATTAGGATGCCCCAAGGTGAAAGTGGGAGAAGAGGGGGCACCCAGCAAGTCAGCACTGTGATGAGAAGTGAGCAGGTCACCTGCAAAATCTTAAAGACTCTGACAAACGGGGCAGCTCTCCGCTGAGCAGAAAGGGGCATGATGGGATGGGCTCTTGGGAGAGAAGAGCCTATCAAGGCTCAAAGGCCCTGGGAAAACCCGGGACACCTTCACATCTTCTGCAAAACTTGCTTTGATGAGCAGTTTAAGTCCAATGGGAAATGCAGACAATCACCAAATTGTCAGAAAACTCAAGTGTTTTTAGCATTTCGGTCTCTAGTCTAAGAACCAGGATAGGGCTGGAAGAAACTGATTTTTATATTAGGTGACAAAAATCTCATTCCTCATTGCCCCTTGCCCCAGCTAAATTTTCATGGACCCATTTTTAACTAGACTCATACTAAATGGCCTGTCCCTGAAACCAATGAACCTCAGGTGACGGGCCCCTATGCTTTTCCTGGGCATTTACCTCGCACACTGAACACCTACAGTGCTGGCCAGAAACAGGTGAATTAGGCATGTTCGGTCCCCTCCAGGAATCTAACGGGACAGACAAGTCAGAGAGTGAGTAACGAGTGCGCTGGGGCGGAGGGAAGTGCTATGAACAGAAGCGGCAGCAATTCTCCGGAGGGTGGCGAGACACAGGGAAGGTTTCATCAGGAGAGGATGTTTAAGTGGGACCTTGGAAGATCTTATTAACGAGGGCCAGGAAGGCGGCATTCGGCTCAGGGCCTAGCATGAGCAAAGACGTGGAGCTGTGCAAAGCATGTTGGGAAGGTGAGGAAGTGATGCTGCCGAAAGATCGAGGGGAACGTCCCGCAGGGCAAGCAGGGCAGGAAGCCAGTTTAAAATTAAAACTACGGCTCCACTGTTGAGAGCACTGGACACTATGTCTGGGCATTCAAACTTGGCTTTAAAAAGCCAAAGGTATTTGATTTGAACACAGGAACCTGTGCTGGAAAACCAGTATGGAAGGCGCTCAGGGTAAGAACACCACCAATGGGCGCAAGGAAACAGGTTACCTTGCTTTAGCGGACCAAATTTAAAGACGGCAGGAGCCTTAAGTGGCACAGCAGAGGGGCAAACAAAGGGACAGGTAATTCTAGAGGGTAACTTGCAAGATCTGAAGCATCTGGATGAAGGGAGAGGGAGGACAGTCACAGACACTTTCCAGAAAACAGCACACAGCATGCCTGGCCCACCGTGCACGGGCAGGGGTGGGTGGATGGGGGCAGGCAGGGACAACCAGGCAGGAGGGGAGGTCCCTCATACTAGGAAAACTTGCCCTAGTACAGGGGCAAACTCTGACCTACAGGGGCCAGGCAGGGGGCATAAATGAGGGGAGCTGGCGACGTACAAAGAAAAAGGGGGCGGTACGGGCTGCGGTGTGGCCCTTCCTGGACAGTTACTCGCTCCAGCAGATTGCTGCCTCATGAGAATCAGATCCAGAATGGCTGTATCTTTTGACTTTTCTCAAGAGAAGCCAAAAAAAAACAAACAAAAAAAAACAGACCAAGTGAAATCTCCCCATTTTTAGAGACTGTGTGTAAACCCACGACACCCTGTGTGTGGACCAAACCTGGCCCTCAGGTCACGTGTTTGGTACCACTGATTTGGGTGCAACTGTACAGCCAACATGTGATGGACTGGCCCTGAGAGCAGAAGGGAAAGAATGAGGGAAAAGGGTCCAAACAGGTGAGCGTCTCAAAGCGGAGTAAAAAAGCCAGGAGCACGCAAAGCACAGCGAGAGAGACTCAGAATGAGGAGCAGAACCGCACCCAAGCCCAGAGCTGCTGGGTGCCAGAGGCAGCGAGCCAGGAAGGGGCCCCGAGCAAAATGTACCTTTAGTGCCGATCCACAGCTGGTCTTGCTCGAGTTTAAAGGTGAGCCTCACTTTTCCACCGGACTTGTTGTACATGCCCGATAAGGGTACCGTGGGCAGGCGCTCCTGGAGGCACAGGAGCAGGGTGAGAGGGGGAGGGTGGGTGCACAGACCAAGGAAGAGAAAAGGGACAGCACTCCAGGACTGGATTTCGGGAGCCTGGGGAGTCAGAGGGGCCCGATTCCTTTCCAGAACACTCACGAGGAGTCTGGCTTACCTGGGCACCCTTAACAGATGGCATCACATCTTCGGGTTTTCCTTTATCCAACACTTTCCTGTGTTGCTATAACACAAGTCAGAAAAGATAATTAAAAGATAAAGAGGACTACATTTTAGTCATGCTACTACCTCTCTGAGGAGGATGAAAAAAGCTCAATACTTGGGTTCAAAAGCTTCCTGTGTCTATAGATTATGCTTTCTTTGTGACTATACAGCAGAGATGTCCAACAGAAATGTCTGTGCTGATGAAAAGGTTCTCCTTGTCATCAAAAACAGTAGCTACTTGTGGCTATTAAGAATTTGAAATGTGGCCTGAATTTTTTTATTTAACTTTAATGAACCACCTCTGACTACCAGAGCAAACCTCTAAAGTAACTAGGATTTTTCAGACTGTTAATTCAAATAAACCTCATACCCTCACTACCCAAAAATCACTACAGAAAGGATTAAACGTCACATCAGAGAGCCACACAGGGCGCAAAGGATTGTCACATACAGAGTAACAACCATTTCTATCAACTTAACTCCAAAGAAACCCACAGTGATGGCCTTTCTTCAACAAATGGAGACTGCAAAAGTCTCTCCTAGCACCCCACCCCCAACCCCAGTCACACAGAAAGCTTAGAGCCACATTTCCAAAGAGAAATGCTGATTACTCTAGAGCCCGACGTCAACAAGCCTGACCCAGCCCAGGAGTTGAGGCAGCTCATGAAGGGTTTCATTAGGCTCACGGTCCCTTGCTCTGGTCTGGGCAAATGACCGAGTCTGGTTTCTGTGCTGTGGCTTTAAAGGTGCAGTCATTGTTTAGCAAAGCCAGAACTATGGGGCAGCGAATGTGTAAAGGGTAAAAACTTAATTAAATCCCAGCATCAAGTGGCTATGAGCCAAGTGGAAAGCTCACTGGCATGTCAGAACCCTCCAGAAGGATGCTAGCAGAGAGTCACCTATGCCTCAGCCCCAGCCTCTTGAAGGAGCTGATAAAAAGCCTGGGCACTTGTTCCCTCTTATTAGACCATGTCATGCCTGATGGCTGGCATCGGTGAAACAAAGCAACATGGAATTAGAAGTGTCATTTGAATCAGAACCTGGAAGTACCTTTTGAAGAATTTTCCCTACATTATGGCAAACAGTTCCAAGCCCGTTAAGCCACTATTAGCAACTTGAAGGCTCTATTTGAGAGGCACGTTATGCTCCAAAGGCATGAGCAGTGGGAACACGCACTCACTTTGGACATGCTCATATTCGATGGTTTCTTGTATATGGCAGAGAGAGGTGGGGAAATGGAAATGATCTCAATTTGTTATGACACTACAACCTCAGATTTGGGGTGAAAGTGTTCAAGAGCCCACTTCAGAGATATTAATACAGATTCACAATCAACCTTTTATCTGTAATCCCATGGGTGAATGGGGTTTTATAAGCCTTTTGTAATGTCCAAACATTTCAGGGATTTTTATAAAGGTAATAGTTTTATAAAACATGATCCTCTCTGTGGGGCCTAGGGCAGCACCCTATCACCAAACACATTAATATTTTGATAGCAAAACATGAACATTCACACTAATTCTGGTCAGGTTTTGCTGCCAAATTTAGAAACACATTTGGTTTGCAGACTCTTTTTGGTCTTAGAAGTACACACAAGAAAATGGAGACATGGAACACAAAATTAAGTCCTCACACTGCCAGCCATATGCCTTGGTGCCCACGGTCACTCAAAATGATGTTTGTTCAAGTTGGTAAGGTCAGCAGTTAAGTTGAATATACCTATTTTCTTGGAATCTAATAAGAGTGGCTGGAAGGCCCCAGAGCAACAAGTGGGGTTCACTGGCTGATCAGCTCAAGAGATGGTTCTTCCAACCAGTTTCTTCTACAAGAACTACTTTCCCTAATTACAAAGAATTTTAATGGCTAAAATAAGCACAAGACAAGGCAGGATCCTTTTCATACATAATAAGCAACAGAAAGTCTGGGAAAATCAAGTTCCCATGTAACAAATCAGGAGAGATAAAAAAAAAAAAAAATCAGTGTAGCTGTCTTTCTAGTCAGTTTCATTTGGCTTCCGGAAACAGTTTTAGAGGAAGCTCTAAAATGTCGATATCCCTGCCTATCCAGACATAGGCTTGTTAACATGGGGGCAGCCACAGACCAAAAAATAAATGTAAGCGCTTGTATAAAATGTAGTGGCATGTTTCTCTAGCACTAAGTAGGAGAGAATCCCACATCTGAATCCTTCCAATACCTGGTCTGAAGCCTGCCTTTACAAAGGCCTTATCCTAAAGTAGGTAGACTTGAGACACACTGACCAGCCAGATGAGACAAAGCTGCAAATCTCAGGTAGTTGTCACCTCCACTCAACAGCCAGCCGCACCCAACTGCTGCCATAAATTTCCATCATGGGCCCTGTCCGAAAAGGAGCTTATTCTAGGGAGAATACAACCAGCCAAGGTTTGAGAGGACAAAGCCTCCAACTTCCCAGGACTGACAATCACATGACGGACTCACTTTCTGTCTGCAGAGAGGCTCCTTCTTGTTCTCTTCAGCTTTCGCATCCTGCTGCGCAGCATCTTTGGGTGTGTTTACTGCTAAAACATCATTTATTGTGGAGCCAACCACCATGATCTTGGCCCCACTGGTCACTTTTATTTCTCTCAATGTCTTATCCTCAGGAACCAGTCCTTTATACATAACTTTCTGCATGGCAGGCGGGAGACCTTGAGAAAATGTAAAGGGCATACAATGAAAAGAAGGAAGGATAATTGAATATGAACCAGAACCCTTCAGCAACACAACCGGCAACAAATACTGTTCTACTTTTGTGATTTTGGGCAATTCACAACATCTCTGAGCCTTGGTCTCAAAAACTTTATCGCACGATGGCAGTCATTTCTTCCCTATAGACTTGTTTTAAGGATTATGAGATAACACAAATGTAGTACAGCCCATAGTACAGCAGCTGGGGTTCAGTAATTGTTCAATAAGTATTAGTTATGATTCATTCCGAATTGCTCCTCAATCATCCAATCATTCACTCAATTATTAAACTAGAGTCAACAGGCTACAGGAATACTGAGACCAGTCATTTCAAAGTTCATGGTTTTATGGAGCTTACTGTCTACCAAAAGAAAGCTTTAAAAGAAAATCAAATCAGAATGCAAAATGCTATAAATGAGATAAAATTAACCAATATAAGCATCTGTGAAGGGATCGGCATGATAGTTGACAACGGTGTTTCCCTGAAGTTCTGAGAATAACTAACACATTTGCTAGACATTAATTCCTGGCCATTCCAGACCGACTGAATCAAAATCCCCAGTGAGAAAGGCCGAGGAACTGCAAATTTAATACCTAATTGCCTCAGGTGATTTTTATTAGAGAGGCTTGGGCAACGCTTGTTAGAAGCCTAGACCTAAGCGTCAGACCTGGGCTTGAATCCTGGCCCAGCTATTGACTAGCTTTATGATCTTGGGTCTCGTTTTCCCCATCTGAATAATGGGCATTCAATTACTTACTTGGGAGGGCTGTTTGAGGGTTGAAGGAGCAAATGTCACGAAAGCAGCCAGCGCGGTGCCTAGCACCGTGCAAGCACTAGCAATCGGCAGGCGGGATGGGGAAAGCTGGCAGCCGCTGGCAGTGCCACGGGAATTACCTGTAATCGAGTGAATCTTCTGCTTTAGTTCGGAGCCTGTGCTGTCCAGGGGGAACTTCACGTCGTGCTTGGTCTTGTTCCAGATGATCTTCAGATCCACCAGCTCTCTACCTGCGCCGCCGCCAGCGTCCTCACCGTTGCTGACCGAGGCCTGGGCCGCGGGGTCCCCAGGGGGCTGGGCCGGGGCCGGCTGCAGGCTGCCTGGGCCGGCGCAGGAGTCCTCGACCGCCGCCCCCGCCGCGGCTTCGGCCTCCACGCAGTTGAGGGACCGCGCGGGCGCCTCGGTCGCCACGGCCTCGGCCTCCGTGTCCATGGCCGGCTCCTCCATGCCTGCAAGGGGTTAGGGGGTGGGCGCTCGCCGCGGGCTGGGCCTGGGGCTGCTCTCTGCCCGGGCACCGCCGGGCCACCGCCCCCAAACCAGGCTACTCCCGCACCAGGGGGGCCGCAGGCCCCGCGGGGCGCCCGCCTCACCTCGGCCCAACCCCGGCACCCGCCATCCCCTCCACACTCACCATCCGGGGCTCCGGCCGCCGCCATGATGATTGTGTACAACACCCACCGCGCCCGCAGAGGCCGCCGGGAAAAGGCGAGCTGGCCGAGATTGTCCCCCGTAGCAGCCCCTAATCTCGCACAGCCTGGCCGGAAACAGGTGGAGGTTTCTATGGAGACCCGCCTCCTCCGCTTCCCCGGTCCGGCCCCTGCCACGCTTTAGTTTTTAGGAGCCGAGGGGGGCGGGTCCGGAAAAATGGCCTGCTCGACGGGTTCCGCCCCTAGAGGCCGACTGGGGCCCCGGTCGTGCAGAGGGGGCGTGGGCTTGCAAGCTGGGAGGACTGTGACTTTAAGAGGCGGGGCCGCGCTCGCTGTGGCGGAGGCGGATTGGTTGAGAGAGAACCCCGGAAGTGATGCACCCGGAAGTGCACGTGTGCGATTCCGCTCCACATGGCGGTGCTCCTGAAGAGGTTGCTGCGGGCGGGGAGGGCCCCGGCGGCCTTCGGCCGTTCAGTGGTACGGCTGGAAGCCAGCCTGGGCACTGAGCCCGGGGCTGCGGTGCGAGTGAGGTTCGCCCCCAGTCCCACAGGTAACTTGGGCGGACGTGACGCTGCAGGCTGAGGCCCACCGTCCCGTCCCCGCCCCCCGAATGTTCGAGAAAGAATCCCTTCCGGTGGGGTCAGATTGGGCGGGCAGTGCGACCCCATTTTACAGAGGCGGAGACGGGACCGCCAGAGGAGAGTGTTCACGTTGCCGGGACTCTCCTTGTGCCTGTTGTAGTAGTCCAGCTCTTTCGGTCTCTTTTCAGCTATTCAATAAATGTGACTTGAGCACGGGCTGTTGTGTTAGGTGCTGTATTAGGCGATGGAATACAGCGGGCATGGGGAAAGTAGGGCCTGCTCACAAGAATCCTGCACTGTCGTGGCTGCGACAAACGCGTACACAAATAATTAATTCTAGCCAGTCACGTGCCATGCGGGACTTGAAGCTGGATAGTGGAGTGGGGATTAGGTAGGAGGCTCAAGAAGGCCTTACCGAGAAGATGACATTTGAGCTGAACCAAATGACAAGGAGCTAACTATGTGAAGTCTATAGGAGAAGCTTTCTGGGCAAAGGCAGTTAATTGCAGGCACAAAGGTCCTGTGATTAATATTGTTGGAAGCGAGAAAGCGAGGCATGGACCATGGTATACCCTAGCAGCGATCTTGTAGGGCCGCCCCACCAATTGCCAGAATTCTTTTGTCACCAAGCATGTGTCTCCAAACCACATGGTCTGCCTTTAAGGCTAAGCTTGTGGCTAGATCTCACTGCAGAGTGATAGACGATTTCTTGACAGGAAGTATAGTGTCCAGCAGTGCTGCTCAAACCATTGTGCAAGGGATGGTTTTTAATTTACGTTCAGTGATGGGTCAGTATCACTATAAGAATCAATGTAAATGAATTACTAGACAGAGACTCAAGAGCATACAAAATATGACCGTATTTTGTCCTATTAGCATCAACAGATTTAAAATTCCTATATCAAATTGCTATCAGTTTCTAAACATATCCGCTCAATTTCTGTGCTTACTTGGTTCTGAACCAGAAACTGTACAGACCAGCACTAGTCTGCATTCCAGTTGGAGAACCACTTAACATAAAGGTTGGGTGTCAGGGCCTGGGATTATCTGGGTGCGAATTCCTGACTTTGCCGCGTATCAAGTAAATGTAGCATCATTTTGTTCAAAGTTAGAGGGAATTGTTTTTTTCCTCCCCAGTGTTATAACAAAACCATGGTACTGGAGAACCTGATATACTTGCTTACTAGGTTTGAGATAATGCAACTGAGGTGCTTAGCAAGATTTCATATGGAAAGCACACAGCAGCCTCTTAAGAAGATTATTCTCATTTTCTTGCTTATTTGCTTGAATAACCCATCTGGGAAAGTCTGTTGATGACAGATGAAAGAATTGTCAAACAATATGGATCATTATAATAGCTAAGCGTAATTAAAGAGTGTACTTTGATCAGCATTTAGTCCTCTCCACAACCCTATAAAGGAAGGTGTCTATTTTTTTAATTTTTAATGACTAACCGATGAGGAAGTTGAAGCTCATAAATGATAAGTGCCCAAGGAATAGAACCACTAAATGGTGGATACAGAATTTGAATCTAAGGCTTTTTGATGTAAGAGGTCTTGCTTTCAACCCCTTTCTTCTATCTTGGGGGCCACTGGTTTGTGGTGGCCTTGCAATAACTAACTGAAGGTTGCATTTGTAATCAGTGTTGAACTGGAGTCTGCCTGCCACCAGATGAGCTTCTTGTCCCTTGCTGCCTCCTATACCTGGGAGAGGCAGGTGAGCTCATTGTGGAGACAAGGCTGTGGGCTGAACCAAAGCAGGTAGGATGAGAGGAAACGGTGGCCCTGAGAAAAATCGGTCATTTTAAGTTTTCAGTTGGGATTGATAAAAAAGTAAAATGTTAAGATTTTATTTTATTTTTTTTAAAGAGGCATGAATTTTTATTTATTTATTTATTTGTTTGTTTATACATGCACTGGGTACAGTCAGAAGCGCGGGAGGGTGAGAGAATTCACCAGAGCCAGAGCGGGGAGCAGAGCAGGCAGAAGGACCGAAGTACACTGCTGAGGGGAGCAGCGGGCGGCAGGAGAGGTCTGCGCGCCATGTGGGTCCCTCCTGCGGTGGCTGGGGAGCAGCTGGGGATCGAACTGGCGCCGCAGAGGCCTCGCAACCCAGCGCTCAACCGCTGCGCCACCGGGGAGGCCCAATGTTAAGATTTTAATCTTAAATGAAGAGGAATAGAGGACAATCAAGACTTTTGGTTAGTGTCTAAAGTCAGAACTGAAGGTAGAAAACTCAAGTAGACAAAATTCAAAATGTATAATGTGGTAGCAACATACCATCCATGGAGGAAATTGTAAAATGTAATTTTACAGCATTTTACAATTGGATTTTTCTTATTCTTTTTTTTTTTTTTTTTTTGACCCAGGCACGTCATTGCATTGGTATAAGTTAAGCACAGATGATGTGACTTCAATGAATAATCCTCTGTGTCCCTTTTGGATGAAAGTTAGCCTTGAGGCAAATATCAAAATAGATAGTAGGTGCAGCTGGGGAGAGTTGGAACCTCTTCCCAATAGAATGACATGCTCCCGGGCCTCCCTGTGGTGCAAGGGGTTAAGACGCAACCTATGAAGCTATTAGCAGCCACTTCAGTATACAAGTTCGATCCCCAGCTGGGGAGCTACCCACATGGTGCAGCAGACCTCTCCTGCCTCGCCCGCTGCTCCCCTCAGCAGTGTATTTCAGTCAATCTGCCTGTTTAGTTCCCCACTCTGTCTCTGGTGAATCCTCTCATACCCCATACCTCTGGCCTGTACCCCAGTTCTTGTATGCATAAATAAATAAATCTTTAAAAAAAAAAAAAGACATGCTCCCAAACTTAGGTAGTCTTCCACTTCCTAGGTGAGGGACTAATGAATGGCCACCCCAGTCCTGACTGTCTGGGCCCCATCTCTTGATGGGACAGGGGTAGCAGTGTGTTAGGCTTTGAACTTCACTGGACGTTCTACCACAGGACAATTTTCTTTCCCCTCAGGTGAGGTCCATTGGCCCATCCTCTTGTCTGAGCTACTCCTTTCTTCTGCCAGGCTTCTTGCATCTGGGCGGACTCCGCACTGCCTTGTACAACTACATCTTTGCTAAGAAGCATGGAGGAAGCTTCATCCTGAGGCTGGAGGACACAGACCAGACCCGCCTTGTGCCTGGGGCTGCAGAGAACATTGAAGACATGCTGGAGTGGGCAGGTGAGGTTGGCAGGGGAAGAACCTTCTCCAAGGGAGGAGCAGGGAGGTAGAAGTCTAGGACTTCTCGCAGGGCCCAGGCTAGAGCAGAAGGAGCTCCTGGAGACATGGGGACATTTGTGCTGATAGGGGTGGCAGGGCTCCGACGCTGTTCTGAGATTGCTGTTCTTATCTCAGAAACTCAAGTCATTATCTCAACCTCAATACTGAGAGCTGATAGGAAACACTGGCCAAGTGTACCCTGGAACTGGATGCCTCAGGCCTCTGGGAGCAGGAGGAAGTGCCAGCTGCTTGTTCCCATATGGAATGCTGGCCCAGCTGCTCAAATCATCTGATTTCCAGGAGGAGCCAGAACCCCAGGTTTTTCGCTTTGTTTTATTTAATGAATATGTCCCATTGTTAAATCTGACCTTGGATTTTTTCTTTAATACCACATTGCATGAGCCAAACAAAACTCATGTGGCCTCTAAAGTCTGTCTTCTTGTGGAAAGTTTAATCTGAGGACAGCTGAGCTCAGGGAGAACAAGGAGTGTTTGTGTTCCCTGGGCCAGTAGCTGCCCACCTGCCAGGACAGGTATGACTAGTCAGGCTTCCCAGGTACAATACCCAAAATACCAACACCGCTCTGAAGCATGTGCTCTAATCTCAGGTAAATGATTAACTAGCCTCTGGGTTTTTAAGAGCAGAAATTGATTTTGTGTGTCTTCTGTTGTAGACGCCTTAGCAGGTCTCAGGCGTTCATTCAGCAGGACCACTGATGGTCACCCAGGTTTCCAGCCTTGAACACAGACCCTGTGCTCAGCCTGGAGGAAACAGTTTAAAGCAGTTGCTATAATCTGAGGTGGCAAGTGCTGTGGAGCAACAGGTCCAGAGTAGGAAAACAGTGGGGAGGGCTGCTCTTTTGGGGGGGCGGGGAGTGCACGGGCCTCTCTGAGCAGGCGATCTTAGCGAAGACTTGAACGAAGTGAGGACCCAGCCCCATGGCTAATAGCGGCAGAATGTTAAAAGCAAATGCAAAGGTCCTGTGGAAGGAATGTGCTGGGCGGATTAGAGGAGCAGCCAGGGTGGCCGGAGCACAGTAGTGACCAAGATGGGATGACAGAGGCTGACAGGAGCCAGTTCTGCTGTGCCCTGCAGGCCAGGGTGAGAGGTTCGATTTCATGGAGCACCTGCTCCTTGTCAGGCACCAGGGGTAGGTGATGAACAAGACTGCCTTGTGAGCACCACTCTCGTGGAACCCCAGTGCAACCCAATTGTGCGATTGGGCCTGTGGCCCCTCAGCGGAGCTCCCCTACCCCAGCACCTTGGGGAGGCAGCAGGCCGGTATCAAGTCACCTCTCGTGGCAGACTGCTAGGGCTCCTGGAGTCACACCTACTAACTGACCTGTAATTCACTTAATGTAAAGTCCACCATCTCAAAGTATACAGCTAAGTGGGGCTTCTAGTACATACTGTGTTGTGCAGCTGTCACTGTGTTTAATTCCAGAACATTCCCATCACTCCAAAATGAATCCCTAACTTATTAGCAGTGACTCTCATCCTCTTTCCCTCTGACTCTGGCCCATCTTTCCTCTGCTTTCTAATTTGCCTATTCTGGACATTTCATATGAATGGACTGTGTGGCCTTTTATGGCCATGTTTACGTAGCGGAAAGTTCACCTGTGGTGTAGCTTATATTACTACTTTGTTCTGTTTAAGACAAAACAGCATCCATTATATGAAAATAGCACATTTTATCCATTGTATGGAAATTGCCACTCATATCCTTTTACGATGGAGGAATATATAGATTATTTCCACTTTTTGGCTGCTGTGAATAACATTGCTACGACCATTTACATACTAGTTATTAAGTGAACACATGTTTTCCATTCTCCAAGGAAAAAGCTGCTATTAAACCATAGGACATTTCAAGATGCTGAACTTGTTAAAGAGATTTATTGAAAGTTAAGTCAGGAAGGGACCCCCTCCATGTTCCTAATGCAATCCTTTTTCCTGACAAATGAAGCCACACAGGCCAGCGGGAGAGGGAGCTAAGTAATGTTAAATGTACGCAGCAGAATTCACTGTAATCCGCACACACCGTGTGACGTGTCAGCTGTGTGCCTACAGCGTCTCTTTCTACCCACCAGGGGAATTTACCATCTATATCCTTTTGCAAAAGGGGAAGCAAAGACTGAAAGGTGACTGGCCCAGGAGCTTGTTGAAGGCCTGTGCGTGTGAGTTCAGACCTGTCTGTCTCAGGTGAAGCAAAGCTAACCATACACTTATCTTCCAAAGTCATTTGAAAGCTGCTGGAGGGCAGAAGGGCCATCGTCCAGTTCATCTGTGTCCCCTCTTCTGAAAGTCTTTAGAGTTGAATCTATCCTTTGTGTCTGGAGGAAGCTGGATCTTGGGTTGGCCGACAGTAGATCACATTGGCTCTAACAGCTTATGCGCAGCTGTTGTACATGTCAGCCGTCGGGCAGTTGGCTCAAGCACTCTGGAAGCACTGACGAATTTAGTTCCCACGTTCGCTCTGCACAGTAGACCTTTAGCTCCACTTTTCAGAGAAGGAAACCAAGCCTCAGAAATGCTGAGGAACACAGAGGCCATACAATGGCTGGTTAAAAGCTAGCCTGGGTCTAACTCTAATTGGACTCCTTTTCCCTGGCCACGTCACATAGCAGAGCCTTTCTGTGCCCGGCTGTCCCCTTACTGGTGGGGTGACAATAACACCTACACCTACTCAACTACCAGTAGGGTGGTTCTCAAGCTTCCGGAGACCATAAAAGCAGCCTGGCAGGACACTACATTCCCCTCCCCCCCCGCTTTGTTTGTTTATTTTTAATATTTTATTTGTTTATTTGTTTATTTTATTTGTTTTATTTGTTTATTTATTTATTTTTAAGATTTTATTTATACAAGAACCGGGGTACAGGCCAGATGTGCAGGAGGGTGAGAGGATTCATTAGAGACAGAACGGGGAACAGAACAGGCAGACGGATGAAATACACTGCTGAGGGGAGCAGCAGGCGAGACAGGAGAGGTCTGCCGTGCCATGTGGGACCCTCACCCAGCCAGCCAGATCGAACCTGCTCTGCAGAGGCTGTGGACAGCTTTACAGCATGGCACTCAACCGCCTGCGCCACCAGGGGAGGCCCTGACAGGACCCTACATTGTAGCGCTTACACATCCTCAGTCAGTTGAGGCCCAGGCTGGTTTCTCGCTCCCCAGGGGAAAGGTGGGTGGAGAGCGTGGACTGGGGTGCCAGTACACCTCTGATTGACTCCTTACCCACCAGGCATGCATCCTGGCATGCCTTCTCCTGTGCTTTATCTCCTCACCTATAAACAGGAAAGCAAATGCTATCAACATCGTGAATTGCTTGTGAGGATTAAAAGCTTTGCTGTATTTGCAAAGCACTTAAGAACAGTGCCTGGACTGAATGCTGTGTGTGTCTTAGTTATCACTATTTGGTGACTGTCTTCTCTGCCTGTGTTCCAGGCATTGCCCCTGATGAGAGCCCTCGCCGAGGAGGTCCAGCGGGGCCCTACCAGCAGTCTCAGCGACTTGAGCTTTACTCCCAGGCGGCCGAAGCTCTGCTGAAGACCGGAGCAGCGTATCCCTGTTTCTGTTCAACACAACGGCTGGAGCTCCTGAAGAAGGAGGCCCTGAGGAACCGCCAGACACCCCGGTAAGAGGGCCCTTGTCTGTGTCCCAGGCGCCACCCCAGAGTTGGGTGTATTCATTAGCTGTTGCTGCATAACAGATTACCCCAAAACTATCTTCCTGTCTCTCACTTTCTGTGGCTTAGGAGTCTGGACACAGTTTAGCTAGGCTCTTTAGCTCGGGGCATCTCTCAAAGCTGAAGTCAAGGTCTGGGCCAGGCTTGCCGTTCCTCCATGCTCAACATGGGGAGCCTGTCTCCTCTCAAGAGCCTGTTGCCAGGAGACATCAGTTCTGTGCCACTTGGGGCCCTCCACAGCACAGCTCACAAGATGGCAGCTGGCTTTCCTCAGAGTGCGAGAGAGAGCATGTTGGAAGCTAGAGTGTGTTTGTAACCGAAGCGTGGAAGTGACTTCTCATCACTTCTGTTGTACTCTGTTCACTAGAAGGAAGTCATTAGGTCCTGCCCACAGCACTGAGGAGAAGGGATTCTCAGGCAGAAACACCAGTAGGTGGGACCACTGGGGCCTTGTCACAGCTGCCTCCCCCTTGGGGCCCCAGGCAATAACATGTAAAGTAATCGTACATATTTTCTCGTGTTCAATATTTAGAAGATCCAAAGAGCTAAACACACAAAAATCTCTGCCCTAACCCTGACCTCTCAGTTCCCCTCTCCAGAGACAACTGGTGCTAGAATTTTCTTACCTCCTCCAGAGACATTCAGTGCCTCTCTGATAAACACATGTTATCCCTCCCCCTTTCAGATGGTAGCACAGAATGTACAGTATGTTCTTCTCTATGTCTGGAGGCTCCATCTGTGTCAGTCCCTCCTTTTGCTCGTAGGCTTGCACAGAGACCCACTGTGTAGCTTTGCCGTCGTTACCTTAATCAGTTCCTTATCAGGGAGGCTTTATGGCATTTCCAATCTTTCATTGTTAGAAGAGAGACCTGGGCCTCCTTGGTCTCTCAGGTGTTAAAGTCTCAGCACTGTCAAGCTGTCACCAGCCACTGTGCCCTGAGTTCAATCCCCAGCCAGGAAGCTTACCCACATGGTGCAGCAGACCTCTTCTGTTTCCCTGCTGCTCCCCTCAGCAGTGTATTTCAGTAGAACTGCCTGTTCTGCTTCCCACTCTGTCTGTGGTGAATCCTCTTACCCCCTGCACCTCTGGCCTGCAGCCCAGTTCTTGTATGCATAAATAAAAACAAATCTTTAAAAAAAGAGAGCTGTTGTGGATGACACCAATAGGCACTGTTTTGCGCATGTGCAGTACACGGGTTGACTTACCTCCCTATGTGTGTACCAGCAGGGTTGGTTTGTAGATGCTGCCTTATGGCCCCTTGCTGACTCACTCTCCCATCAGCGCTAGCATCATACATTAAATTCCAGTTTCAAAGTACTTTGTGGGCAAGGGTTCTGATATTTGTACAAGGTCATGACCTTCACTGAAGCATTGCCTTATTACGAACAGTGTACTTGACCTGTGACAGTTTCTTTGTTATAGTCAAGACGAATCATGGCCTCCATGCAGCCACTGATTGGTTGAACACGTAGCTCCCTTTCAAGGACACACTCCAGGCATCGTCTTTGTGATTCTGTCAGGGCTTATTTTCTTTCTATAAATATTTTACTGTAATAATAAACAATTATATTATTTTTTTTAAATTTATACTTTATAAAAAGCATACCTGTTTAATCTGAAATTACTTGCTTTACATACATTATTTAACTTTCACTGCTAATGTGTGAATCTCTTCATTACATTTATCTTAAATATAAACCAAAATAGCTCAATACCAGCTCTAGAGAATTAGATTCATGTATAAGGATCACGAGTGAATATTTCAATTAACATTTTCAAAAATTGTCTTCAATAATTTCTCCTGTTTTTGTTCTTAGTTTACAATAGTTTTAAGCACACAGTAGCATCTTGAAATCCACGATTTAAATCTAATACCTTCTTGAAATCTTTCAAAGTATCATCAAAATCTCCCACTCTATACAGCATCAATCCTCTATTGTAATATGGAACTTCAAAACTGGATTGGACTCCAGTGGCAGAGGGTTGTCCACGGCACCTTGAAGTGGCCTTGAAATGCTTGATTTGCCCCCTGTGGTGGCCACATCCCCAGGCTGTGTTTGCTCCCAGAGCTGCTCCCATAGAGGCTGTACGGGCACACTGGTGAATAAGCAGAGAACAGCGCCTCGGCCTCCACATTTTCAGCGGTGGGGGGTAAGGGTTGGTTCTCGAAAAGTTGCAGTTCTGAAAAGTTCCCAAGCTAGGCTGATGCCAGGGGTCTACAGACCACATTTGAGTGGCTAGCATCTAAAGCACACAGACATTTGTCACCTGCCCCAATTGGAGGTGGAAGACACCAGGTGCAGATGTGGGGGTTCTGTTCTGGCCTCTGTGTGCTTCCCTTCTATCCCCCCATAAGCTGAAAGTGGTTTAGCAGCTCCAAGCATTCTCTCCTTGTAGGACAGCAGGGGAAGGTGGGAAATTTAGAAGGGATTTTCCTCCTGTGCTCTCTTACTCCTGCTTAGAGAATCTTTTCCAGAACCTTAACCCTCTCCTCCTCCCCCAGGGTACCTCTGAGTTTTTGTGACAGGAATTTATCTGGGCTGCTCTCTGGCATGCGGCAGGGGGATTGCATGACTGGCTACACCAATCTTAATCCAACCCCTCAGACTGGGGTTCCTCATTAGCAAGGGCATAGGAGGATAGGCTGTTGGTTTAGCAAACGTTGGCATCTGCTGCATTATGTTCTCTCACTTGGTTTTCCGCATAATAACCTTGTTACTGTGGCATTCAAGACCCAATGAGACAATTTGAAGAGGCATATTGCCCAAGGTCATACAGTTCGCAGAAACAGAGGACTCACGCCTGTCCTCTTAGCTGCTTCTCTGCTCTGCTTCCCTACAGATATGACAATCGGTGCCGGAACCTGAGCCAGGCGCAGGTGGCCCAGAAGCTGGCCAAGGACCCCAAGCCTGCTATCCGCTTCCGCCTAGAGGAGGAGGCGCCAGCTTTCGAGGACCTGGTGTATGGCTGGAATCGGCATGAAGTGGGCAGCGTGGAGGGGGACCCTGTCATCCTGAAGAGCGATGGCTTCCCCACCTACCACCTGGCCTGTGTGGTGGACGACCACCACATGGGCATCAGTCATGTGCTGCGGGGCTCAGAGTGGCTGGTCTCCACTTCCAAACACCTGCTTCTCTACCAGGCCCTGGGCTGGCCGCCACCTCACTTTGCCCACCTGCCCCTGCTCCTCAACCGGGATGGCAGCAAACTGTCCAAGAGGCAAGGGGACATTTTCCTGGAGCATTTTGCAGCTGCCGGCTTCCTGCCCGATGCCTTGCTCGACATCATCACCAACTGTGGCTCAGGGTTTGCAGGTACCCACTCCGCTGACTGGTCACGGTGGGTTCATAGCAGGACTTCAAACCACCTACCAGCTGCATGTTCTTGGACAAGTTCCTTCTTTTATTCTACAGCTGTTTATTGAGCCAGACACTGTAAGTGCTAAAGCTACGATAGTGAACGATATTGACATGATCTCCAACCTTGAGGAGCTGAGGGTCTCTCAGCCTCAGTTGCCTCATCTGTAAAATGGGACTAAGGGCCTACTCCTAGGCTGAAGTTAGGAATCACTGAGCTCAGTACAGCACAGTTTGTGCTACATTAGCACAAAAATTTAGGAGCCTATGAGTATCACAGTTATATTACTGCTGCTAGTACAAGAAGGTACTCTCAGAGTATCTTTAGTATCACTAGGACCTTTGTTTATTCCAAGCTGAGCCCTTCTCTTTGGCCCAAGACTTAGAGCCAAATCTTAGGCAGGACCAAACAGGATGGCCTTTTGTAGAGAGGATTTCTGAAAATGTGGCTAGTTTGCTTACTGTTTATTCTGCGCTTATGTCATCTAGTCCTTAAAATATTCTTTTTTTTTTTAAAGATTCATTTATGCATACAAGAGCTGGGGTACAGGCCAGAGATGCAGGGGGTGAGAAGACTCACCAGAGACACAGTGGGGAACAGAACAGGCAGACTGACTGAAACACACTGCTGAAGGGAGCAGTGGGCAAGACAGGAGAGGTCTGCCTTGCCATGTGGGTTTCTTCCTGGCCAGCCGGGGATGGAACTCATGCTGCAGAGGCTGCAGATTGCTTCATAGTGCAGTGCTTAACCCCTTGCACCACCAGGGAGGCCCAGTCCTTAAAATATTCTTTAAAAAAAATATTTGGCAGCTCTTATCCTAAGACCACCCTCCTGTGACTACTTCACAAACCTGTCCTTTTCAGAGGCAGTTCTTTTTTTAATAATAAATCTGCCCTTTTGGATATAAAAAAAATATATCCTTAAGAGGAGATAATATATATGCCTACTGTTTATAGGCCTGTGAGGCTCAGAGAGCTTGAGTAACTTGCCCGAGGCACACAGCTAAGAAGGACATGGCAGAGGCTGTTCTTAGGCCAGTGCCTGGCCACAATGCCTACTGCTGGGACAGAACTGGTGCTCACGGAAGGTCCAGGTTGCTCATCTCTGACTTTGGAATCACCCAGGAAGCCTGTAAAACACTGGTGCACAGACTCCATCCAAAACCAATCACAGCAGAATCCCCACGACATGACTAGGCAGCGAGTGTGCTTTTCCCGCAGCTCACCTCTGTGAGGGAAATGCTTTAGCCTCGTGGTTTTCACATGTATTTTTCTGTAGTGACAGATTTCTTTCTGCAAAGTCAAGTGCCTTTGGGCCCTGGTTATATAAAATAGAAGTTGGATCCCTTTGGTCAGAGTGGACTGGGAGGCCCAGTGCATGCCCACCCAGCCTCCTGTGTGTCTGGAAGTGGAAGGAGGCAGGCAGGTGGTTGAATGCCTGGGCTTTGCTCCCTTTCAGATAACCAGATGGGCAGGACCTTGCCGGAGCTGATAACACAGTTTGACCTGTCCCGGGTTACCTGCCATTCAGCCTTGCTGGACCTGGAGAAGCTCCCAGAATTCAACCGGTGAGTGAGGACACCCTGAACAGCCCCTCGTGGGAAGGGCTTTCTCGCTGCTGATCAGTCCCCCTGACAGAGGGTATGGTAGGCCCTGCAGTCACACACCTGACTTTGACTTTGGGCTCAGGTGTCTATCACCTGTGTGACCCCAGGTGAATCACCTGACCTTTGTCCTCCTGTCTAAAACAGGGCCATAATAGTACCCACCTTGTGCAATTGTTATCAGAGTTCAAATTAGATGTTGCATCAAAGTATTTTCAACAGTGTCTGGCACACAGGTAGTGCCCACTGTGTGGTAGCTATTGTTTCCATCCTCACCTTCATTCCTAACACGAATTCTGTTAACAGCCAAACCCTGGAGAGGATCACCTTTGTTTCACAGTCACCCCACACCATCCGGAACGAGCACTGTTTTGAGCAGCCATCCTAGGTTACGAGTCCTTGGTCACTGTGAAACCTTCAAATGCAGTGATGTTTCAGACGTTGTCGGTGCATCTCATCCAAGGATGTAGCCGTAAAGGCAGCTGACAGCTTGTGCTTAAAGGGGCAAGGGACTCTTGATGCTTCTCTTGGATGCTGGTCTGGCTGCCTTCCTTGCTTGAGCCCAGGGAGTTCACATCCACTGCAGATATTTTAAGGATGATTCTTTATTTACTTCCCTCATCTGACCTGTGAGGTCAGTAGTATGATTTTGCTCTATTTTACACATGAGGAAACCAAGATGTGGAGTGCTTAGATAACTAGCCCAAGTTTACACAGGAAACCTGGGCACCCCTTAAATGGGGCATTCGAGAGTGAGACAGCAAAAGTGTTGAATGCATCTTGTGCTCACCATTCTTCTTATAGAGAAAGCAGAATCTCGGGGAAGTGGGGTGTTGACAGGCAGAGGCTTTGTGACCCATTCCAGTCCCTTCGAAGCACGAGGGGTAGCAGAAGAAGCAGAATTGGGCTTTGGCCTAATGGAAATCAGGGAGGGGATGCAGCATGGAGATTGCTGTCCTCAGGTTTCATGCAGCCGAACTGTCACCTTGAGGCGTTTCTGTCGTCAGGCCACTGCTCTGATGCCTGGGCAGAAATAGCAGTAGTGGTGTGGGGCAAGCAGCGGCAGCAGTTAGTGTTCCCTCAGCACTTCCCGGTCCCCACCTGGACCTCATGGTAGGGCTCTCGATGTCTCTCTGTGGTCTCATCGGGTTACTGGGAAAGTCCTAAAAGATTCAGTACAATTTCACGTGATTTTTCTTAAACCTGCTCTTTAAAAAAAAATGGTTTTTGACCACTCTGTGCTCCAGATGGCTTCCCAGGGGGTCTCATCCCTCCATCCTGTAACAGACCCCCCTGGCCAAAGATGTGATGGAAGGCGGGCCTTGTGCCTAGTGCTTTAATCTGCACAACACCCCGTGAGCATAGTCCCCTGTGGCCCCTGCCTTATAGATGGGCAACTTGAGGTCATGCAGCTTGCTGCCAACACTTGGCAGGCAGGCTTCACTCGCAGGCCCGCCAGTCCCGCGCCCAGGAGATGTTCACCCACACCTTGCCACCCGCTCACCTTCCCTGCCAGGATGGGCAAGCGCCTGCAGAACAGCCCCACCCTGCACTGCTCACTGTCCTCTCAGGTCCCCTTCTGCCGTGAACGGGTGGCCTAGGGATTGAGAACTGACAGGCCTGGTTGGCGCCTTAGAGACTTGACTGCTTCCAAAGGGGAGAGCAGGGCACTTAGGATTCAGTAAAGCTGAAGTGACAGGGAAACCTGGACTTTTTAACTGTGAGCCCAGAATTCAAAAAACTGCCCTCTGGACTGACCCAGGACTCTGAATCCTAGCGATCCATACTCTTGACTTCAGCCCTTTTGAGCCAGAGCCCCACATCTCAAGCTCTGCGAGGAGACTGACACCCCCAGATCCTGCTTTATAAACTCAGGTGCCAGTAGAGGCAAGCGAGGCAGGGAGCCCAGGTGAGAGAGGTTCAGGCTGCTGAGCCCAGAGCTCTGTGGGTCTCCACCTACTCCAGCCAATTGAAGCTCCAGGAACAAGGCCTCTTTGCAGCCAGATCTGCATTCCCACAAGAAGCCGAGAAACCTGGTATTCTACTAGTTTAAAATGTCAATTACTTATTTACGAATCCAGCACATGTCCAGGTTGCTTAGTGCTCCCAGACTACCAGTTTCCAGCCTTCACCAGATCCTTTTCCTTCTAGAAGTATAAAGAAAATTCTTGTGGGCCAGGGGAGGGATGGCCCTATTAATGTGTCCTTCGAAGCCTCCTCCACCCCCGGCCCCCTGAGGAGAGAATGTTTGGATGGGCTGGAGGTGCCCGCAGCACCTTCCTTGGTTTCCATAGGCTGCACCTCCGGCGGCTGGTGAGCAGTGAGACGCAGCGACGCCGGCTGGTGGGAAGGCTGCAGGCCCTCGTGGAGGAGGCATTCGGGAGCCAGCTGCGGGACAGAAGCGTCCTGGACTCTGCCTATGTGGAGAGAATCATTCTACTGAGACAGGTGTGGGGGTAGGGAGCTCCGGGACAGAAGGGGTGGGTGGCACCCGTTTCTGCCCCTTCTGATGTATCAGAGCCCTGTCCCCAGCCCATTTAGTACCTTCCTCTTCCACCAGGGTCACGTTTGCCGCCTGCAGGATTTGGTCTCCCCAGTGCATGCCTATCTGTGGACGCGCCCCACTGTGGGCCGAGCGCAGCTGGACGCCATCTCGGAGAAGGCGGATGAGATTGCCACGCGCGTGCTGCAGTGAGTTCCCATGGCGGGCTCAGGCTCCTGCACCTTCCTCCCCCTCGCCCTCCCCGGCACCTTACCCAGGGTGTCCTGTTGGGCTAGTGCTCCCTACTCCTCCATGCTGGCCACTCCTTCTGCAGAGGCCCTATATGAGGTGGCTGAAGAGTGGGGTTCTCTCTCAGGCACAAGGTCACTCCGCCCCCCGGAAGTGGCTTCCCTTTCGTAGAGTCGGGAACTGGCAGTCTAGGGCTGAACAGCTTTTCTCCACATCGCCAGGGCCCTGCCATCCCTGAGTATGCTCTTGTCCAAGGTGGCTCATGGACCACCTGTGATCCAGCCAGAGAAGAAAGGAGGCAAAGGGGAAGGGGACAGGACGTTCCTTCCCCTTAAGGACCCAACTTAAAAGTTACTCGTTAACTTCCATCCATGCCCGCCGTCTAGAATGCCTGTCTTATGGCCGCGCCAACCTACAAGAGAATCTGGTAAACGTTTTTTAACTTGGCAGCCATGTGTCCAGCTAAAAGTTTTATTACTACATACAAAAGGGAGAAGGACCCTAGGGAGTCATTACAGCTGCTCTCACGGCCTCAGATCTCCACCGTGCTGGGAAGACGGCCGCGTGGCTCCGCACCACAAAACCTCAACTCCAGCTCTAGCCATGTCTTGAGTTAAATCTGATGAGGCTTGTTTGGCCTGCTTGCAGCCTGGGCAGTGTGCTGTGCTGCTTGGCTTAGGCCCGAGTGGACACTTTCCCAGAAGATGGAAACCAGCAGTTTCCCAGAGAGACTTGGGCACTGACAGCAGGAGAAAGTGGGATGGACGCCAGACAGCAAACCCCACAAATGTCCATTTTACTTAACCTTCACTTGGTTGTGAAGATCAAATTAGATAATAAAAACAAACACCTGTGCTTGCCTGCTACACAGGCCTGCAGCGTGCTGTGTTCTGTGTTACATACCTCATGTATGTATAGGTATGTACATGTGGTGTTTGTACTTATATCCACAGCAGCCTAATGAAGTAAGTACTGTTGTCCCATTTTACAGGTGAGAAATTTGAGGCATAGAGAAGCTAAGTAGGTATCTAGAATTATACAGCTTGTAAGGTGGTGGAGGAAGGATAGAAAATCACCAGGCCGGGACTAGCAGCCATCTGTCTAATCATATTCTCTTTTGCTTTTCCATGGGATGATGTGCCTAGACAGTACCTGATACCTGGAAACCTCCAATGTTTTGTTATAATATCCATTTTGAAGAGACAAAGATATATACACATGGCAAAATATTAGTACCAGAGGGTTCAATAGCAAAAAGTAGGTCTTCCCTCATACTCAGCCATCAACAGAAAGGCAACCACACTAAGCAATTTCCTTTGTTGCATGTCTCTGTGGTCAAGGATATGTGTGTAGAATTCTAGTCTTAAAATTTTTAAGATTTTAGGGCTTCCCTTGGTGGCGCAGGTGGTTGAGCACAGTGCTGCTGAAGCTGTCCACAGCCTCTGCAGCACTGGTTCAATTCTGGCCGGCTGGCGAGCATCCCACATGGCGAGGCAGACCTCTCCTGTCATGCCCGCTGCTCCCCTTAGCAGTGTATTTCGTCAGTCTGCCTGTTCTGTTCCCCGCTTTGTCTGGTGAATCCTCTCACCCTCCCAAGCATCTGGCCTGTACCCCAAAATAAGTAAATAAATCTTTAAAAAAAATTTTTTTAAAAAAGATTTTAAATACAATATATTTTTTTAAAGATTTATTCATTTATGCATACAAGAGCTGGAGTGCAGGCCAAAGATGCAGGGGGTGAGAGGAGTCACCAGAGACAGAGTGGGGAACAGAACAGGTAGACTGACCGAAGTACACTGCTAAGGGGAGCATGGGCGTGATAGGAGAGGTCTGCTGTGCCATGTGGGTTGCTCCCTGGCTGGCTAGGGATTGAACTCGTGCTGCAGAGGCTGTGGATGGCTTCATAGTGCGGTGTTTTGCTTAACCCCTTGCACCACCAAGGAGGCCCTTTAAATATAATATTTTGATGATTAGTACATCCAAATCTCTTAAACCTGGATTTAAAAGCTAGATGTTATTGAAAAGGTATATTGTAGGAGTCCCATTTTTTATCCTTTTCCCGTTTGCCCAGTTCCAGAACCATGTGTGTTACTACTATTTTTAATTGTCCTAAATAAGCCGTATTATCCCCCCTTTTCTACACTGTCCTGTGCCTTTGGGGGTTTTCTTTCCTCCTAGCAGTACACCTTTCCATCCATCCAGTGCTCAGAGAGCATCCTCATTCTTTTTCACAGCTGCACCTATTCTATTATTATGCCAGTTGACCACATTTTGTTTAACTCACCCACTGAGGGACGTTTGGATTTCTTCCACACTCTGCTGTTCCAGACAGTGCTGTGGTGAATCACTTTGTTTGGACATCATTAAGTTTTAAGGAGCTGTTATTGTTAATGATATTCTCTTAATTCAAGATATTCCATGATAGGGGCTATTCTAATTCCCCAGGACTAAAGTAACTCCCCATCCCTGCCATGGCATCAGATTTCAGAGGCACTGGGGTTCCCTTTCAAGTCAGGAAAGCTGGCACCCAAACCTTCAGAAGCTGCCAGATCTCTAGAAGTCCTTTCTGTGCCTCTGCCATGCTCTGGTCCAGCTCCCACACGTCCTGAGCTGCCACTGTACACCAGCTCTTTGGCAGCCTGCTTCCTTGCAGTGACATTGAGGAGGGTATCTATTTTTTCCCCCATATCAGAGTTTATATTTTCAATATTTCATTTCATAATTTTGTACATAACAGTAATCATGAGGTCAAGTACATAATGCAATAAGAGCAATTTCTTTTATCTCAAATTCAAGCTCAGTTGCTCAGGTACAGGCAGTTATAGGGAATTCTATACTAAAGGCTGTTTCTTCAAACTACTTACAAACCTAGTTCCCCGAGCCAGGAGTGCCCCCGCTAAGCTGACTGCCAGATGATGCTGTTGGAGCAGGTGGTGTAAGAGCTAGCACCAGGGGTCATCTATACCAGTGAGGCTCTCTGGTCTCAACCCCTCTCCAGTGTGGATGGGGTGGAGTTTCCAGTAGTGCCTGAGGGGAGCTGGGAGGTGCTGTGGAATAGACTGGCACCACCCTGCCCCTAACTCAGAATCAGGTCTGGGAACAGGGTTTTTGCGAGTCCAGCTGTAACTGACTTGGGAATTTCTCTTGATATTCGAGCTCACTTTTGGGAGAGGATCTCAACTGGACTGCCAGGAAAGGGGAGGGTGGTTGTGGACCCGATGGATTTTTCTTTCTTTTTCTTTTCTTTTTTTACACTTTTAAAGGACAGATTTGTTAGGAAAAGGAGGAAAAGAGAGGCACCTGCATAGTCACAGGAGGGCAGGGGAGCTCTGGCCTGTTGGATTTTAAATCCTTAAGTGCTTCAGTTTGGGGCAGAGAACAGTTGAAGCAAGTGGGTGGCAATGCCAGTACTGGTGCCAGGGTCTCCTGATCCTTTGCTTACTGTTCCTCTGTGCTGCATCCCCCCAGCAGTCTTGGTGCTGTGTTCCAGATAATTCCCCAGGGCATAAGCTGTCTGTCCTAGGTCTAGCTCAGTCTTATGTTTCTTGTTAGACTCTTAGACTCGAAGCTATTTTATTTATTTGTTTGTTTGTTTATTTTCAGTTAAAAGCTTTGTTTTGTTTTCAGTAACTGTAGAGTGGAGCCACCGTAGGAGTAAGAATCAGAACTCAGAGGAGCTGGGTCTAATCTCCAGCAACCTGATCTGGCTCTTCACTTAACATCAGCGCCTTTACCTAATTATTTGAAGATGATGTAGTCATAGCCTATGTGATTTGTAAGTCAGCAAAGAATAGTTTAATGGTTCATTTAGCTCCTTGAGGAACTTCATGGTGCTTGAGGTATGCCAAATAAGCAGCACGTAACCTCATGTTGGGGTTCATATGATGGGGTTCAGTGTGTGGGCTTCTTGGGTCCATCTAAGAAAGAGTTCAGCAGACATTCCCGTTCATCAGCATATGGCAAGTTTAGTAAGGAAAAGAGATAAAGGAAAACAAAACAGAGCAAAAACGCCTGTGTAGATACGGGCAGGCGGGAGAGCTGCAGTCTCTGAGCTCTTGATGTAATAAATATTAATTTAACTTTTTATTGAAATACAAGATCTGATCTGATACTTTTGACTACTTAGCAGTGTTCAGGCAATATACTTGGAGCTTTACAAGTTTTAACTTAGCCCTCCCATTGCCCTGTGAGAGGCAGACACAATAATTATCCCCACTTTACAGGTGAGAAACCTGAGGCATAGAGATCACAAGACACAGAGGTAACAATCAGGAAATCCTCTTGTTATGGTGCCCTCTTGGTTTCCTGTGTTATGCCCCCCTTGGAGTCTCTGGTAAATGTTCCCTCAGTGGTTCTTTTGGCCCCCTTAGTGGGGTTGGGATTCACTGATCTTCCTCCCTCACCCTCCCCCACACATTGGTCATGCACTTCCATTGCAGCTGATCAATAATCTTCAGAAGCTCTCCCTCCCACCCACTTGCCCTTGGCCAGTGCTGGCCCCTCATGAACTGGCCTCTTCTAGGCTCTTCGAAGGAACTGGTACAAGCTTAACTCAGGATGTGCTGAATGGAGAACTGAAGAAGCTGTCAGAAGGTCTGGAAGGCACCAAACACAGTAATGTGATGAAGCTCCTCCGAGTGGCCCTGAGTGGACAGCTGGTAAGCGGCGGCCGGGCCCCCTCCAGCCATTCCACTCCCGTCATGCAGGCGCTCAGGGAAGTTTGGGGGATACCGAGATGAGTGGTACCAGATCACTTCCCTCCTTCAGTCACTCAGGGGACAATATTTATTGAGTACCTGCTATGTGCAAGCACGTGGATGTAGTCGTGAATGAAGCACACACTCCCTGCCTTCATGGAGCTGGTGGTTGTTTGGGGGCAGTAGATGTGTCAACCTGGGGAAAAGAGGCATCCAGGACCCAATAGTCAGCCACAGAAATAAGATGATACATGCAAACTCGGCTGGTTGGGAAATAGTCTGTAGGGTGGGCCAGCCTGGGCCGAGACTTCTAGACTAGGGTGGGCATTAGTTCCCTAGACAGTAGTCAGCAGTAATGTCTTCTCCTTTTGTTCCTAGCAAGGACCACCTGTAGCTGAGATGATGGTGTCCTTGGGACCAAAGGAAGTGCGGGAACGAATACAGAAGGTGCTTTCCAGCTAGAGAGAAATACGTGCTGTGGTGGAGGTGGCCTAAGAACCTGGACGCGTGAAGGCTGCTTCGGAGAGGAGGAGGAGGAGACCTGGGGCCTCTCAGGAAGCTTGAGGAAGGAACCAAGAGTGGAAACAGTCTTCATCCCTTTGAGCACATTATGGCTCCACCACAGGCCCATCCTCGTAGGTTGGCTGAGGAGGTGCAGCCCCAAGGAGGTGCTGCACCAAGGAAGTGCAGAGTCAAGCAACTCCTTGACTCTGGAAGGGAGGCCTCCTGTCCGGTGACAGACATCACATAGCAAAGGTTAGAAACTGCTTCCCAGAGCAATTGGAGGGCTTCTGCTTTGGTCCACATGGGCTGCCGGAACAAAACACCACAGACTGGGGGCTTAAGCAACAGAAAATTTTTTTCTCACAGTTATGGGGGCTGGAAGTGCAAACTCAAGGCCTCAGAGGTGTTGTTTTTCCAGAGGCCTCTGTCCTTGGCTCGCGGATGTCTGCCTTCTGGGTGTGTCCTCACCTGGGCTTTCCTCCTGCTGCCTCTGGTAGCCCTCTGGGTGTCCTCTTGTAAGGACACCAGCCAGCTTGGATTAAGGCTCCCTTACCAGCTTCCTTTTAACTTAATAACCTCTTTAAAGGCCCTTTAACCAAAATATGTCACATTTTGAGGTGCTGAGAGTTAGGGCTTCGACATAGCAATTTTGAGGAGACAATTCAGCCCACAACCCAGCAGCAGCCAACTTGTGGATCCTGTTTCTCAGACACTGTTCGGATTCAGAGCCATGAAGGACGGGACTGACACAAGCAGGGCCGAACCGATGCCAGATTTCCTTGGGGATTGTAAAGGGAGAAGCTACTCACCTGCCCAAGGGAGACGTGTTTTATATTGTTCGTCCTTGGACTTGGGGCAGCCTTTGTCTCCCTTCCCTCAGGATCATCTGTTCCTCTCTTCCAGTTCTCCAGACTTGGCCCTTGGGCTGGAGACCTTCACCTGCCTGTCTTGCCTCTTTCTTCACATCCACCTCCTTCCACTCATTACTTGTAAGTCACTCTCTGCTTGTTTCTGTGTGAGATGTTCTGGGGGTGAATAGCAAGAACTAAAGTGAATAGAGGATGATGAATGACCCCCAAGGCCCCCTACAGGGCCGCTGAGCACCCCCCCGTGTGACAGCCAGACTGAGATGGCTCCCGTCAGCCCTTCCCCCTGTGAATAGGGCTCATGGCTTCCGTCTGTTCCTGGGACACCTTACCCATGGGGAAAGCCAGTTTCCACATCATGAAGATACTCAAGCAGCCCTTGTTGAGGGGTCTGTGTGACCAGGAGCTGAGCCATCCTGCCAACAGCCTTCAGAAGGAGCTGCCTTGGAAGCTCATCCTTCAGATGAAAGCAGCCCTGGTTGACTGCGACCCTTGGGGAAGATCTTGAGCCAGAACCACTCTCAGACTTCAGACACACACAGATTATGAGAATAAATGTTTATTGTTTAAAGCCACTTGGTTTGGAGATAAATTGTTACCCAGTAAAAGCAGGTATGTTTACCTCGCCTGGGGAAGTATGTATAGGGGGCTCAGAGTTTGCTGAGCCACCTGGAGACCTAAGTCTTTGCATGAAAAGGCAGATAAAGTTCTCTGACTACAAGCAACAGAAACCAACTAGCCTAACTTAAGTTTATTGGGGACTATCACTTTATGGAGAGTTTATGGGAGTCAAAAAATGTACGGGAAAGCCAAATCCAGGTCTTGGAAGAGACAGGAACTAGAGGAGCTCATCTGCGTTCTTCAGGACGGACACACTTGGAAAAGTATTCCACGCAGAGGTGAAAAAGAGAACTACCCAGCATTCCCCATGATCAGAGCGAGGGTAGCTGGGGGAGCAGTAGACATGGTTGAGAAATGCAGCAGAGGGGAAATCCAAACTGCCCACTTTTCCACCCGCCTTTCAGGGTGCCATCTGATGCAAGTCACGAAATCTAGATTCAAACCAGCTTAAAGAAGAGTCAGTGTCCTACATAACAGGAAGTTGGGGGGGGGCGGGCAGGCTTGGTTAATTAAGTGTTCAGTGACATCAGTGTGGCCCCAGGGTCTTTCCATCTCTGCTCAGCTGACTCCAGCATCTGCAGCAGCGTGGAGCGGGTTCCTTCTGCTCACAGTTCACTGCTAGAGCAGTCAGCCTCCCTGCATGTTCTCCTTCTTTGGGGCTCTCTCCCTGAAGGTGAGGAGCTCTTCAAGCGCCCTCCTCCACCAACTTCCTTCTTCTTGAACCCATCTTGAACCCCGTCGTTCTCGGGAAGCGGGAGTTCCGGTAGAGCAGTCAGGCCCATGCCCGGGGCAGGGCCAGCTCTTCCTGAGGGTCTTGATGGGGTCTGCAAAGAACCTGGAAAACCTCAACAAAGCAGGGGTTCAGTTAGTGAAGATGAGTTGGATTTTTTTTTTTCCTTTACATTTTAAAAAGAGGTTTATTAGGGAAAAGAGAAAGAGAAACACCTGCGTAGTCTCAGGCGGGCAGGCGAGCTGCTGCTGCTTTGCAGAGGGAAATAGTTTGCAGGGGGAAAAAAAAAAAACAAAAAACACCTTCCCAGTCACAGGTGGACAGGAGCTGCCAAATTGGGTCTTTATGAGGTGCAAGGTGTGGGAGCCATTGAAATGTTTTAAGCAGGGAAGTGACCGGATCAGATTTGTATTTTTCTGTGAGATCATTTTGGCAGCTATAGTGAGAGGTTTGAACATGGTCAGAAGAAGGGTGCCCCATGGGCCTCCCTGGTGGTGCAAGAGGTTAAGCACCGCACTATGAAGCAATCCGCAACCTCTGCAGCACGAGTTCGATCCCCAGCAGGCCAGGGAGTTACCCACATGGCGCAGCAGACCTCTCCTGTCTTGCCTGCTGCTCCCCTCAGCAGTGTGTTTCAGTTAGTCTGCCTGTTCTGTTCCCCGCTCTGTCTCTGGTCAGTCCTCTCACCCCCCGCATCTCTGGCCTGTACCCCAGCTCTTGTATGCATAAATAAATAAGTCTTCAAAAAAAGAAAAGAAAAGGGCGCCCCAGGAGGAGATGACAGGCACAAAGGGAGGTTCTTGTCATGCTCAAACCCCATTTCTTCTCCGTAGCCTGACCTTTGCCTGGTTTAGCTTCACCCATTCCTGCCTCGCACACACCCTCTTCTCTGTTCTGCCACCTGAGCCTTCTTGAGGTCCCTGCCTCCCTGCTACTCTTCTTTCTAGAATGCTGTCAGCCACTCCTTTTTCTTCCCCTTTGCCAAGTGACTTCTGTTTTAGCCTTCAGATGTCAGCTCCACTTTCATCTCTGACTTCCTGCTGGAAGGTCATCTTCCTCTGTCCTTAATCATCAGCATCTTTTTCTCTTCCACAGCACACAATTGGAATTGTGTAAATAACGTGGTTGTGTAAGATAAAAGATCCCATGAGAACAGGGACCTTATCTGTCTTGTTCACCACTGTACCCCCCATCCTAAGAATGGGGCCTGTTTACATAGCAAGTGCACAGAGACATCTCTGATTAAATCGTATGGTCAGTACATGAGTCAAGTGTCCCCAGGCTGACTGCCACAGTCACTGTATTAAGTTTAGAAAAAAGATGACAGGCCCACAATGGAGTCACCTATGCTAAGCCCCATATCAGCAAACAGACTGAATTATAGCTTCAGCCTCTTCAAGAAACAAAATCTGAAACCAGCCAATCAGGAACTGCCCAACCAGGCTCCTGCCATCCCCAAGAGGAAAGGGACCTTGCCACACCCCATCTGCCTTTTGCTCATACCCCTGTGGTCCCGCTTCTCTTCTGCTCACTACGGACTGCTCCTCAAATGCCTTCCATCTGCTAGATTGGATGCTGCCTGATTCGTGAATCATTGAATAAAGTCAGTAAGATCTTTAAAACTCGCTCATCTGAATGTTGTTTTTTAATGTTATTTTCATTAGTGAATCACACGATGCCAATGTTTTTTAATTCAGAAGTCAGTACAAGTTTGACTTGGCACTTGTTCATTACGAGCCTGGGGGTGCTCTGCAAACTTATCCTTTATATCTGGGCAGAATGTTAGGATCACAGCTTTTCTGTCCAGGTCAGAGCCCCCTCAGCTTTGATCCCCAACATCTTTCTCTCAGCTGACTGTGGGACAGTCCAGCCCAGGTTGCAGGGGGAGCTTTCTCTATCTAGAGAACCCCTTTGGGCCAAGTCCATTCTATCCTGTCTTCATTCATTTGGCAAACATCTGATGTGTGCCAGACCCTGCAAGACGAGGTCTCATTGGTAGTGGCAGCTCAGTCCATAGATGTTTGTTTCATTCATTCATTCAATTTCTAAGCGTTAAAAAAAAAAAGAGAAAAGGTAAACGCCCTGCCTCAAAGAGATCAGTCTCCTGGGAGACGAACAATCACTCATATGAGTGTGGATGTGGTAACAAAAGTGTTACAGGGCAGCCCCGAACAAGGTGATAGAGGAATACAGATCTCCTGGTGTGGGGCAGGCAGACAAGGAAGGCTCTGCCTGGCCAGGAGTTGGGTCGTTGCTCTTTACTTTTGAGTTCAGATAGACAGTGAATAATTTTTTAGTATAAGTTTGTCCCATAGAATATTTGAAACATATATGTGCCAAAAAAATATTTATAGAGATGTGGGTGTGGGGGAAATCAGTGAAGGTGGTCAAAAGTTCCGGACCTCCAGTTAGAAGTTCCAGGGGTGTCCTATAGAGCACCATGACTGTGGTTAACAATACTATCTGGTGTGTTGGAAAATTTCTAAGAGTAGATCTTAAAACTTCTCATCACAAGGGAAAAAATAACTGATGATGGGTGTTCACTTACTCTAGTGATCATTTTGTGGCATATACAAATAGTGAATCAGTTTGTTCCCCTGAAACTGCTTCTAAAGCTGTATGTTAATTATATCTCAAGAAATTATTTACTGTTGGACTGAAATTCAGATTTCACTGGGCTTCCTGTATTTTCATATGCTAAATCTTGCAGCCCAGCCCTGAGGTAGTTTGACAGACAACAGAGGGAGGACACTGGAGAAAGAAGGAACTAGGGTACAGTTAGTTCCCAACTGGTGCTAGAGAAGCAGTTACTGAGAATTCTGGTTCTACCTATAATCATTTTGTGCCTATGTTGTGCAAGCATGCACACCAGGTTCACTGTGCATTTGGGCAGAGTCCTGCAGCCGTCGACAGATTTTTAGGCCTTTAGTGTTGGAGCAGGGAACCAGGTACACAGGCACGCCAGGCAGGGTGGCGGGACCAGCAAAGAGGCAGGCATGGGCCAGCCAGGGGGGCTGGGAGGCAGGCAGGCAATCGAGCCTCCCAGCACCCCACGAATCTTTGCTCTCTCTTTCCCCTGGCCTTTTTCTCTGGTATTCTCATTTCATCTCACAGTCTTGCCTTAGAGAGATCCTCAGCTCTGCCGCTGCCGCTGTCTTTATCCTCCTTCTCTAGGCACGGGTGTGAGCATTTACACATGCACATGCCTGTGCTCTTTGGGCACACGTGCCCCTCACCACACCCATTGGCCCTGGGCATCACACAAGCTGAGAGGAGGGTCAGACTTCAGGTGGTGGTCATAGAGGCTAGCGGCTGGGAGGGCAGAAAAATGCCTGATAACTTCATTTACAGCCTATGAAGTGCCCAGAAAGGAGAGACAGACAACCAGCCACACACTCTACATAAAGGAGATGGAAAGGCAGAGAAGACCTTGGACAGGAAGACCTGTCCAAGCACAAAAAAGGGACCTAGAAAGGCCTCTTAATTCTGTCTGAAGGCAAAACCCCCACACCAACCACTGCACTAACCTGAACTACTTTCTTCCCACTCACTTATCCCTTAAGCGCTCAGCTGTGGTCACTATAGCAGCTGCAGCAGCAGCAGCTCCTGAAGCCTAATTAGAAAGACGGATTCTTGGGCCTCACCCCAGATCTGCTGAACCAGAACCCAGGTGGGCCAGGCCCTCCATTCCATGCTGGTTTTCTATGCTAAGCAGACATTTTTATTTATTATTATTGGGGTGATGTTGGATTACCATACTGTATATTTTAGGGGTATACATTCACACCTCATCAGGTGTATGTCTGTAGGGTAGGTAAAAGTATCAGGCTTTTCTGCCCTCCCTCCATTAGGATAGATAACGGAACCCCACGGTCCTGAATGCAGGCCTGATGGCGGGCACCTGGAGTAGGGTGTGGGCCTATGTAGATGGGATTCACCTGGGCTAAGACTGGGCTTTTAAGGGTGGCGTCATGGGGACACCAGCAGAAGCCGAGACAGAAGTAGAGCAAGAAGAAGCTGAGAAAGGAGCAGAGAAGCCGAGAGAACACCGGAGAGCCCAGAAAGAGTGAAGACTTGCTGGGGGCTGGGAGGCCTGCCAGCCTCCCGGCCCGCCAGAACCTCTGCCTGCCGTGTACCTGGTAAATCCCAATAAAAGCCTGCAAAAGCCACTGAGGGCTCCAGGACTCCTCCTTTACCCCATCTGCATAGAAACATAAAGAACCTGCTCGGTGCCCCTCCTGCCCTTACAATGTCACTGATGTGTTCAGATGATGGGGTTCAGTGTGTGGGGTTCTGGGTTCCTCTGAGAAAGATTTTAGCAGATGTTCCTGTTCATCAGCACACAACAAGCTTATTAAGGAAAAGAGAAAAAGGAGAGATGCCCGCATAGACACAGACAGGCAGCCTTAAAGGACAAGTTCTGCATTTTGAAAGGGCCGGTTTACGAGGAAGAGAAAGGGATACCTGGGCGGGCAGAGAGCTGCATTTTGTCAGAGCAAAGGGTATCTTTATGTGAGGTTCTTTGATGAAATGACTGTGGCATTTATTGCCCCAGGGTCATATTGGGTTGGTTCTTTAACTGGTCATCTTTTCTGCCCCCACCTCAGATTTTTGGAAACTTCCATAGCTGGTTTACCTTCTAGTTAAGCATCCCTCTCCATCCCCCAGGTTCTGTCCCTGGGAAATCTTCCATCCTAATTTTTCTACTCTAAGCTTCCATCATTACCACACCACACCCATCACCAAAGCACCGATATTACTTGCCTCAATCCATTGGGTCCCCTCCCCCACTTAACTGTCACCCACTACCCCATCTGGTAGTGGAAGTTTTGCAGTGAGATTCCAAGGGCTTGTTTTTCCCTCTTCCCTTGTCTTGCTTAATTACATTCCACATATAAGTAAAATCATCCAAAATTTGTCTTTCTCCTTTGCTTATCTGACTGACTTTGCTTATCATAATCTCCTCCAGTTCCATTTATGGTGTTTGAAATGGGAAGACTTCAGTTTTTTTTTTGTTTGTTTTGTTTTAAAGATTTATTTATTTATACAAGCAACGGGCACAATCAGAAGCATGGGAGGGTGAGAGAATTCACCAGAGCCAGAGTGGGGAACAGAACAGGCAGACTGAGGAAATATACTGCTGTGGGGAGCAGCGGGCACAGCAGAAGAGGTCCGCACCATGTGGGACCCTTGCCGGTGGCTGGGGATTGAACCGGCACCGCAGAGGCTGTGGGCACTCAGCACCCAACCGCTGCGCCACCAGGGGAGGCCAAAGACTTCAGTTTTTTTAATAGCAAAGTAGTATTCCATTGTGTATATGGACTACATCTTCTTAAGTTACTCATCTGTTTTTGGGCACTTGGGTTGTTTCTACAACTTGGCTATTATAAATAGTGCAGCAGTGAGCATAGGAGTGCATATAGCTCTTCGATTAAATGTTTTTGTATGCTTTGAATAGACACCTCGAAGTGGGACTGCTGGGTCATATTTTTATTATAATTTAATATATTTTAATAAATTTTGAGAAACCTCCATACTGTTTTCCAGAGGGGCTGGCCTAGTCTTCATTCCCACCAACAGTGTATGAGGGCTCCTTTTTCTCCACATTCTCACTAGCACTTTTTTTTTTATTTGCAGAGAACTGGGGTGTAGCCCGAGGCACAGGGGATGTAAGAGGATTCAGCAGGGACAGAGAAGCTGGACAGGCAGATTTTACTGAAATACACTGCTTAGTGGAGCAGTGGGTGAGACCGAAGCCATGGGCTGAGCTATGTGGGTCAGCTCCCTGGCTGGGCTTGAACTCACGCTGCAGTGGTGATAGCACTGAGACTTAACCCCTAGGCCACCAGGGAGACCCACCTACACTTGTTTTTGGTCTTTTTGTAGACAGTGTGTGGTGGTATCTCATTGTGGTTTTGATTTGCTTTTCCCTGTTGAGAAGTGATGATGGGCATTTTTCATATGCCTGTTGGCCATCTGCATTACATTCTGTGTGTTAATAAGCCTTCCAGGTAATTCTGACACATGTTAGTTTGAAAACCACTGCTCCATGTGTCAAAATGTTCAATGCATGCAGGTCCCCAAGATCAGTAAAGCAAGTCAGGTATCGTAAATATTAAAGAGGTGATGGCAGGTCCTTGGCAAAAAGGGGAGCTGGTGCCCCCTCCAGAGGGCACAGCCTCTATTCATCCATCTCCATGCATTTTTTTTTGCAATGAGGAGACCTGGATTCTGTGTTGCTAGATATGTGGAATTTTTGAGAGATATGTGTTTAAGATTTTATCTAACCCTTTAATAAACTGGTAAGATTTTATCTTAATGAATAAACCTGTGAGATAGTACAACAATGAAGAAACTGGTGAGCTCAAAGAAGAGGCCAAAGAACAGACACAATTATCCATCAGAAATATTGAAATGAATGTGCAAATGCAGGCAAACTGGTTTTTCCCCAGGCAGAGGAATGTGTCTTTCCTCTCCAGAGAGAATTCATTTAGATGTTTACAAATAAGAATAATTTTCTATTGTTTTTGGTTATCTTTAGGTGACAGGGATATAAAATAATTCCCAGAGAACCAAAATGGAACAATACAGAAGGTGTGCTGTAGACAATGCTGCATTTTCATTGCTGTGCAAAATTTCCCCCATTTGAATAATTTAAGGGCTGAATCTCTCTCTCTTCCTCCTTCCTTTCTTCCTCCCATCTCTTTTTCTCCCCCTCATATCTCACTCTTATGATCCCACAGCAAGAAGGGAATGCTTCGTAAACCAGCAAGAGAGGTTTGCCAGGAACCCAGCCTCCTGTGAGAGATAAATGTTAGTCATTCACCCAGTCTATGGCATTTTGTTCTAGCAGCCCATGTTAACTATTGACTGTAAAAGATTTAACGTAAAGGGCTTTCCTGGTGGCCCAGGGGTTAAGTTTCCAGGGGCTGGTCTGAGTTCGATCCCCGGCCAGGGAGCTGACCCACACGGCGCAGCAGACCTCTCCTTTCTCCCCACTGCTCCCCTCAGTGGATTTCAGTAGATCCGTCTGTTCTGCTCCCCACTCTGTCTCTGGTGAATCCTCTCCTCTCTCTCTCTCTTTTTTAAAAAGAGTTATTTATTCATGCATACAAGAACTGGGGTACAGGACAGATGTCCAGGAGGATGAGAGGATTCACCAGAGAGAGTGGGGAGCAGAACAGGCAGACTGACTGAAAAACACTGCTAAGGGGAGCAGCAGGTGAGACAGGAGAGGTCTGCCTGGCATGGGTGTGCCAGGCACTATTCTAGGTACTGGGAAAACAGAAGTGTGAAATCAAAGTCTCTGCTTAATGGGGTAAGATAGGTAATGGAGCATAGAGGAACTTGTGTTTCGGTGGAAAATTATACATTATCTTGCCAGCACACCCTTCTGGTTTTAGCCCTCATTGTCTCAGCTGTGCTCTACAAGTTGTGGGTAACCAGATCTACAGACACAGCCGTTATCTGTGGATATCAGATACATTCTTGCCTGTAGACACTCGACTTAATCCTGTCTGCTGCATGGACAACCCTCCCTAATGGTAGAATAGCTCCTTTTGTATCCCTTTGTACATTCCTCCCAACATTGCTCTGTTGCAACATAAATTTGTCCTTTAAAAAAATGTTTTCTTACATCATTGTTCATTTTTGTACAGTATTTGGTTTCTCCCCTCGGATGCAGTCCCCAGAGCTCTCCCACACCACAGCACCCATGCACCATCACCATAGCCCCCTGTGCTCTTCCCTTCCCTGTTGTATTCCCTTTCCCGTCTCCTCCCCTGATGTATGCCCCAGATCTATCTATGGTCAGCTTTCCAGTGTTGTCTTTTCCTGACTCTTTGTTTTCTCTATATTCTGAAAATATTTGTCCGTTTTTGATTGCTCTTTTTAACTGGTTATAACATCTGCTTGCTTCTCTCATTTAATTAAGGAATTAAATAAAATATTTAACACGTATTTGTGTCACAATATGGGAGAATCGCGACCTTTTTTTAGGGGGCAATTATTCAACAAAATAAACCAGTAAATATCTAGTACACGGATGGTGTAGTGCGTTATGGAGAAAATAAATCGCAGCGTGGAGGGAGGCCAGGTGGGCGTGTCATTTTAGAGAAAGGGTTTGGGGCAAACCCTCCTGCATAAAAATAGTACCAATAGGGGCCTCCCTGGTGGCGCAAGGGGTTAAGACACAACCTATGAGGATATGGGCAGCCTCTGCAGCACAAGTTCAATCCCCGGCCAGGGAGCTACCCACATGGCGCGGCAGGCCTCTCCTGACTCGCCCGCTGCTCTCCTCAGCAGTGTCTTTCCCTCGATCTCCCTTTTCTGCTCCCCACTCTGTCTCTGGTGAATCCTGTCACCCCCCACACCTCTGGCCTGTATCCCAGCTCTTGTATGCATAAATAAATAAATCTTAAAAAAAAAAGTACCAATAAATGAAATGTGTTACTCAAGCGGCTCACGTCCTGCATTCCATCTGGCCAGTGTAGTTTCCCTGCATTCCATCTGGTCAGCGTAGTTTCGAGGTGCGGGACCCGGCGGCCCCGACCCGGGGGCGTCTGCAGGGCCCTGGGGCCAGGGTAGGGGTCGCGGGAGGCGGCGGCCCGCCCGGGGGCGGGGCCTGCGGTGGGCGTGGTCCGAGGAGGCCCCGCCCCGTCACGTGCCGGCCCGCGGCTGCCGCGTCGGCATCCCCGGAGCGCGCCGGGCGGCGGCGGCTGAGGCCGGGCCATGGCGGCGACGGCGGTGGCGGCGGGGGCCGGGGCGGCGGCGGGGGCCGAGGCGGCCGAGGGGCGCGCGGGGCCGGCGGCGGCGCTGGAGCGGTGGCTCAGTGAGTAGCGGGCGCCGCACGTGAGGCCCCGGCCTGGCTCGCGCGCCGCGGCGGGGAGGGGCGCGCGGGGGGTGTGGGGGGAAGCCCCTGGCGCGCGCCGCGCACGCACCGGGTCCCGCCGCCCCCTCGCCCGGGGGTCGCGGGCCCGAGACGTCACTCGCGCGGCGCCGGCGCAGCCCCCGCGCGGCGCCCGGCCGAGCTCAGCCTTTGTTGGCCCTCGCGACCCCGGGGGCGGCGCCCGTTTCGGCCCGTTTCGCGGAGGTGGGGGCTCGCACCTGAGGAAGCTCTCGGCCGGGCGCGGGGCCGCCTCCTGCAGTCTCTCGAGCCGAGAGCGGTCCGGATCCGGCTGCCCGCCTCGGCCTCGCCGCGAGCCCTGGGCTTGACCCGCTGCAAGTGCACGAGCCAGGTCCCGCGTAATTAGTGGGTGACACAGGTGATACTTAGCAAACAGGTAGTGGAAGAAAAATTACAGCTTTTGCACATGTTTACTCCCATATGCCTCCCCCCCATATGTGTGTGTCGTCTCCCACATGCCTCCTGGCAGGCCCCGGGGAGGTGTCCCTGCCGTGCCAGGACAGCGACCTGGCTCCTTGCGTCAGGCTCTGCAGGGTGCTGGGAGCGCGGACATGCGTGACACAGGGCCTCGCTCGCAAAGGCAGTGCTTGGGGGGTACAAGTCAACAATAACGGCACTTTGTAGGGTGAACAGAAGTTCGGGGCGAGGCATGCGTTTCAAGCGTGGTGGTGGGAGTTGGTGTATTTCCCTGAGGATTGGCACAGCGGAGGAAACATTTGAGCGGACCACGGAGGGGACAACATTTCAGCCACAGGAAACTCCATGCGCAAAAGCTGGGGGGACAGAGTGTGGAGGGAGCAAGGAGGTCCTTAGTGACATCGTGCAAAGTCTGAAGAGAAAAGGGTCAGGGGAGGAGGCACATTTGGGGCGAGGCCTTCAAACATCTTGGATGCTGCAGAAATGTTTGAATTTTATTTCTGTGATTTGGGGGAGTGTTGGTGTTTCAGCAGCAGACTGATCTCTAGTTCAGTTCACCTGTTAAAAAAGCATCCTCTGCAGCCCCATGGAAGTGAAAAGGTTGGCAGGTGACAGTGCGGCAGGGGGAGCAGAGAAGCTGTTCATAGTGTTTAGAGACTGAGGTGAGACAGAGGGAGTGGGGATGGATAGCAGAAGTAATGAGTCAACAGCCTTGGTGTATTGGAGTGGAGGCAAGAGATGGGGGAGGGAGGATCTAGGATGGATTCTGGGGTTCAGGTTCAGGTCTGGTTTGGTAACAGACGCCTCACCTGTGAGGAGGAGCTGATTTAGGAAGGAAGGGCAGTGGGGTTATGGAGTTTGAGGTACTTATGGCATAGTCAGAAGGAGACACTAGGTATTTGGTTGGCTTTCGAGAGGGCAAGAGCTGGAAGTCGGCTTGAGAGTCTTCAAATCAGCGGCGGTGAGGTTGTCCAGGTTGTCCAGGGCTGACAGTGTATGTTGAGGAGAGCAGAGGTATGGAGATGGAGGCGTGCAACATTTAAGAAGCAGTTGGGAAAAGCCGCCTGAAGACAGAGCAGACGAAGGATGAAGGCAGGGAGAAGGAGTCACAGACAAAGGAGGGGTGTAGTTGGTAAGTAGGTTTGCTAGCAAAAGGCGGAGTAGGATGACAAAGGAGAAGGGGGATCTGAATTTGGTAACTAAAAGGTTACTGAGATTTTTTTAGTTAAATGCTGGGGACAGATTAGGAGGCCATGGAGAGCTGTAGGCTTGGTTGCAGTGGCAAAAAAAAAAAAGGTCCAGGGCTGGCCTAGAGATCGGCTAGCGGCTGGCTCACGGAGGAGACTCACGGGAAAGGTGGCTGCTCCAAGAAGGGGCTTCTTTAGTCCCAGCTGTTTTGGACCCTTGTGGCCCCAAAGTGGTGGGATCTAATGGTTTTTCAGGTAGGGCTAAAACTTCTATTTTTATGTGAAATCTGAGATCTTAAAAGTTAACAACTACTTTGAAATATAGAATTTGGGGGGCCTCCCTGGTGGCACAAGGGGTTAAGTCTCAGCACTATGAAGCTCTCCCCAGCCAGGGAGGTGACCCACATGGCATAGCAGACCTCTCCTGCCTCTCCTGTCTCACCCGCTGCTCCCCTCAGCAGTGTGTTTCAGTATATCTGTCTGTTCTGCTCCCCACTCTGTCTCTGGTGAATCCTCTCACTACCATCCCTCCCCCCCTACCCCAAACACACCTCTGGCCTACACCCCAGCTCTGTATGCCTAAATAAAATAAATCTTTTAAAAAAATATATAGAATTTGTCTGGTGTAGGTTCTGATAGAAAGAACCTGTGGGGAGGTTGTAGCACTGGCCACCAGCTACCGCCCTCCCTTTTTTTTTAAAAAAGGCATTAGTGAATGGAGGGGAGAAGGTTGCCACAGAATTCAGGTGTGAGGAGATTTGAAAAGGGGAGCGTGACTCTGAGTCCCAGTCTGTGCTGCTCTTCCTCTGGGGAACTAGCCCTCCCTAGTTCTAGGCCCCGAGTTCAAGCCCCTGGAGGGGTTCTGTGGTGCTGCGGAGCTCAGGGCAAGAGCAGGAAGGGCTGACAGCCTCGCAGAGGGGAAGTGAGCCTCTTGTTTGAGCGTCTGGGGAAGGAGAAAAAGATGATGCAGGTTCCTTTGTCAGTATCACACTGCCACCACTAGGGTCAGAGGAAGGCGGGCTTGAGGAAAGTGGGGAAGTTTGGGATGACTTGTAAGAGAAACAAAAGGCAGCCTACCTGGACACTTGAGAACAGGATTTTGGCATAGTCTCACTCGATATTTTGGGCCTGAGAGTTCTGTGTTGTGGGGACTGCCCTGTGCACTGCGGGATGTTGAGTAGGACCCCTGGTTGCGGTAGATAGCAGTTACCCCCCACCCCCTATCTTGACATGATATCTGCACACTTTGCCTCTCCTTTTCTGCATGAGTGCCTCTGATTCTGGGCTTCAGTGTGCTCATGGGACATCAGAAATGTGTCTTGGAGTCTGTGGTTGTGTGATTCCCCCGCCAGCCTGACGGAGAGGGTGAGCTCTGGTTTAAACCATATTTCTGGAGGGGGTAGGGTGGGGCAGGGAGGAGGTGCCATGGAAGGAAGGAGGGTTGATGGCATGGCGAGGAGGGGCTATAGTTGAAGGAATGTGTGTAGTCCAGGTGGGATGGAGGGGCCTGAGGACCCCTGTGCTCAGGTCACTGACAGCTCTTACCTCAGCACCAGGCAGCTGTGTCTGACCTGCGGTGGCACAGGCATGCGCCTCTGAGGGCTGTGAGGGGCACCTGGAACAGTCGTGGGTGAGAGGTAAATGGTAGCTTTAACTATAGTTAGTCTTTCTAGTTGTGAGAGGCAGAAAACTAACTCATACTGGCTTAACCAAAATAAAAAAAAAGAAAAAGAATAAAAAGGAAAAACATGGGACCTAGGATTGGGGAAGGTGGTTTCCAAAGGCACATCAGGAAGCCGCTACCAGAAGCTTACACTTTAAGAATACAAACAGTCGCTTCTGTGCTTTCTGCAGCTTTCCCCGTCTGGTTCATTTTGGTCATTGGCCACATGACTGCATCGAAGGGGCCTCCTTCCTGTTTGTGGGGTAGGCCTCTTGGGCGGGTGCTGTCATTTATTCAGCCAGCTCCCAGCTGGGGGGCACTTTAGGTTGTTGCCTGTCTGTGCTATTAAAAATAGCTCTGGGTCCCCTTGGTCTCTGGGATTCTTGCTCTGGTAGACTCTAGCTGCCCGGGAGGTAGTAGCTTAGTGAGTTTGGGGGGCTCAGTAAATTCCATTCTGCTACCACCCAGATCCACACCCAGGTGATTTGCCCTGTCTTCCAGCCCTACCTTGATGCCCTTGGGGAATCTGGGGGTCTGGATTGCACTCTATATTCTCTGAGCTTCCCTGAGGGGTATGTGTCTTCTTTCTGTAGGAGCCTGGCATGAGCCCTTGTAGTGGTGGTCTTGGGCTTTCGGCTTGGCTCATTTGGGTGTTTCTGGACAGTAGCAGGGTGTCAGTGTCCCTCTTGCTGTAGAAGGAGGAAAGGTCACATGCCCCTCCAGTGACTGCTTCCCCAAGGCCTGTGCCCGCCCCCCCCCCCCCCGGCCTGTGGGGGGCTCCCCAACTAGCCAGGCAGCTCCTAGTGCTGAGTCATGACCCCCATGACCCGGGTGGTTGGCAGCTAGCGTGAGATGATTTGACTTCTGAATTAGTCTCTTGTGGAGGAGTCCTTTCACTCAGCTGGAGGCTCAGCTGTTATCTAAATGCCTCTCTGGACAAGCTTAAAATGCATGCAAACACTGCTTTTATTAGGCAAATATATGGCAGCTGTTAACTGTCCTGCCTAGTGCCAACTACATAAACCACCTCGGTGTCTGGGTAGGCCTTCCACCCCTGATGGGGCTGTGATGGTCACCAAAAGTAAAGCAAGGGTCGTTGGGTCTCCCCAGTCATGCCCTGTCAGGCCTCTGTCTTCTCCTTGGGGAGATGGCCTGTCACACCCAGCTGTTGGTCCTTTGGGGGTCCTTTTCTCTGGGACTGCTCAAGGCCTCTGAGGTAGCTGGGCAGGTGAAGATTAGGTGTCTGGAGACCCAGTTGTTTCAGAACTGGAACAACCCCCTCCTGGTGTCAGAAGCGTGTTCGGCCAACTGGCCAAACTCTAGCAAAAAAAATGACGTCATTCATTTATTCATTCATTCATTCAGTGGAGACCTGTGCTGTGCTGGAGCAAGTGAAGATGGAGACAGACCATTTTCCTGCCTCAGGGAGCTGTTAAGTTAGTGACAAGAAAGTCAGAGTCACCAAAAGAGGCCCTGCCTTTGTCAAGGTGGTAAAGACTTGGCCCTGAGAAATGTTTTTTCCCTCAGGGCCCGGCAGGACTGAGTTTTTGTTTTGGTCATTTTCTAGCTTTGTGGGTGGGCGAGTTTCTTGTCTGTAAAATGTAAGATCATAGTGCCAGCCTCCGTTGTTCTGAGGACTCAAGGGGAAGGGATGCGGCAAGATGTCTGACCACAGTAAGTTCTTTTAAAAACAAAAAAGCTAGCTGTTACTATTGCCTTTTTGGGGGGGCTATAATGAACTTTGAATGACTCCTCATATAAGATTACACAATTTAGCAAATAAAAAATGATCATACGCTTTATAGATCTTTTTGCTGCTTGGCCTTGGTGAGGGGTTTGGAATGTGGCTTAACTGGCAGGTTTATTTCTTCCTTTCTTTGAAAAAACTGGTACCTGTCAATACTTCTTCACTTGGTGGGCTGGGGATGTTAGGGGCTGGATGTTAAGAGCTGTGTTGAAGTCTGACTGCCTTTCAGGTGTCAGTCTTAGACTGCAACTTCGTCAACTTAAAGGGTGAAGAATTCTCTTAGATGAGTCAGATCCCCTTAATCAGAATTCCTGAGAGTCACTGCTTTAAATTTATTTCATAGTGTTTCTTTTATTCTCATGGGGAAGGCACTTTGGGGAATATAAGAGGGGTACCTATTTTTGAATTAAGAGGTGGGGACTGTGCGTTGTAATACATGGTAACACTAGCCATCCTTTATGGTTACTTAGTGTTTGCTGCTTCACCAAGCTCTTCAGACACGCCTTTAATCTCATGACAAGCCCATGAGGAAGGCACTGTTGTCCTTACTTCATAGTGAAGGATTGATACGCGCGCTCAGAGAACCCAAGGATGCGTCTGCTCCGCGTGCCTGTCGCAGCCCCACCAGGCCACTGGGAGGCCCAGGCACCGAGCCGGTTTATTTAGCTGGCATTTGGCGGGCCAGATAACAGGCTGCCATGTATTTGCCTAATAAAGGCAGCATTTGCAAGGGTTGGCGTTGGAGATCCCCTTCACGGGGTGCGGGCAGGTAGAAGGACGTCTGTGCTCTAGGGCGGGAGATGAAAAGCTCAAGCGCGTGTCTGTGAGGAAAGGCATTGACCCGGGAGGAGGGGTGTGTAGGCTTCCGTCGGGAAAGCGCTTAGGAAAAGGAGAGAGGTGTCTGGGAACTGATGATATTGTTCCTTTGCTCTCCTTTGTCACCTTGGAATGAAGTTGGTAGGTGGGAAGATGGGTGATTGTCCTCCTTCGAATCTCATTGTTGACCTGGGAGACACATGACTTCCGCGGCGTGGCGTGGTGTGGCTGCAGCCAGGAGAAGTTCAACTCTGGCTGACTGTAGAGTCTTAAGGCATCAGGAGGGAGGAGAGTGGGAAGGGCTGGAGCAGTGCGGGGAGGAGCTGAGAATTCCACTGGCTGTGAAGAATGGATGAGATGTGGAGAAGAGAGGAGTGAACATTCTGGCTGGGGGAATAGTGACATCAGAGCTATGACCTTGAGAATCAGTTTAATTGCAGAGCTTGAGAGAGCTGCTCTGTCAGGAGCAGTAAAATATTTCATTGTGAGGAGGGCCGGCCAGGGTGCGCCGCAGTGGGGAGAGAGCCGGGTGATGAAAGGACAGGATGGAGAGGCGGCCATGGCCGGATTCCTGGGCCTGGGCCCGGCTTGTGGCATCCTTGTTGGGTTGCTGGATGAGCATTCTGGACTGAAGCACCAGGAAAGATCCCTACAACCCCTAATTCCAGGAAGGTGGAGGAGCGCCCCTTCCCTCAGCAGGCCTGGGCTCATGATAGGCCCCCCGATAGTCCCCTTTCTCCAAGCGTCTCCTGCCCCTGGCTGTGCCCTGTTGCCTTTGATACTCAGTATCTGCAGATTTTATCCAAATACAATTCTGGTAGGGGAGACTCTTATCGTGATTGGATCTGGAGTCCCTGGAGTTGCCTAAAGTTATAGAAAGGAGCTACATTTTGAGGTGTGAATGCGAGGAGGGTCCTCTTATCACTTGGGAAAGCTTCTTATACTGGCTGGTCAGAGAGGAATCAGTAAGCCAAGCCTTAGAATTAGGGGTATCACTTTTGAGAAGATGTTGGGATACATAAGTAGAGCCACTTCAGAGTCTCCTAGTATGTTCTGGTCTTCCTGTTACAGGCTTCCAAGCTAAGAAACTTGGTTAGCCTCTCAGATACTGTGCTCATGCAGGGCAGAGAGCAGGAGTCTGGTTTGGGGCTTGAAGAAGGCCCCCGTGGCTTGACCTGTGCATGAGAAACAGGCCTGCCTGCTGGTGGTGAACCGGAGGGGCACTGGTCCCTGTCCTGATCACCTGTGTCCCCCAGGTCTCATCTCCGAGAGAGGTGATGGCATGGCCCTTGACTGTCAGGCTTTTTGTAGTGAGATAGTTCTCTTTTTCCCTTACAACTTTCCTTAATTTTTTTATTTCCTTGGCAGATAAAGCCACAGACCCAAGCATGCCAGAACAGGACTGGTCAGCTATCCAGAATTTCTGCGAGCAAGTGAATACTGATCCCAATGGGTAAGGTGTCCATCCCACACACGCTTGTCCCAGAGATGCCTCAGCTCAGGGCAAGCTTTTGCTTCTTGGGGCTGACAGTTAGACTTCCTTTCCTTCCCCACCCCCTTCCATTATGCACTGAGAATGTTATTTTTCTAGAAATAGGACTCCTGTGGGTTGTTTTTTTTTTTTTTTTTTAAACAGAACAGTTGGTTTATAACTGGCAATTATGAGTGGCTAATGTTATACAACATCAATGCTGAGGAGACCTGAATGTTCTGGAGAGAATGCATAGCAATGTGAAGGAGACTGGTACATTTTCCATCATTTAAATGTAACCTTTTGGGGCTCCCTGGTGATGCAGGGGGTTAAGTGCCAGCACTCTGAAGCTATCCCCAGCCAGGGAGGTGACCCATGTGGCACAGCAGACCTCTCCTGTCTCGTCCGCAGTGTATTTCAGTAGATCCCCTATTTCAGTAGATCTGCCTGTTCTCCCCATGCTGTCTCTGGTGAATCCTCTCACCCCCTGCACCTCTAGCCTGCACCCCACTTCTTGTATGCATAAACAAATCTTTAAAAAAAATAAAGCACAAGGCCCACCTTCCACCACATCTAGAGCATCAGGTTAGCAATTGAAGAGTCAAGTCAGTCATCCAGGTGCTTACATGTGGCTCAGTTATCGGCATTTTGAAATGGGCTAGAAGGTTGACTACAAAGTTCACTGAACATGTGTCATATGACAGGCGGGGTCTGTGTTGTTCACCACCGGCTCACATTGGGGCCTTCTGGTGAGTTGTCTTGGGGAGGATGATGTGGCCCGGGCAAAAAGAAGTCTGCGCTGCCGTAGCTGCAAGAAGAGTGCCTCGGAGTCAGCCTCCGTCAGAGCCTCACGCGCAGGCTGTGCATGGAGACACTGCCTTGGCTTTGGGACCCAGGCTCCTGGGCAACAGGCAACTTGGCCCAGCAGATTTAGCCAGATTGGTTAGTTTTTCTTTTCCCCTTGGGTTCAGGTCTCTTTATTTTCCCATAGCCCAACACATGCGCCCTGGCTGCTGGCCCACAAGATCCAGTCTCCACAAGAGAAGGAAGCCCTCTATGGCTTAATGGTGAGTTTCGTTAGTTTCTTAGCCTGAGCTGTCCGGTCCTGGCGCTAGAGAGGGTGTGGTGCTAGGCCCCACTGGGTGGGATGGAGAGTTCTTCACTGGCCTGGGGAAGGAGGCCGGTAGGCAGCTCTGGGCTCAGATTGCCCCATCTGAGGTCTGTGTCTGGAGGGCTGTGTTGAGCCTGCTTTGGGAGAAGGAAGGAAAGGTTTATTTTCTTTTACCCTTCTTAGAGTGTGCCTGGCAAGTTCAAGTGCCCACAGGGCCAGATTGGTCACATAAAAGAGTGAGCTGCTGGGGGGAGGGACCAAAATCTTGGAGCACACATGTGCAGTCTGGAGAAGGCAGCGGGAGACGGGACAGATGACTGTTGGCAGACGTGAGCATGACCCAGTGTTGCTAGAACTTCCTTGTTTAAAAGAGAAACCAGAAATCCAGATTTTGACATGCCGTCTCTGAATTTTTAGTGTCGGTGACTTGTTTGAAGTGTGAAACAGCAGTGTGGACCAAGGCAAATGTGTCCACAGCCAGCCTGCCACTTGAGTGCTGCAGGGCCCCTGGGCGCAGCACTTCTTGAATGCTGCGTATCAAATTGCTGCTTGGGAGGAGGAAGTGACTCTGTTCCAAGGGTCTCCTTACAGGGGTTGGGGGGTGACCTCAGGGTACACAGCACACTACGCTGTTTGCTGGTTGACAGATGCAGCAAAGTCAAGCAGGTGACATTTTTTCTTAATCTGAAAATGTCACCCTTTCTCTAAAACTTCGTGTCCTCAAAGTCTTGAAGAAACACCAACTATGGTTCCAGCAGATGCTCATGGGATCTGAGATGAGCCCTGGAGCCCATGCCTTTCTCCTCCCCGTGGGGTCATGTTTGTGCAGGTGCTGGAGATGTGCGTGAGCCACTGTGGAGAGAAGTTCCACAGCGAGGTAGCTAAATTCCGCTTCCTGAATGAGCTGATCAAAGTGTTGTCCCCAAAGGTGAGTGCCCGGGACTTGGCCCTGCTCATGTACTCACCTGCCCCCAACTGTAGGCTCCTGTTTCCCTCTTCAGTGCCCAGGTAGGCCGGCTCACGCCAGGCCCTGCCCACCTCTCTGCTGGGAGGGAAGGGCCTCTCTAAGACTCAGGGCAACCGCCTTGCTCATCAGCTGGTCCCTGCCCTGGGAGTGTCAGCCTTCTCCAGTTCTCCCTTTAAAGATGGCCTTGTGGGTGGGGGTTTCTGGCTGGGGGTGGGGGGATCCCCAACTTGTAGATGCAATTTTCCTGGTAGAGATGGCAAGAGAGTACCAGGTATGCCTTTAGGTGTCACATCACCTACTCCTTGTCCCCTGCACCTTTCTTCCTGGCCCGTTTCAGGCCTCACATCGATGGGGCCTTTCCTTGCTGCTTCTCAGCAACAGTTCTCTGATTACAGTTATGTGTCCTCTGATGTAATTCAACTCAGTTCTGACACCATCTCCCCAGAATTAACAAGGGGCTCAGTCCTACATAGACCACACCTCCTTCAGACCCTAACCATGGGTCTCAGGCATCCCCCAGCTACTTGCATTAACTTGGAGGTTCCCATGATCTCCACCCAGATTCCATAATTCACTGGAAAGACAGAACTCACGACAGCACTGTACTCAACTATTATCCTTTATCCTAAGAGACATAAATGGAGAGAAACATAGTGCAAGGTCTTGGGGGTCAGAAGGGAGCAGAGCTTCTGTGCCCTCTCCTTGTGGAACCTGGGCATACCACCCTCCTAGCACATCCGTGTTCAAACAGGAAGCCTTCTGAACCCATTGTTTCAGAGTTTTTATCTAGAGTTCCACTATGTAGGTATGAAGATAAAATCACTGGCCTTGTGTCCACTTGTGCCCCTGCCCCCAGCCTGCAAACCACTATCTCCCTCCTCAGCCCGGGCAGGCCTGCTAATTGTCTCCAGCCCCCTCCTCTCCCGGGTCAGGATGCGGCTGGTTGTTCTGGTCCTCTGATCTTGTGACTGATCTTTCTGGAGTGGCCAGCCCCTCCCTTGAGGCTGAGGAGTGGCTGGCATAGACTCTGGGATGTCTGGGTGGCGGGGAGAGGGACTGTGAGTAACGAAAGGCATTCCTGTCACTTGGGAAATTCTAAGGGTATTTAAAACTCAGTGTCAGGAGTGGGCACGAAGATCAAATACATTTTATTGTTCTGAACTTGCTCCAGTCAAAAAATGAGTGTCCCCAGTGGCTCTGACCTGGCCCGTATATGTGGGCTTTAAGAACAAAAAAAGTTTTAAGGGTTGACTCCTTGGAACTCAGAGCCCTGGGGTTGGGCTTCAGAAAAGTTGGCCTCTAGTTGTGCCTCAGCTCTTAACCAGCCCTGGGCAGCTCATTTCAGGCCTCGGCAGCCGGCTCTTTATTGGGAGTGGCTGCTCCGCCAAGTTCCTTCCTGCTCTAATTCTCCTTCCTTTTAATTTTCAGTACCTCGGGTCCTGGACCACAGAAAAAGTTAAAGGAAGAGTCATTGAAATACTTTTTAGTTGGACAGTCTGGTTTCCAGAAGATATCAAGATCCGGGATGCTTATCAGATGCTGAAGAAACAAGGTCTGGCCCATAGCTAGCCCTCGTGCTGCCAGCTGTGCGTTGCAAGTTCCCGAGGAGGACAGACAGTTTTAGTCCCTCGCATGGGCAGACCTTTCCTTCTGGTGGGCAGGAGTTAGGCTGGTTTGGAGATTGTTCTGCTGTGGTTCTCCTCACAACACAGATTTCTAACTCTTCTAGTGTTAGCTAGTATTTCAGGTGGGAAATACTTGCTAGAGGTTCCCCCCTCCCCCCCAAAATCTGTTCCACTCTTAGTTTTGGGTCTTCCTTTGCCCTGTACCTTAGAGAGGGTCTGATTCCATTGCCTTTTGTAACAGGAGGTGGTTGTCGCCCGGTGCTGGCTGGCTGGCTTATTGTGCTGGTGTAACCTCTCCTCTCTCCGTGGAGGCCCCTCTCTCCTTAGGTTTCAGATTAATTGGTTGTTGCCCTGTGAGCTCAGCTTTATGATAGAATCAAGAAAAGTTGTGTGTTGCCATGAAGGTTGTGCAGTGTTGTCAGGGTTGGACTCACACTCTCGCTGCCTCTATCCTGTGTCCCGGAGGCCATGTCCCATCTCCCGGGCCCTGTAGGGAGGGAACCTAGATTCAGGGTGGCTTGTTTTTGCTATCACAGGTGCCCACTTAATGTTTCTACGACTATCAGGAATCCAACAGTAATTTCTGGGTCCTCGTTACATACCTGCATGAAATGAACAGCGTTTTTAATGGTGTAAGGCTCAGTGACTGCCAGCCCTTGGGCTGTTCTGCCTAGTTAGCTCTGATATCCCTGTCTTTGGCTGGTTCTTGGGTTCTCCTGAGGGCGGCTCACTTCTGGGGGAATTCCTTTTAAGGTTGTTGATGGTGTTTTTCCCCATAGGCTCAGGAAACAGACTTTATACTGCATCTTGCTGACACTAGCACATACCCTTATCGGTACCCTAACCTCATGAATCATGTTTTAGGAATCATAAAGCAAGACCCTAAACTCCCCATGGATAAGATCTTGCCCCCACCTTCTCCCTGGCCCAAGAGCTCCATCTTTGATGCTGATGAAGAAAAGTCAAAGGTAAGGAGCGCCTCCCTCACCTGGAGTCTGATCAGACCTTTCTTTTTTTGGATTCTCCCAAAATGTCCCCTGACCTCTGAACTGCAGTGGGGAGTCCTTCCTGGAGCAGTCCTTATGAGTGAGGTGGTCTGGTGTCTAGACATGTTCTCCATAGGTGGGTGGATACCAAATGCACCCCCTCGCAGCTGCGTGAGTGTCCTTGAGGAAAGAAGGCCTAAAAGATACCCCAAGTGGGGAGCGTGGACAGTGATCGTATCTATTGATGTCTGGGATTGGGGGACAACGGTGGTGAGGAAAGAATTGGTTGTGTCTGGGCTCAGATCTGATTTAGTGCCAGTAAGGCAGGGTCTACCTGTTTGCCTTCCACTGCTTTCTCCCAGAAACGTTGTTCCTCTGACTTTCCAGTGAGGTGAGGAAAGGGGAAAGGAAAATGGTCAAACTGAGGCCAGGATTCAGGGCTCCTCATAAGTGCCTCTGAACAGGGTGGGCCCTGAGCACCAGCTACAGCAGTGCTGTCTGTCACCCTCTTCCTGACCTTCACCATGCCTGGGAAGGTGGTCCAAGAAAGCTCCAGGCCATGCATGTGTCTCCTAGGTCTCCTCTGCCTTCCAGCTTTGCCTCTCGCCTGTGCCCTTCCCACGGACCTAGTGCTCAGTGACCCTAGGGTCCCTGTAGGCAGAGCAGGCAGGGCTCTTCCATTTTCTGAGCTGCCTTCTTCTCCAGCTCCTCTCCTGCGGGTGCCGTACTGATCAGCGACTCCTCTGTTCCTGCCTCCTGCCAGGATTGGGCATGAAGTGAACAGGGTCATCATAGAGAGCCTGGTGCAGGATAGCCTCAGTATTGTGGATGTTCTCTGTGGGTGCTGTCCTGTCCATTGTGGGATGTTTACAGTATTCCTGACCTGCACCCTCTAGATGCCAGGAGTACTCCCAATTGTGACAACCTGAAAAAATTGTCTCTAGACTTTGCTAAAAGTGCCCTGGGGCCTATAATCCTTCACCTCCAACCTAGTGGTTGGCGGACGGGGAGAGTCCTGACACCTGCATTGTAGTGCCCTGTGAGGGTATGGTGGTAGGATGATGCGTCTAAAGTATGTGAGCTGTTAATTATTAGTGTGATTCTCCTATTGTGATGCTGCTGCTCTGGGCCACATGGCGGAGGAATCAGTTCTCTGCTCTTCCCATTGACCCTTCAGCTTCTGACCAGGCTTTTGAAGAGCAACCACCCTGAGGATCTTCAGGCTGCGAACCAGCTGATCAAGACTTTGGTCAAGGAGGTGGGCAAGTTTCTGGTGGGCTTTTTAGAACTGGCAATTGACGGGGCTGCACGATGTCTGAGGATGTGCTTACGGGTGTGGATCAACACCTGGCTGGGGGAAGGGACAGTTGTCTAGCCCTGTGCTGGGGATGAACATGCTGCTCCTTGGTGGGCACCTGGGCTGTGACTAGAAGTAGAATCTAAGTGTACTTCTAGGAGCTCAAAGCACTTCAGCCACCCCAGCTGCTGTCCCAATGACTGGTATTGGTGTGGACAGAGTCTGGGTTCGGGAATCTTGTTTTTCAGGGAGATTGAGGCTGGGGTATGAATTAGCAGGCCCCCGAGTACTCACACTGCATTGCCTTTCCCAGAATTCTGGGTATTGAGCCCTCACCCTCTGCACAGGCTTAGTGACTTCTCTGAGCTCTTCGCACCTCCCTCGTTCCATCCTTTCCTTTTTCCCAAAAGGAACAAGAAAAGTCAGAGAAGGTGTCCAAGAGGGTCAGTGCTGTGGAGGAAGTGCGCAGCCATGTGAAGGTGCTTCAGGAGATGCTGAGCGTGTACCGCAGGCCTGGGCAGGCCCCCCCAGACCAGGAGGCCCTGCAGGTACTCTGACAAAAAATCCAGGTATAATTGACTTTGTAGGAGCTCCATGCATTTAAAGCATATTTGCTCTAGTTTGACATGTGTATATTCACAAAGCCATCATCACAATCAAGGTAGTAAACTGGTCACGCACCCTCCAGAATGTCCTCAGGCCCTTGGTCTTTCCTCCATTTCATCTCTGTCTCTATACCGCCAAGCAGCCCCTGACTCACTCTCCTTTCTGATGAGCTTGTATGTCCTAGACTTTTGCATCTATCTGTAGAGTATCAGGGTACAGTGTGTGCCTTCTTTCTTTTTTGGTCTGCCTTCTCCCCCTCAGCTTGAGAGATCCACTCCTTTCACATGTATCAAGTTTTTTCCTTGTTCTGCTGAGCAGTGCCCATTGTGCCCGCTGCCACAGCACATGTCTCCTCAGCAGCTAAGGGATATCTGTGCTGTTGCCAGCCTGGGTGATGATGAGTGAGCTGCTGTAAACAATGTGTACTGGATTTTGTTTGAGCACACACCTTCATATCTCTTGGAGAAATGCCCAGGTCATGAGTTAAGTCTATAGTTCACTTTTTAAGAAACTATTTTCAAAGGATTTATATCATCTTATTTTGCTATCAGCAGTGCTGAGAGGTCCACCTTCTCCATCTCCCAAATTTTCCGAGATCCTTTTTCTTTTTTTGCAACCACTTTATCCAGAATTCACATATTAGAAAAGTAACCACCTCTGCTATCTAACTTGAACACATTAATCACCCTTGAAAGAAATCCAGGCACTCTCCTCTTCCCACCCCTTTCCCCTGGAGCCTCTGGCAACCTTCATCTATTTTCTCTCTGTGGATTTGCCCGTTAGAATGTTTTATATAAGTGAAACTAAGCAACACATGGCCTTTGAGTCTGGCTTCCTCTTAGCATGATGATTTCAAGGCTTGTCCACCTTGTATGTGTTACACCTCCTGTTATATGGTAACTCTGTTTGCCTTTCTGAAAAACTGCCAAGCTGTTGGCCAAATAATTGTACCATTTTACAGCTCCACCAGCAATGTATGAGGGACCAGTTCTCCACTTCCTGCAAACTTTGTTACATCTGTCTTTTAGATAATAGCCATTCTGTGGGTGGCAAGTGGTATCCTTTGGTTTAGATTTATATTTCTTTGCTGGTTTATGCTGTGCTTTCTTTCATGTGCTTATTTGCCACTTGCTTATCATCTTAGGAGCAATGTCTGTCTATGTACTTTGCCCATTTTTTAATTGATTATCTCTGCTTTTTAGTTGTAAGAGTTCTTTATATACTCTAGAAAAACTCCCTTTCCAGATAGTTTTCTCCTATTCTGTGGGTTGTCTTTTTGCTGTCTGTCAGTGACTTTTGAGCAAAAGATTTTAATTCTGAAGTTTAATTTGTCTGTGGCTGGTGGTCCTTTTGGTGTCGCATCTAAGAAACCACCACCTTGTGGGTAGATGTCCCAGAAGGCCTTTTTCTCAGACTCTCTTTGGTGCTCTGCCTTCTGCCTCCCTCTGCAGGCCGATTCCCTGTCCTCTCTGTCTTTGTTTCTCCCCTTGTTCCCGCCCCACCCATCCCCCTGCATTCTAGCTTTTATGCTCCTCTACACAAGCCAGCCTTCACATGGTTCTTTAATTTACTTGTCCTTCCATTTCTGCTAACAGGGTTAGCAGAAAACAAACTAGTGTCTTTCTTAATTTTAAATTCCTGAGAGAAAACTCTTGTTTGGCCAGCTTGGCTTATGTATCTACTCGGGTCAGTTAGCTGTGCATGGGATCGGTAATGGTCGAAAGAGAAAGGTCCTGGCCTTCCTTTGTGGTTGGAGGCACAGGAGCAGCAGAGTCAGTGGGCTCGGGCCAGGTGGACACTCCACAGCTGAACTCTCATGGTGAGGTTGCTCCAGGGCACTTCAGGAATGTCGGTGTATTTGACTTTTAAACAGCACAGATTTCCCCCACCTAAAATGGTAACCAGCTCCCAGATAGGAGCCATGCACAGGAAACAAAACTTCCTCTTTACAATGGGTAAAGAGAACTTTGGGAAGTGTGGCAAATAGACACTGGCAAGTGGCTTTCTAATACTGAATCACGAAGTCAGGCAGGCTTACCTTCCACCATAGCCCGTGCTGGCACACCACTGTCTCCCCACTGAGGCCTCCTCTCTTTATGGCAGGTGGGAGCAGAGCCAGATATCCTTATTGGCTCAAGAATAAAGGGACTCCTTTCTGCCGCCTCTCCCGCAGTACCAATCAGATGTGTCTTTTCACTAGCCGGGGTGGGGATGTGGGATGCAGTCAGTGGGAGGGGCCTAGAGTGTTAGGTTCATTACTGAACTCCCTTGAAGGAAGGAAACTAAGATGTATGGGGGCCTTATCTCTTCCTCAGTGTATATGGAGGTGGAAGTTGTCCGGAGCACTCTTCCGGGATGAGAACAATGAGATTTCCCAGATGTTATTGAGGGGAATGAGGCTTGGCTCCGGGAGAACCTCTGCTGGGTGTCTAGGGAGTGCTGCAAAGGGGAAACTGGCATCAGGAAACAGTTGAGTGGGGAGTTTGGGCGGTAGTTGTTGCAGCAGGAGGTTGTACACATCCGTGTGGGGTCTTTCTGTTGTTAAGCTGTTCCGCACGGGGCTTGGGGGGTCCTGCAGAGACAGTGCTGTGCACACCGAGATGGTGGATTCTTCCATCTGTCTCTGTCGACTGGTGAAACATTTTTTTACCCATAAAACGTGTACATTTGTAGCCCAACCTCTTTCTGAAACTGCCATGTTACTTCAGATGGGTTTGAGACAGACCGGGGGAACACCCTGGGAACCCCAGGCCCCGCTGTGCCCCTGTTGGCGGCGCCTGTGAGGTGTGTGGTGAAACTGAGCTCTTTCCCTAGGCGGTGTATGAGCGGTGTGAGAAGCTGCGGCCCACCTTGTTCCGGCTGGCAAGTGACACCACCGATGACGACGATGCCCTCGGTAACAGTCTCATTCTCCGGTGTGCACCGTAGGCACCACGCTGCCCACGCGCTGCTGCAGAGCCAGAAGCAAGTCAGAGAGACTTGAGGGATTATGGTGATTGGGCTTGGAAGGGCACGGCTGGGTTGAGTTAGAGTGACTTCTGGAGGAATCCAGGCTTAAGAAATCAGCAGCAGGTCTGAGAACATAGAAAGGGGTGAAATTTACCAAGTAGATTGGATGTGAGGGAGAGAGAGAAAGGAGGAGGATCATGAAGGCTTGAGGAGAGCAGAACATCCCACAGAGGTGTAAGAAACAGCTTTGAGTGGTATATCTTACTCACCACTACACACCTTTGGGGGTGAGGTGACCTGAATGAGGCAGGCTGAGTGGAGTGGAAGGGGCAGTGGGGAATTTTAATACCTGTGCACAAGTGTTAAAATATCTGAAACTTTTTATTACGGAAAGATCTCAGAACAAAGGGTCAAAGTAGGATGAATCCCATGTGTTCTTCCTTTATTGTTAGTTGTTATCAGCTCATGGCCGTTTTGATCTTCTTCACCTGTGGAGCTCTCTGCCCACTCCCCCAAGCCCTGCATTCTGCTCTGAAGCAAATTCTAACATTTCTCAAGGGATGAAATAGTCAGTGTTCAGATTCCCGAGGTCATTTCTCTCTCTAACCATCTCTTTCAGTTAATTTTTCACAGTTCCTTCTTGGGCTCAAAAAGAAAAGCCATACTTAGTAATTGGTTGATATTTCTTAAGTCTCTTTTAATGACTAGGCCCCCCTACCCTTCCTCTAGCTTTTTTATTTTCTTGAATGAGAAACATGTTTTTTGTATACTTGTTTTTGGTCTTAATTTTTTTTTATAGAGGCATGTTTTTATTTTATTTGTTTTTTTTTTTTTTGTTTTGTTTTGTTTTTTTGTTTTTACATGCACTGGGTACAGTCAGAAGCGCGGGAGGGTGAGAGAATTCACCAGAGCCAGAGCGGGGAGCAGAGCAGGCAGAAGGAGCGAAGTACACTGCTGAGGGGAGCAGCGGCGGCAGGAGAGGTCTGCGCGCCATGTGGGACCCTCCTCCAGTGGCCGGGGAGCAGCCGGGGATCGAACCGGCGCCTCAGAGGCCGCGGGCAGCTTCGCAACCCAGCGCTCAACCGCTGCGCCACCGGGGAGGCCCTGGTCTTAATTTTTTTTTAAGATTTATTTATTTATGTATACAAGAACTGGGTTGTAGGCCAGAGGTATGGGGGCTGAGAGAATTCACCAGAGACAGAGTGGGGAGCAGAACAGGGGGACTGAGTGAAATACACTGCTGAGGGGAGCAGCGGGCGAGATAGGAGAGGTGCCATGTGGGTTAGCTCCTTGGCCGGAGATCAAACTTGTGCTGCAATGGCTAGTGATAGCATGATAGTGCTGTGTCTTTTTTTTTTTTTTTTTAAGATTTATTTATTTATACAAGAACTGGGGTACAGGCCAGATGCGCGGGAGGGTGAGAGGATTCACCAGAGACAGAGCGGGGAGCAGAACAGGCAGACTGTTGAAGTACACTGCTGAGGAGAGCAGTGGGTGCAGCAGGAGAGGTCTGCGTGCCATGTGGGACCCTTGCCGGCTGGCCAGGATCGAACCGGCACTGCAGAGGCTGCAGACAGCTTCATAGGGCTGTGCTCAACCGCCTGCGCCACCAGGGGAGGTCCGGTCTTAATTTTTTGATGGTATCCCTTGTGGTACTTAATAGTTTTCTCTGTTCCTGATATTTCTTATAAATTGCCATTTAGAGTAAGGAGCTTGATCAGATTCAAGTTCAATTGAATACTTCATAGGTGATGTCCAAGAGACCCATGGTATGGTGTCTGCTTGTGATGTAATTATTATCTAAACCCATATTTTCTCAGAAAATGAAGTCAAAGGTAATCAAATTAAAATTTTTAAGCAACTTGAAAGTCCAGGTTAAACACTTTACCTGGTGAATTCAACCCTTATTACCAGTATGCAACCTTCATCCACAGTTAAGAAACTGACAGAACATAAACATAAACATAAACGGCTGCTTTTGAGAAGTAATCTTCGCCACTTTGGCTTGCAGTGTTGTAAATTGACCCTTGCCTGGTTGATCTTTCTCTCCTAGGAGAGAGTTTTTTGCAGTAAACCATGAGATAGTCATGAAGTTTTTGAAATCCAGTGTGTATCTTAGGTGCCAAATTTTAATTGGGAATACTTGATCTGTATTTATATTTTATAAAATTTACATGTAAAAAAAAGTAGATTCCTGTAACCAATTTGTTCTTATACTTTTAATAACTTTCCAATAAGTAATTGCCCAAAATTTCTCTAATATTTGCATCCATTTTGACAAAAAAGCTTAGTATTTTCCTTTAAATTAATTAGAATTAAATAAGGCTCTAGTTACTCAAATGAAGGACTCACATTTTAAGTGTCGGCTGTCCTGGTGGAGGGTGGAGGCACAGAAGGCAAAAAAAATTGCTTCCTCCTACATCCAGCAAACTGAGTGTTGGGGCTCAGGGGCTGAGTGACAAGGTCTGGGGAAGGGCCTGATATACTGAACCTGGCAGAGCCTACTGCTGCTTTGTAGAATGGCTTCAGAAAGACTCGGGATTGCTGGTGGCTAAGTCGGGGTGCTCTGATTTTTCTCTTGTTTTCAGCGGAGATTCTCCAGGCAAATGACCTCCTCACCCAGGGAGTCCTGCTGTACAAACAGGTGATGGAGGGCCGTGTCATCTTTGGGAGCACAGTGGCCAGTTCAGTGGGAGACGTACCTGTCTCCAGAGGTATGTGCAAAGAGCCTCTCCCTGTCATTTATTTTGGGGCAACCTGTAAGTCTCAGAAAAGAAATGGAATCTCAGAATATTCTGGGCTATGGTGTAGAAGTGAGAGAATGTGCCTTCTTTTCACTTTCTGTGAGAACTGGTTCTGTAGCGCCAGCCTCTGCCTTCTGTGTGGTCATGAGCTGACTGCCAGTTGGACCCAGCTCTGGCTGTAAACAGAAGCAGATGCCTTTATCACACCGGGCTGGATTCCGCCTCTTGTGAGTCCTTACCTTTGAGAATGAGGGGTCTAAGACATGCTGTTGTTCGTTGTCTCTTAGTGCCAGGCAGGCTGCATCAGAATCTCCTGGAATGTGGGCAAAAATGAAGATTCTTAGGCTCCTGGCCCAGCCTTCTAGGGATCTGCATTTTTAGCAAGCTTTCCAATGAATTCTGAGGGGGTCTGTGGTTAGAAATCTCGAAAGACATCTGAGCTGGAGAGGTCAGCTCTGCTGCTGTCCAGGTGGACTGGACATTGGAGGAGACTCAGGTTGCCGGAGTGGGGAAAAACTCACCTGGCTGCCTCAGACTCCAGGTACTTCCAAGACACTGAGCTGAGGTGGAAGGTTCTCTGGGTTGTGTTGAGAGTGGCATGACATGATGTCTTTTGGGAGGAGACCTGTGGGAAGATTAAGTAGAGGCTTTACTCTCATTCGGACATTTTTTTTTTAAGATTTATTTTTTATTTATACAAGAACCAGGCCAGAGGCGGGAGGGTGAGAGGATTCACCAGAGACAGAGCAGGGAACAGAACAGGCAGACTGACGAAGTACACAACTGAGGGGAGCAGCGGGCGAGACAGGAGAGGTCTGCCGTGCCATGTGGCTTGCTCCGAGGCCGGTGGGGGTCAAACCTGCACTGCAGAGGCTGTGGACAGCTCCACAGCGCTGCGCTCAACTGCCTGCACCACCAGGGAGGCCTTCATTCAGATTTTTTAACCTAACTCTGCTTTCTAGTCTTTCAGAATCCAACAGGCAGCATGAAGAACTGCCCACTGATTGACTTGGAGATGGACAGTGGATCTGAGCAGACCAGGACTGTGGCACCTTCTTTACTTCATCAGGACCTGGCAGCCTTAGGTGAGGGTGGGTGTTTAGGGGGAGCAGACAGGCAATGGTCCTGAGTCCCAGGGAGAGCAGCCAGCCAGTTCTGCTGGGAGGTGTACCTGCCTGAGAGGGAGTTGGGTATAAGGGGCAGTTTAGAGGGTCCTCTTTGCACTTAGTCTCAGATTTGTGGTGAATGAGTTGTATTACTTTGGGTAATTCATTTTGATTTATCTCAACTCTAAACATTCAGGAGCGGGGAGGTCTTGGTACGAAAGTCTAGCTTATATCAGGCAGGGTTACTGGTGTTCATGTCACTTTGTTCCTTCCTTCCAGGAATCAGCGATGCTCCAGTTTCCAACAAGGTAGGCTCTAGGGGCCAGAGAGGAGTAGGGGGCTTCTCACCCTGTCTTCATGAGGGCAGCCCTGCCTGGTGGGGAGAGAGGTGCTGCCACATGGCTAGGGGCACTTATGGTCTCCGAGGTTCAAGGCGCCTTCCTCTCCTACACCCTCTGGCTTGAACCCCAGAGAGAGTATCTTTAATTCTCCTTAGATGCTGCCCTCTTCAGCCCGAGTATCCATCTTTTTCACTTTCCTCCCCTCCTGTCCAGGACATATGGAGCCTGGGTCCCAGTAACTTGGGTGAGTCAGGAGAGCCATGCGCAGTGTCACCTGGCCCATGGCCTTTTGTACCCTGGCCTCATTTTATCCTTTCCTGGTTTGACAGGTTGCAGGGCAGAATTGCTGTAAGGAAAAGCAGAATCCTACTGCCAGCCCCCTGCAAGGTGGTGGTGGTGAGAGCTCTTCTGCGGAGACAAACTTACTGGATCTCCTCTCTCCACAACCGTCTCCAGCCCCACTGTGAGTCTTGTGGGCAAGTGGCATAGATGGGTGGCTCCTGACATAGTCATTGCTGCTGCCCAAGGACCAGGGGTACTACTGCTTTCTGCTGAAAATGTCATCTGGGCTCCCCATTCTAAGTCACAGGAAAACACACAACTTGACAGGACCTCTGAAAATGGGTTTATGTAGGGAGCAGCTGCGATGATGGTTTGAGTCTTTATGTGTTTTTTTTCCTCTCTGGTTACAGTGTAATCTGATCATTAGAGAAATAGATAAAATAGAAATTTGGCCTCAAGTGTCACTCACTAAAACATGTTCCTTCGTTTGTTTATTTTTCTGTACACATAGTGATGGGTTATTGAGGCTTATTTTTACACGAATGGGACCAAAATTTACAATCTATACTTCCCTGTGGCTTTTTTCACATTACTTATCTTATAGTTCCACATCTGTTTATATAAATTTGCTTCATTCTTTTTAATAGCTGCATGATAATTCATATACATGAGTGATCATTTCCCTCTTTTTTTTTTTTCCATTTCCCTCTTGTGGATATTTACATGGTTTCCATTTGGAAACACTTAAAAGAGTGTTTTTTTGTTTTTTTTAAAGATTTATTTATTCATGCATACAAGAACCAGGGTACAGGCCAGATGTGCGGGAGGGTGAGAGGATTCACCAGAGACAGAGTGGGAACAGAACAGGGAGATTGACTCAAATACACTGCTAAGGGGAGCAGCAGGCGTGACAGGAGAGGTCTGCTGCACCATGTGGGACCCTCGCCTGCCGGCCGGATCAAACTCATGCTGCAGAGGCTGCGGACAGCTTCACAGTGCTGCGCTCAACCGCCTGCGCCACTAGGGGAGGCCCAACAGTGTTTTTATCGTATAGATTCCTTTCCATGAAGGGTGCTCTAGTGTGTGACTATAACACATTTTTACCGATACTGCTTCTTTGCTCTTGGAAAGGATGAAGCAGTTTGACCCCCAAACAGTCCCTGGTAGAGATGCGCGTCCATGGTGTGGGTAGCATGTGCTGTGGATGCAGCCATAGGGGTCTGTCCACTTTACTGCTCTGACCACTTGGCAGACCAGAACACATTCTCAGTTAGGTGGATCACTCTGTCTGGACTTTAGTTTTCAACTTGTATTCCAAATAGACAAAACCCTATAGAAGCATGAAAGAAGTGGGCTTTGGGGTTTGTGTTACCTGCTTTGCTTCCTGCCTGCTGACCCCTGTCATCACATACGGGAGCTTCCCTGACTGAACTGCAACCTTAGTAACCACAATAATAATAATAACAGTAGCTCTGGTATTGGGTCCTTGTCACGTGCACACATTCAACTATGGGCTTTTCATGTATTTTCTCTGTGGTTTCTTATAACAACTCCATGAGGTAGATACTAGGTTTATTCCCATTTTATAGGTAATGAAACTGATGCATTGGTCATAACAGTGTCTGTCAGTATCCTCAGGGGCTTGGTTCTGGGACCTTCCCCGTGGATACCAAAAATCCCAGGATGCTCAAGTCTCCCTTGTGTAAAATGCCACTGTATTTGCAGATAAGGCACGCACATCTCCTGTATGCAGTGCGCCCTTCGTATTCAGGAATAGCCCATCGAGGATTCACTCATCTCTGCATTGGAAATTACACACTGTGTAGTAAGGCCACCGATGGTTACGTCTGCACTGAATATGTGTAGACTTTCTTGTCAGTGCTCCCTAAACAATGCAGTATGACACTGTTTGCATTGAATTAAGTATTATAAGTAATGTGGAGATGACTTAGAGTACACAGGCGGTGTGCAGAGGTCATGTGCAGATACTCTTGCCACGTCACATGAGGGGCTTGAGTGTCCTCAGCTTTTGTGTCCTGAGGGGGATGCAGGTGGGTCCTGTAACCAGTCTCGTGGATGTGGAGGGACGACTGTACTTAAATCATTTCTCGGTCACTTACGATACCTAATATACCTTCAACACCATGAAAGTGGTTGTCGCTCTGCACTGTGTAGAGAGTAATGACAAGACTACAGCGAGTCTGTACCTGTTCAGTACAGACAGAGCCATCAGAGATTTTACTCCATGGTATCTATTTTCCATCCACTTGGGTGACTGTGATGATGGAAACTGAGGATGTGTTGGGTTGACTGTATTTTGTCTAAAGGCATTTGTTTCATATATGTGTATACACACACACAGTATATAGTTGTATGTATATACTTATTTTATATCAGATTCCTGGAACTGTCTACAATTTTTGCTAGTCTTGGCATGTTTAATTTCTTTGCAGGAATTATGTCCCACAGAAAACTATCCCTAAGGAGGTGCCACCAGGCACTAAGTCCTCTCCGGGTTGGTCCTGGGAGGCCGGCCCACTGGCTTCTTCATCTTCCCAGAATGCACCTCTGGCTCAAGTATTTGTCCCTTTGGAATCTGTTAAGCCCAGTAAGTAGTTTTCTCTTGTTCTCTTTTTCATTCAGTAGATACATAGCTTTATCCACTGGAGTGGTGTGGGTGGGCAGGCTTTATATTGGTGGTGGCGAATGAGCAGAGGGTAAGAGGTGACTTCACTGGTCTCTTAGCTAATGCTTCTCTTAAAGTTTTCTCTCTCTGGGGTTGACCATATGAAGGAGACTGGCAGGTAGACTAACTAGGGAACGGGAGTCTACTTAGGGATAGATGGTCATTCACCTGGAATTGAGAAGGGAATGTGTACAGGGATGCCTGGCATTACTAGGAAGAGGTAGAATTAGAAGGAAAGGAAGAATGAAGAATCATTTAGGGACCCTAATCAAAGGCACGTGGATATATTATCTCCCTAAAAAAGGGACAGGAAACTGAAGACTCAGGTAAGTAGCTGGCTGCCCACAGCCAGCCCACCAGAATGTGAGCAGGAAACAAGCCAGATCCTTAGCACCCAGGGCTGGGGCTTTCTCTGGGTTCAGCGCCCTCCTGTGACAGGTGAGGCTGGATTGCAGGGAACCCTGGAACTGGCCAGAGGAATTTAAACAGCGGGCCAGCAGGTGGGAACCCTTGAAGGGTTTATTAATGGTTTATTAATTTTTGATATAAAAATAATGTTAATTTCTTGGTTTTGATAATTGTGCTGTGGCTATGTAAGATGTCAGCATCTGTGGAACCAGGATGAGAAGGGTATGTGGACATTCCTTGTGTTCATTTTGTAAGTAAAGTAAAAAATATTAAAAGTAAAAAAAGTACATGTTGCGTATAGAAGTTTTAGAAAAGAACAGAAAATTAAAATCACTGTGCCATTGCCACCAGAGGTAGAAGTTCTGATAACGTCTTCACGTATTTTCTTGTCATCTTGCCCATGTGCATATGTGCACACGTACATATTTTTTTAGTAAACTGACACCACAGTCTGTGTGTGTGTGTATGAATAATTTTATATCCTATTTTATTCACCATTACATCATAAACCCTTAGCTTTTCTTCATGCTTTTAATTGTCCTTCAAAACCTTGATTTTTAATGAATTTATATATTATGCCACTAATTGGATGGCCCTTGATTCATTATTCAGTCCCTGCTGAAGAATAATTTGCTTCCACTTGTTTGTTTCCACTGTGCCATATTTGAGCACCCATTTTAAAATACTTTCCTGATTATTTCAGTGGGATATTTTTTTTAAAATGGAAATGCTGGGTGTAGACAAATTTAAAATCTTGATTTGCATTACCAAGTTTCTTTCCAGAACGATTTCCTTCTCCCCCATACCCTCATCACTATATCTCGTGGTTATTTTGTCTCTTAAATATTAGACAGTTTTGTTGTTAAACTATAATTTTATAATGTGCATGTGTATCTTCATTAAGATTTTTTTAAAAAGATTTATTTATTTATTTATACAAGCACTGGGTACAGTCAGAAGCGCGGGAGGGTGAGAGAATTCACCAGAGTGGGGAGCAGAATAGGCAGAAGGACCGAAGTACACTGCTGAGGGGAGCAGCGGGCGGCAGGAGAGGTCTGCGTGCCATGTGGGACCCTCGCCGGTGGCTGGGGATCGAACCTGCACTGCAGAGGCTGCAGGCAGCTTTGTAGCCCAGGGGTCAACCACTGCGCCACCAGGGGAGGCCCATTCATTAAGATTTTTTTTTTTCCAGATGATTAGCTAATCTTCTGCCACTCATTGAGTCATCTACTGATTTTGAAATATACGTTCTCAACATGTTAGATTCTCATCTTTGGGTCTGTCCTGCACTCTGTTTTATATCACATGGCTTGAATGCAATTTTATGTGTATCTGCGTCTTTGTTAATGCAACTAGTCCTACCTCCCTCTTTTTTTTTTTAATGGCTCGTTTCCAATTTTTTATCCTTTGAGATTAACTTTAGTTTCACTTTCCAGCTAAATAAAACAAGTCCTTAGGGATTTCCTTTGAAATGTCATAAACCTATTTTTGGAGAGATTAGTTTCTACGCTTAGGTAAAATTAAATATAGGAGGGCTATGGGTGTGTATGTAGTCACACAAAAGAGACCTGAAGGAAATAGGCCCATATGTTAGCAGTACTTCTTTCTGGGCAGTTAGGATGTTTTTATTTTATTATCTATCATACCCTCTTTTCTATAGCATCCATATGTTCTTTTAATCTTCATCTTCATCAGAAGCATGGTATTTTTTAAACTGGTGATATGGTTAATATGGTTAAAATTTAAACTTGTGGGATGGTGGGGAGAGCTCAGTTTGGAGTCTGAGGGTGTGGGTGACGGTGGTTCAGAAGAGCAGCAGGCGCTGTTCAGGTGGGACACGCTGCAGTGCCTGCTGATGAGGGCACATCTCTACCAGGCTGGGCTGTCGGGGAGTTTGGTGGCGCTAACTCTTCTGCTGGGTCCTTCTCTGCCAGGCAGTCTGCCGCCTATTATTGTGTATGACCGGAATGGATTCAGAATTTTGCTCCACTTTTCCCAAACTGGCGCCCCTGGCCACCCAGAGGTGCAGGTGTTGCTGCTGTCCATGATGAGCACTGCCACCCAGCCCGTCTGGGACATCATGTTTCAAGTGGCAGTGCCAAAGGTGAGTCATCTGCTGGCCAACTGCTTTGAATTTTTCAATAAAGACTATGACTTTTGCATACCAGATTCTTTGCTGAAACATTATCTATTAGGTATAAGGGACAGAATCGTCACTCAAAAGTAATTTAAGATAAAAAGAAAATTTTACTGGCTTATCTGAGGATTCATAGATATCTGACTTCAGATGTGGCCAGGTCCAGGTAGGTTCTTAAATGACACCTTAGATCTATCTCTTTGCACTCTTGACTTTGCTTTCCTCTTTGGAGTCTAATCTCTGATAGACTTTCTCCATAAGCAAGGCAGTGGGTACTAGCAGCCCTAGGGTTACCTGGTCCTGAATTCTGTTTTCTAAAAGAATCTCTCAGCTAGCATGAGGCATGCATATTGATGACCCAAGAGAGAGCTCAAATTGACCTTCTTGGCATGCTCTGGACCCATAATTTGTGTTTAGGGAAAGGAGGTGCTTTGACCAAGTTCATCATTATAACCTCTTTTCAGGAGAATTAGGATCCTACAGCCCCATTACACACTTCAGAATCACAAGAAACAGGGACAGGTTATGTCCTGAGGGGAAAGATCCAGGACTGATAAAAGTAAAGTATCCTCTTGAAGATTACCTGGGGCACGTATTTATTATCTCTTCTATTTTATAAAGTATTAGTCCAGGATGCAGGGAGCTTAAAGATTTTGCTCAGGATTCATAGAGCTAATAAGAGGCAGAATTCAACCCAAGATGTGCCATCCTCTTGAAGCTGCCTTTTGGCAGCCCCGTGGGCCATACAACTTAAGATACATTCTGTGTGTGGAAGGAGAGGCGTTTGGATCCTTGGGTCAGTGGTGGGGTGGAGGTCAAGCGCTCTTGCTCCTTTCTAGTATATTAGGAATGAGTTACATGTTGACTTTGTCCCCCCATAGTCGATGAGAGTGAAACTGCAGCCAGCGTCCAGCTCCAAGCTCCCTGCATTCAACCCTTTGATGCCTCCAGCTGTGATCTCCCAGATGCTGCTCCTTGACAATCCACACAAGGTATGTTCTGGTATCTTGGATAGGGGAGAGAGGGGCCATGGGGCCGTGGGGCCACTTGAGAGGTAGAGAGAAGTATATTGAGATTTTGCTCTGAAGTTTCTGGTTTGGTGGGGACTGGTGGTGGATTGTCCCTTGCTAGAGTCTGTTTTCCTTTGGGGTTTATTGAAACAAGATTTGTATATTGTCATAGCTGGGAACCAAGGTAGTGACGAGAACTCTCCCTAATACCATGTGCCTCTGAAAGAGTGAGGCCTGTGTTTCTTAGCTGGCTCTGAGTCCTGATCCATCTCAGCACTGCCTGAGTGTGGGAGGGCACCAGGATGTATCCCTGGCTCCCTTGTGCTTTGGATTCAAAACATCCAGGGTGTTCCTGGATACAGCTGTTTGAAGCCCTCCTGTGGGTGGAGTTAACATGCGCATACTTTTCCTTGGTGACAATTGGGTGGGTTAAGACTTTTATTCTGGTCTGGTCTGTTTGTTATTCCCCACTAATTTAACATCTTTGTCTTCTTCCAGGAGCCCATCCGGTTACGGTATAAGCTGACATTCAATCAGGGTGGACAGCCTTTCAGTGAAGTAGGAGAAGTGAAAGACTTTCCAGACCTGGCAGTCTTGGGTGCGGCCTAACTCTTCACAAGACAGACTCTGCAGACTCTGCCTTTCAAGCTTAGGCAGATGTTTTGCTGTCTAGACAGGACTTATCAATGGCGATTCAATGCAGAGTGCCAAGTTTTATCCTGACTTCAGGCTTTGGATGCCAACCTCATACTTACTCTGCAGATAGTATGTGTGTGTGTATATGTATGTATGTTGGGTAAGGGGGGAGGATAGAGCAGGGTTGGGATGTGGGCAGTGTGGGAAATGCTAAACATTTTTGATAACCATCTGCTATAATCATAGCTGTTTCTGCATGTTGGTGGACAGTGATGTCCCTGCCTCAGGTGAGAGGTTTTATAAGCCAAAGTGTTTTTTTCCCCTACCCATGTATTGTTATCTTCTCATTCATCCACTCTGTGCCTTGTCAGCCTTTGAAAGTCTTGGTTTGCTCCCAGGATGCTTTTCTCAGGGACCTTAAAAGGGACCTGGTTGGTCTTGGGGCAGAGAGTATATTTTGGGACACTCTCTTCCAAGAAAGACCTTGTCTCCATTTCCATTAGTCTGCTGCTTGCATGTGTTCAGTAAGATCTAAATGGAATGCCTGTTGCACTGTTTTCCAGGCAAGTTGCTGCCGCTAGAGCAAAGGACCACACTGGGTGGGCCAATCATGTCTTCACCACTGTGCCTTAGAATCAGTCACCCACAGGTGGGCCCACCAGGGCAGAGGGAAAGCAGATCCCAGGGGTTACTCAGGCCTCAGGTTCCATGGGTTTGGCAGCCTGTCTGGGCCCTTACTCAGGACCCTCATTTCCATCCTCATCTTTCTCCACAAGCATTTGCTCAGCTTTTTGATTGTGACACCATGTCAGTCTTTGTATTGATAAATCATAGCTAACAGGTTCACTCTTGCCTGTTGACTTCACAATCTGAGATAGAGAACTGTGATGCTGATGGATATGAAGAGAGCTTAGCAATGATTTGTGTGGTGACCGAAAACAGAAAGTCATTGAATAAACACCCGTGTAGCAAATACACTTTGTGGAGTTTTGCATGAGTGGGAGATGCATACTCCATTGCATTTGGAGCTGGTAGACCTCAGGGGAACTCATTTGTTGAAGTAAGGAAGACTTCATGGGGGATGTGGCACCCTAAGAACTGCTTCAGTGAAGAGAAGCTCTGAGGATCTGAATGAAGATGGAAAAGAGGTGGATATTTGTTACTTTTGTGGTTTGAAGAAAAGAATTCAGGTTTATGATCAACTAGTACTTAGTTCCTACTCAGTACTGGGTGCTTTGTGCATGTTTTAAAGTCCTGCTTGGCCTGATTGGTGAGAGAAGGAAGCTGAGTCTGCTGATGTGGCCTAATGGATTAAAATCTGAGCAGCTCACCTCACTGGACGGGATTCTACCTCAGAAACTCTAAGGCTCTGTTTGAGGCTCGTTGTAACAAGATCTGGTACTTTACAGTCTAATCTTTCCACTTCTGCATGTAGTTGGATGTCCTCTAACACAAATTGGTGGGGGTGGAGCTGTAAAAGATCATCAAGGAATGCTAATTTTTAGGCAAATGTGAACACTTACGAAACAAATTATGGGGTGATTTCTTGTGGCATAACTCACCTAATTTTTTTTTAAAGATTTATTTATTTATACAAGAACTGGGGTACAGGCCAGATGTGTGGGAGGGTGAGAGGATTCACCAGAGACAGAGTGGAGAACAGAACAGGCAGAATGACGAAATACACTGCTGAGGGGAGCAGCGGGCACGACAGGAGAGGTCTGTTGTACCATGTGGGACCCTCGCTGGCGGCCGAGAATGAACCCATGCTGCAGAGGCTACGGACACTTCCCAGTGCGGCACTCAACCGCCTGCGCCACCAGGGGAGGCCCCCACCTAAGATTTTAATCAAAAATAAGTTTTACATTCAAATGTTCTATGTAGCTTTTATAGGCTCTGTAGCTGTTCAAAGTCAAGAGGTACTCATTGCGATGGCAATGTCCACCTGTGAAGACCTTTCATCCAAATGTGTGAATGAGACTGGCATGTAAAAGACAGGTGACTTTTATCCCATCTTCAAAAATGAACTCACGTGTGTGCCTAAACATTCTTTATTCTGGGAGACAGACTCCCAGTGGTGGTCTGCTTTAGTCAAGTTGGACAGGATAGGCAGGTGTGTATGTGACCTTAGTTTGTTATGCTAATTATTAAGTTTAGTGATCACTTAAGACCCAACCCCTATCTATTCATTCAAGTAGTTGTTCACCAGCTACCAAGAGCCAGGCACAATTGTAGGTATTGCGGGTATAGCAGTGACAGAAAGTCCTTGTCTTCATAGAGTAGTGACAAATCGGTAATAGATCTAGTGGAGATTTGGCATTTCAGTATTTAATCCTTAACTCTTCCAGGATCTTGCTTACCCCATTTCTTGGCCTACTTCTGTGACTGCTGCTCTCACCATCCCTTAACTGGGGTGGTCCTCTGGGTTTAGTCCTTAGGAGTTTTCTAATCACATCTAGGTAATCAACCACTACATGGGTCCTAGGCCTTTCTCCAGCTTCCCTCTCCTTGCTGACATCAGGTCTCTATTTCAGGCTGTTTCTGGAGGTTCTGCTTTTTAAAAACTTTACTTACCTATAATTTAAATTAAAATGTAAGCATCCACATTTGGTTAGTGCTACCATGTTGCAGAGTGCATTTCTGCTAGTAAATGCTAACCAGTAGATGTTCAAATTATGTTGTTAATTGAAAAGCAGTGTAGTGTGGAAAATTCCAATTTGCTCTTATCTATCCTTCTGGTTATGCAGATGATGTTATGGGTGGTGGGGTTACTAATAGTTCATATTATATTCTTTTTTTTTTTTTTTTAACAATTCTTTGAGTTTTGACCAGCCCATGCTGTATAATCTCTAGCACAGTGAAGATAAGGGAGAGTCGCAGCACACCCAAATAATTCCTTCATGCTACTGCTTTGTAGTTTTCCCTCCTCCCACTCCCACTCCCTGGAAATCATTCATCTGTTTTCTTTTTTTTTTCTTTTTTTTTTTTCATTTTTATTTTTTATTTTTTTTCCCTTTTTTTATTTTATTTATTTTTTTTAAATTTTATTGTTATATTCCCCATACAATTGCAGCCCCCCCATTCTGACCCCAATCCCTCCCCTCCCGCCCCTGCCCCCCTGAAAGTGTCTCTGGTTCATAGTTTTTTGTTGATTTTGATTTTCACTTTCTTATAGTTATTCGTTTTCCTGGTCCCTTATTTAAGTTTTCTAGATTCCTGCTATGAGTGAGACCATCCGGTATTTTTCTTTTTCTTTTTGGCTTATTTCGCTGAGCATGATCCCTTCCAGCGCCATCCATGTTGCTGCAAATTGCATGTGTTTATCTTTTTTGAATGCTGAGTAATATTCCATGGTATATATGTACCACATCTTCTTGATCCAGTCATCTATTTTTGGGCATTTGGGTTGTTTCCAAAGCTTAGCTATTGTAAACAGTGCTGCTATAAACATAGGGGTGCAGGTGTTCTTTGGAATTGATGTTTCTGTGTCCTTTGGGTAAATACCTAGGAGTGGAATTGCTGGATCATATGGAAGCTCTATGTTTAGTAGGTCCAGAAATCTCCACACAGCTTTCCACAGTGGTTGGACCAGTTTGCACTCCCACCAACAGTGCAGGAGAGTTCCTTTTTCTCCACACCCTCGCCAACATTTGTTGTTGCTAGTTTTTTTAATATGTGCCATTCTCACTGGTGTAAGATGGTATCTCATGGTAGTTTTGATTTGCATTTCCCTGATTACAAGTGATGTTGAACATTTTTTCATATGCCTGTTGGCCATTTGCATTTCCTCTTCAGAGAAGTTTCTTTTTAGCTATTCTGCCCATTTTTTGACTGGATTCTTTTCTTTGTTGTTGTTGAGTCTCATCAGCTCTTTGCAGATTTTTGTGATCAGTCCTTTATCATTAGTGTTGGGTGCAAAAATGTTCTCCCAGTTGGTGGGGTTTCTCTTTGTTTTTGTTATTGTCTCTTTTGCTGTGCAGAAGCTCTTTAATTTGATGTAGTCCCAGCTGTTTATCTTCGCCTTCACTATCACTGCTTTGGGTGATGTGTCTGTAAAGATGTCTTTGATGTGCAAATCACGTAGTGTTTCGCCTATATTTCCTTCTATATATTTTATGGTTTCAGGTCTTATGTCTAATTATTTAATCCATTTTGAGTTGATTTTTGTGTATGGTGTGAGGTAGTGGTCAAGCTTCATTCTTTTGCATGTAGCGACCCAGTTTTCCCAGCACCATTTATTGAACAAACTTTCTTTGCTCCAATGCATAGTCTTTGCTCCTTTGTCAAAGATTAGTTGACCATAAATCTGTGGGTTTATTTCTGGATTTTCTATTTGATTCCATTGGTCTGTATGTCTGTTCTTGTTCCAATACCATGCAGTTTTGATGATTATGGCTTTGTAGTATAGTTTGAAGTCTGGGAGTGTGATGCCTCCATTCCCTTCTTTTTTTTTCAGGAGAGCTTTGGCTATTCGGGGTTTTTTGTGATTCCATATGAATTTCATCAATAATTGTTCTATTTCTTTGAAGAATGACATTGAAATTTTGATTGGAATAGCATTGAATCTGTATATTGCTTTCGGAAGGATGGCCATTTTAATAATGTTTATTCTTCCAATCCATGAGCAGGGGATATTTCTCCATTTCTTTGTGTCTTCTTCTATTTCTTTTAACAGTGTTTTATAGTTTTCTTTGTATAGGTCCTTTACCTCTTTTGTTAGGTTTATTCCCAAATATTTGATTTTTTTGTTTCAATAACGAAAGGGATGGTTTTTTTGATTTCTTCTTCTTCAGATTTGTTGTTTGTGTATAGGAAGGCTACTGACTTTTGCGTGTTGATTTTGTATCCTGCCACTTTACTGAACTGATTGATGAGTTGAATTAGCTTTTCTGTGGAGTTTTTGGGTTCTCTATGTATAATATCATATCGTCTGCAAATAGTGATAGTTTGACTTCTTCTTTTCCTATTTGGATTCCTTGGATGTCTTTCTCTTGTCTTATTGCCCTGGCTAGGACTTCCAGTATTATATTGAAAAGCAGTGGTGAGAGTGGACATCCTTGTCTTGTTCCAGATCTTAATGGAATTGCTTTCAGCTTTTCACCATTGAGAATGATACTGGCTGTTGGCTTGTCATAGATGGCCTTTATGATGTTAAGGTATGTTCCTTGTATCCCAAGAATTTCAAGGGCTTTTATCATGAATGGGTGTTGCACTTTGTCGAAAGCTTTCTCAGCATCTATTGATATTATCATATGGTTTTTATATTTCTTTTTGTTGATGTGTTGGATAACGTTGATTGATTTTCGGATGTTAAACCATCCTTGTGTCCCTGGAATGAATCCTACTTGGTCGTGGTGAATTATCTTATGGATACATTGTTGGATTCTGATGGCTAGAATTTTATTGAGGATTTTTGCATCAGTGTTCATTAGGGAGATTGGCCTGTAGTTTTCCTTTTTTGTGTTGTCCTTGTTCGGTTTTGGTATTAGTGTAATGTTGGCTTCATAGAACGTGTTTGGTATTGTCCCTTCCTTCTCAATTTTTTGGAAGAGTTTGTGAAGGATAGGCACTAACTCGTCTCTGAATGTTTGGTAGAATTCATTTGTAAATCCATCAGGTCCTGGGCTTTTGTTTTTGGGGAGGTTTTTGATTACCATTTCAATTTCGCTAATTGTAATTGGTCTGTTTAGGTGTTCTATTTCTTCTTTATCTAGCTTTGGGTGATTGTAGAGTTGTAGGAATTTGTCCATCTCCTCTAGATTGTTAAACTTGTTTCCATATAACTGTTCATAGTAGTTACTGATTATTCTTTTGATTTCTGCTGTGTCCGTTGTGATTTCTCCTCTTTCATTGATGATCCTGTTTATTTGTGCTTTCTCCCTTTTTTCCTTTGTGAGCCTGGCTAGGGGTTTGTCTATTTTATTGATTTTTTCAAAGAACCAGCTCTTGGTTTCATTGATCTTTTGGATTGTTTTTTTAGTTTCAATTTCATTTATTTCTGCTTTGGTTTTTATTATTTCTTTTCTTCTACTGGTTTTGGGGTTTTTTTGTTGTTCTTTTTCTAGATCTTTGAGCTTCGAGATTAGGTTGTTTCTTTGAGTTCTTTCTTGTTTCTTGATGTGAGCTTCTATTGCTATATATTTTCCTCTTATTACTGCTTTTGCTGCATCCCATACATTTAGGATATTGGTGTCCTCCTTGTCGTTCAATTCAAAAAAATTTTTAATTTCTTCTTTCATCTCCTCATTAGTCCAGTGGTCTTCCAGTCTTTCTTCATTCTTTTCCTTCGTACTTCTCTTTCCTTTTCTGTTTTGGTTCTTTTTATTTCTGTGTCTTCAAGAGTACTTATTCGTTCTTCCATTTCATCAATTCTGCTTTCATTGTGGTTTTAATCTCCATGAGGTAGGAAAGTTCCTTGCCTTCTTTTTATGGTTTATTTCTAGTTTGATGCCTTCATGGTCAGAAAAGATGGTTGATATGATTTCAATCTTGGTGTATCTGTTGATGTTTGTCTTGTGCCCCAGTATGTGATCGATCCTGGAGAATGATCCGTGTGCGCTTGAGAAAAATGTGTACTCTGTTTTTTTGGGGTTTAGTGTTCTATAGATGTCTGTTAAGCCCAATTGCTCTAGGTCCTTATTTAGAGCTTTGGTTTCTTTACTTATTTTTTGTCTTGTTGATCTATCCATTGTTGATAGTGGTGTGTTGAAGTCTCCCACCACGTATGTGTTTTCTCTGATGTCTGTTTTCAGAGAGGACAACAGTTGTCTGATATATTTTGGTGCTCCTTC